AGTTAAATTATTTGTTCTCATCTTACGTCTGGCAATGGCATACCATTGACGCTGTGAGCGTGGGGGAACAAGGGTACTGCAGTGGATTATTGAGTACTTGAGGGATAGATTTTCAAGCGGAAAATGCCCGTCTTGCAAGTTTCACAAATTAACTGGGACAAAAAAAAATGCACAATGCTATACACGATTGAATTAAATAATATGTTAATTAAATAAGATATTTTTATTTGGAAGGGAATCATTGTTATAGGGTAAGCAATGCTTACCTTGCTTCTTACGAATACACGCCACTGCTGTAGTGCAATTAAAGTACAAAGTATCATTTTCAGAAGGCTTTGAGGTACAGGATCTTTTTTTCATTATGATCTGTATAAAATGTTTACCTTGAAGGTTCTATCCCCAGTCAGTTGGGTCCATTCCCTGATTAGTGCCCATCCGGATTACCGGTTGATAATATATTCTGTAGCAGACTCAGGTGGTGGGAGTTGCTCCGGTGTCACGAATAATTTGGGTGTAACATTTCGTTTACTCAGCATAGTGTGTCCTAATGATACATATGATTCTGTTGTTTTGCCTCCAAACAGATGAATCATTGCAAGACGTTCAACAGCCACTATGGTACCGCTGGCCTTTCCGTGTGAGTAGAAGATTAGAGCACAGTTAAAAAAAAAGAGCCCACGCCATCGAGCAAATCAACGAATATGAAAAAAAGTGGAAAATACAAACCAATACACAGAAACTAAAGATCATACACATTGCCAAAATAAACCCAGCACCAATCACAGTCAACAACGTACCTATACACTACTCCAACGAAGGCAAAATTCTGGGACTCACAATAACAAGAACAGGCATAGCAAAACACATAACACAACGCAAAAAGCTTGCCCAATCACAACTCACGAAACTACGGAGATTTAGCAAAATGGACACCAAAATTCAACTACATCTATTCAAAGCACTTGTCCGCCCCCACCTACAGTATCCACCAATACCACACAGCACGATCAGCAAAACCAGCCAACTTAAACTTCAATCAGTACAAAACAAAGCTATCCGTAGAGCATCAAAACAACTCCCCCCATACACCGCCAAAATACAAGAACTTCACAAATTATACAATATCGAACCACTGAACACACGTACACACAGCCAAGCCCAGAGAATATGGAGCAAACTTGAAGAGTTGGAGGACCCATTATTCTCCCAGTTAAAAGAGGAAGCAACTACTAAAACACACAGCTCGTGGCCCAGGAGCCTCCATGCTAACATCGAAGAACAAGACCCACTTTACACATATATGTGAACAAATAACACCACCATCTAGCAAACATAAATTAACACCCATTACACTAATGAATGCCTAGCTAGCTTAGCCCCCCTCCACCTGCCTCCCTTGAGCGGGCGGGCCTCTACTGTGTGTGGCCACCACCCCAACCTATCAACTCATCTCAGCTCGGTAGACAGCCCACCTGCTATCACCCCCTACTACTTTACTTCCCGTTTCTATGATTTCCTTCTCTCTCTCCTCTCCTCTCCCAGGGCAAAGTCATTTGCCACTTTACTTCATTATCATCATCAAAGGCAGAGTCTTTCTTAACTAGTTTCTGAAAAGTTAACTTCTTACCTATCCCATTGATCCTTAGCGTGGTATCACAACCAGTCCTAGAATGTAAAAACAATAAGTGCGATGTAAGTTCTGTGCCAATGATGTCATAAACATTGCTTTATCTGATGGGAAATACAGGCCCTTGTCTGCGTCAATGAAATGGAGTAAAGGATCAAGCGATCGGAGTCCTTCCAACCAAAGTTGTTGAATGATCTACTGCTGCCTTGGCTATCTGAACAGCATCACCAAATGCTTTCATTACTTCACAGTCCATTTTCATGAGCTAATCGCAATCAGGTCGACCAAAAGCTGCCTATAGCAAGCCCATGAAAGGAACTGCTCTTTTTTTCCCAGAGAATTTTGACTCAAAAGTGAAGTTCATTCACAATAGGACATAGATTTTGTCCTATGACGTCTTCGATGTCAAAGGACGTCATCTATGTCAACAAAATACCAACATGACGTATCTAAGTCATATGTGTGTATTTTTCAACATTTCTATTAATTTTCTAACTATTTAATACTCTGAATTAGCTTGAAATGAACAATACATCGAAAACAAGCAAATTTTATCTTTTTTTTTCTGACTGGCGGCTATCTTGAAAATAATCCAGTTTTCGAGACTTTCCCTTCACCGGATACGTGCGGGTTTTTAGTATATCATTCCTCAGGACTTGTAGTACTATGAGCCATCAAAAAACCTTTTGTTGCAATTTTTTGGAAGGTTGGGCCCCTTTTTTCGTAATAAAGCAATGTTATACAGTAGTTCATACACGAAGTTTTGTTGGGTCTTTCAACTTATTTAGTGATATTTCGTATAAATAACTTCATTAAGAACACAGAATATAAGAACATAAGAATAGAGGAAACTGCAGTGGGCCTATTGGCCCATCCTGGGCAGTCCCGTTAACACTCAACCCCTATCGCTCATATATCCGTCCAACTTATAATAAGCTACCCAGTGTGTTCAAGTTAATGATGATGTTCGGTAACTTGTTCCACTCATCCACTACTCTGTTTCTAAACCAATGTTTACCTATCTCGCGCCTAAATCTAAATTTGTCTGATTTAAAACAATTGCGATAAATTTGCTCCTGGTTGAACAGTTAGAGTACCTTTGCTATATCACCTTTGTTTAGCCCTGACTTCCATTTATACACCTTAATCATATCGCCTCTCACTCTACGTCTCTAGAGGGAGTGCACATTCAGATGTTCTAATCTGTCCCTGTACTCAAGGTTCCTAATGCCCGGAATTAGTCTTGTCATCCTCCTCCGTATGCTTTCTAGGGATTCTATTTCCATGCTGTAGTACGGTGACCAGAACTGAACTGCATAATCCAAGTAAGGTCTCACAAGCGCAAGATATAGCTTTTGGATAACCTTGGTAGTCTTGTAACTAACACTCCTTTGTATGAAACCAAGTACTTTGATAGCCTTATTTCGAGCAAATACACATTGTTGTCTTGATTTAAGATTCCTACTTATCATTACACCTAAATTTTTCTCAAATTCGGATTTCTCTTTATCAACTGTGTTCATCTGATATCTGGTTTCTCTGTTTACATCTCCAAGGGCCTAGGCTAAGTACTTTTCATATACTTAACATACTGCACATACATTACAAAAATATATCTAACTTCCATTGTGTTATTCATTGAAATACCTTGTGAACTAGAAAATAGACAATATTATATACAAACAACTGAACACAGAAGGCAGTTAGCAAATAGAACCGAATGTTGTCAGCAGTTGGATAATATGTCCAAGGGACAACAGTGATCGGGTGATGTAACTAGGTGGGTGAAGTAAGCAGGTGGGTGAAGGAAGCAGGTGGGTGAAGGAAGTAGGTGGGTGAAGGAAGCAGTTGGGTGTGGTGAAGGAAGCAGGTGGGTGAAGGAAGCACAAGCAGGTGAAGGAAGCAGGTGGGTGAAGGAAGCAGGTGGGTGAAGGAAGCAGGTGGGTGAAGGAAGCAGGTGGGTGAAGGAAGCAGGTGGGTGAAGTAAGCAGGTGGGTGAAGGAAGCAGGTGGGTGATGTAAATGATTAGGTGATGTCAGTCGCTGGGTGAGGTCATTAGACTGTTGCTATCAGCATTCGGGTGTAATGTGTAGTTTGGGAATATTCATAGTTTGTTATGTTGACGTCAGGAGCAGGGTAATGTTAATCGTTTAGTGATTTTGGAACATAAGAACATAAGAATGGAAGAAACTGCAGCGGGCCTATCGGTCCATACTGGGCAGTCCCATTTACACCCAACCCCAATTGCTCATATATCCATCCAACCTATGTTTGAAGCTATCCAGCGTATTCGAGTTAATGATGATGTTTGGTAACTTGTTCCACTCATCCACTACTCTATTTCTAAACCAATGTGTACCTATTTCGCGCCTAAATCTAAATTTCTCTAATTTAAAGCCATTGTTACGAGTTCGGTAGTAAGGTGAAATTTTTAATCGGGTAATGGCATTGCTTTGTTGAAGTCATAAATAGAATGATGTCAGTAGTTGATGATCAGAAGTTGGATGATGTCAACAGTTTAATGATGTCAGCACTTGAATGAAATTCGTAGTTGATTGATGTGAGTAGTTGATTAATGTCAGCAGTTACATGTCAGTAGACTGGTGACGTCACCAATAGGGTGTTGGCAGTGATGCTCACTATTAGACAGCATTTAAATCTCCCAGTGGATAAAGATTTTTCCAAGGGGCCATGAATATAAGTAGAGGTCGGCACACATTTGATAGTGAGGCCATACGTACCAAGACCCAGGAGGTGTATCAAGTACCAGAAATACGGTCACAATGCCGGTCCACGCCCCACCGACCAGAAATGTCCCAAAGGGAGGGAGGAGTGCAGGGTCGCCAAGGTGAAGCAAATCAAGAAATTAAACTATAGGGATCCGCTTCTCCAAGTGAGGAGAAACAAGATAGAAGAACATGAACAAGAAAAACATCGAGATCAAACAGGAGAACAATAAGAACAGAATAACAAGAACCGCAAGAACAAGAAGAGTGGAAAGTGCAGAAGGAAATCAAGAAGACCAAAAGGAAGAGATCATGTTAGCAAGATTACGTGGTGTATGACCTGAGTTGTCGAAGGCTAAGAAACTAAATTAAGTAATCGTGTAACCGTCAGCCAAAAATACCACTCACTCTCTCTTTGCGGCAACAGGACGCACACCGCGGCCGTCATATAGTTTTTGTTACTTATTATTCATCCAAACAAGTTACAACATTCAATGTTTGTGGAAAAAATTAATGAAATAGAGAAACTCTTTGTAGTATAAGCCGTCTCCTCCACTACTCCCGTTCTTCTCTTACATAATCCGACCACACACCTTCCAAGGTAAACAACTTGTGAGTGACGTCTGGATATCAACTAGAGGTACTCAGCCTCAGTTAGTTCTTGGCCGCCTCAGACGTAACACACATTCTCTGTGAGCAGTAATAAGGGAGACTACTGAAATTCATCTACTCGTTTTTACACGTTTCTTTCTACATGGGAAGTCACTCAAATCTCGATTAAGGCTCGTCATCAAATGCAAAAGTTCTCAATAATCAATCACTGACGACTCGGAAATACGCACTCTGAAACATTGGTGGAAAAACTGTGAGATTTTAGTGAAAAAGTTGTCAAGTCATAAGAAGTAAAGATCTTTGAAAACGAAGCTAACACGTTACTATCAAACTGAAGAACACAAGCAACCAACTGCGACAATTCACCAATATTAGCACATACGCAGGTAAGAATGAATTATATAAAATACGATGTGAAGCGATGCAATGGTTAAGGTACACGCTGCTAGAGCTAGGGATGTAATTGCTCGATAATTTTTCATATAGCCTATTGGATTTTGCCGAATGAATATGAAAGTTTTACTGCCGATGGGAATTACAGTGTTTGCGACTTCACACGCTTTTTGTTCGATATTGTAGATATAAATATTTAAATCGGGACACAATAGGAGTGAAAGGTCGAAACAATTACCCAATATCTATCTATTACAACAATATACTATCACAAAATACACCATACTATCACTTACTAACGTGATCATTTACTTCCCCGTATCTAAAACAAAAGGACAGAGCGATTTCCCTTCACAGTATAACAGAATGCAACATGCAGTAGCTTACTTTCGGATTGGAGACAACATGATGTATCATTTTTCACAATAGAAGACATTAACAAACCTAATCTAACTTAACCTAATAAAAAATAATCCAAGTTCTTTTGTTTAGGTTTAATTGCTTCGTACCATCTCCTATCAGGAATTGTTTATTCCGTAGTCTCTCATCCGATAGTAAGCTTCGCCTAGGAGGCCCTTAGGTATTCCATGATATGTAATACCCTGTAGTATTTGGTGGTATTGGGTAATACAAAATAGAATCTAGCAGATGTGTGGTCGTATTTGGTAGGTTTGTGGGAGACTGGTATTTCCGTCTGGAGTTACCAGTGATTATTCTTTTGTGTCCCTCAAGGTTGGCCGAGAAGCTGTGAAGATTGAGCAACACCAACGCAACAATGTTGGTAAAGCTTAACAATTGTGATTTCAACAAACCTTCTCTGCCAAAGCGTTATTCTGCAATGTAATTTCTACCAACTGATATACACGTCCTCACACCCAGTGCCCCCAGAAATACTCCTGTAGCATAACCTAAATAATAAATAAATAAATAAAACTGGCCAACACGTTAACCTTCAGCCAAAACGATCACCCACTCTCACTTTGTGGCAGCGCGCGGCCACCGCGACCTTCACCTACATAATGAGTTTGGTCCCCGGTGGGCTTACTTAATGAAAAAAGGAAATTCGCCTATATTTTTTAGATTTCTAATTGAAAAAGCACATTATAGGTACATGCTTACATGTCCATAAAAAAATCAACACTGTAATATATGCGCATGAGTGAGGGCATGGTGGTATTTAGGGGCCCATGGGTGAAGGCGTGCGATAATAGGACACATGAGTGAGGGAAATGTTAATTTTGAAGGAATGGAAAATAGTAAGGATTTGTGTGGATATGAGGGTGAAGGGACGGGGGATAGGGTGTACGTGTGTGAGGTGAATGCAGGAATGATAAATCTGCACTGATAGGACTTGAGGTGGTTGTTTGTGGGTGATAAGCATGCGAGACCAGAAGTAGAAGGGAAGTCGGTCAGGACTTTCTTCACAAACTGACCATTAGGGTGTGAGTGATGGGCGAGATAGGACTGGGTACTGTCTCGAGGTCAAGTTATGAATTTTAATGAAACAATGCCGACCATCTGTGTCGTCATCCCCTTCTTCAGACGTGGTGAGCAGGGAGTAAATACTCTTAACAGGAGGGGTAGAGAGGAGGTGAAGGAAAAGGTGGGGAGAAGAAAAAAGAGGGACACTGAGAATGGGGATAGAGAGAGAGAGGATAAAGAGGTGTTCAGCAAGGCGTCGATATATCTCTCCTCAACACCAACATTACGAAGTGTGCATATGACTAAATTAAGTCAATTTTAAACACGTTTCTTTTCCCACCTACTGTGTATTAAGGCACCGATATTAACTAGGTGTCTCTTACTCGGTGAAGTAGTCTGTAGACATTTATTTTCACATCGAGTTTGGCATCAACTATTATACTGTCACCACAAAAGAATTACTGTACATGGTGTTCTGCATGTATGGAACAGGGTAGAGTTAGGGATTAATTAGGATTAGGATTAAGAAATAAAAGCAATTATTTATCTACAGTATACGGGGTGCTATGGTTAGGGTTGAATTACATGGACAGAGAGAGGCTTAAATATACAGGGTGACCTAAAAACACACACGTAGAGGAGCTTAAGAGAAGGGTGGTGACGTGACTAGCCAGGTCAGGTCAGAAAAAAGGGACCCACGTCACCACCCTTCTCTTAAGCTCCTCTACGTGTGTGTTGGTGTGGTGATTAGTGGATGTCATCATTATGACCTGACCTCATGTTTTTAGGTCACCCTGTATATTTAAGCCTCTCTCTGTCCATGTAATCCAGTTGCCTCTGAAGATGTCTTGAATAAAGACGAAAGCTAAGGTACTCCGTTGTTTCCATTTTCCCGTGTGATTTTATCAAGATTTATCCTATCCACGTTTTCATTGTGGATTTACATGATATATATATATATATATATATATATATATATATATATATATATATATATATATATATATATATATATATATATATATATATATATATATATATATATATATATATATGGAGAAGTGACAAGAAAGTACTGTATTTATTTTTTTATAAATGAGTCAACAACAGAACACACTTCAGAGGAAATGCTAATGTGAATAGGTTAGGTTATGTTTGTGTTGATCCTAACCAGGTTCCGGATCCTTTAAGTTTGATGAACTGTTAAGTTTTTAGTAGAAATTGAAAATTCTAATGTAGTTTTAGGCAGAAAAAAAGTGGGTAATACCTTAATACGACAGTTGCGGTATTGAACCTCTGACTTTGGAGATAAATTTCAACGTTACTTCTCCATCACCATTACAGACATAACGGCACAGCTCACTGTCAACCAGATTTCTGACCCTGGAAATAAAAGTATGATGTATAGAATTTAATATGTTTAATGTATATGGCGAAGAAAAAATCTAAATTTAATAATTACTACGGTACTATACATGGACATGCCGCTAATATACTGTAAATGCTAACCCCATGAAGATTATGGTCTAGATATATTAAGTGTTTGTTCTGATATATTTCCAAGACCACATTATTCTTAATATTAAAGTTTTATGTTGCCAACTAAAGGGATTAGTGAAGACACTAACCATTTAAAGTTTTAAACAGTTTACGATGAACCAACTGACGTAATAATGGGTCTTGCTGAGTTGTTGGCTTGATTCTAAAATACCTAGATCATTTATATGCAAATCTCTGAACCTGACACAGAAATCCTATTATACAGAACTGATCCGACACCTTGTCATGATACAAGGACTCATAGTTTTGTTATTTAGTTAAAACCTCTTTACAAGTTTTTCAAAATCTGAAAACCTGGAATGTAACTTGAACGTTTTTTAATTTTTGTACTGTAAAGAAATGTTAATTGAGAATTATTCAAACAATTCATGTAGTTGCACTTACAAGTTTCCCTGGAAATAGTGTACGGTAATGTTTTAGTTGGGGCAGACGAGCAAAGATCTTGTATAGGGAGAGTCAAATGACTGTAGGAAAAATGGTACTTGGAAAAAATGGCATAATTGTCAAATTCGGAAAAAAATACAATTTATAATTTTTCACCATTACCTCTCCAATGTATTTAACAGATTGTTTTTTATCTCCTGTAGAACCTACAATCTTTCTTACCTCGAGAAAATATAAAAATGACAAATGGCGTGATAACTATACTGTTTATCAATCAGCTATCTCATCAAGCATAACAATTTACAGGCAATACAAAAAATCTCTTGAGTGCGAGGGACACATACAGTATATGTGTGATAACACACTTACATCAATAGTGTTATATAAAAAACAGAATTAATGCACTGCCACTATTCACGATGAAACATTTTATACATTATGTTACTGTCCAGCATTTCAGAATCAAAGAAATCAAATAAAGTTTACAATAACACTATATTGAAATACGTGTCTGGTATGAATTACACGTAATTGGAACTCTTTTCAGTGCAAATGAAAGTGAAATTGAAGACAAAATGCGTGTTTTTAATATTTTAAATATAAGGAATAAAAAACAAAAATAACTTACTATGAGTTGCCCAGTGCGGGGTTTTCATCCCACTCTCCTCCTTTCTAAGTGTAGGAATTAGTATGGGCAGACGGATACGCTTTACTTTCGCTTGTCCTCAATAAATGTAACTGTATAAATAACTGTTGTGTTTTAGCAACATGACCATACCGACATTATAATGATCAGATACTTTCGTATTCTCTAGATTAGTCATTGAAAGTTAGCTTCTGTCAGTGCGTGTAGGAAGAAGGGAGAAAGCGGATTCTTCTATGCCAACAAGGTGTAAGTTGAGAATGTAGGAAAAAATGGCACAGGAAAAAATGGCAATAGGAAAATATGGCACAGGAAAGAAGCATAATCATTAGGCTAGGAAAAAATGGCACATTAATTGTAATTGATAAGTTTTCGAGAAAACTTTATAGCGTTTGCTACTGAAACTTGCTTCGAGTTATATCAACCTCATAACATAAAACATTTATTAACTTTAACTAAAACATTTACCGTATGTTAGTGAAAACTCGTACATAAATGAATTACAAAATTAAAACTGTCACATTACATATTATTGTTTAAGATTTCCAACGAATGTTATAGCCAGCGCCTTGCACAAACTCTTGGACTGACTTACGACCAGCTTGGCTGTCCTGTCTGGACGTTCTTGTAAACTCGTTTTTGACGCTTCCTGAATGGCTCACCACGAGATTCTTTGATGATGTGAAATGATACAACAGCATGGTCAGCTTCGATCCACTGGATGGAAAGCCAGATAGTTGGGTGGCTGTGCCCAACCAACCTGGTAGTAGAGGAAGTAAAGAAAGCTTTGAAAGGAATGAGTGTTAGTTACAAGACTAGCAAGGTTATCCAAAAGCTATATCTTGCGCTTGTGAGACCTTACTGTACTTGGATTACGCAGTTCAGTTCTGGTCACCGTACTACAGCATGGGTATAGAATCCCTAGAAAGCATACAGGGGAGGATGACAAGACTAATTCCGGGCATTAGGAACCTTGAGTACAGGGACAGATTAGAACATCTGAATGTGCACTCCCTCGAGAGACGTAGAGTGAGAGGCGATATGATTGAGGTGTATAAATGGAAGTCAGGGCTAAACAAAGGTGATATAGCAAAGGTACTCTAACTATTCAACCAGGAGCAAATTTATCGCAATTGTTTTAAATCAGACAAATTTAGATTTAGGCGCGAGATAGGTAAACATTGGTTTAGAAACAGAGTAGTGGATGAGTGGAACAAGTTACCGAACATCATCACTAACTTGAACACACTGGGTAGCTTATTATAAGTTGGACGGATATATGAGCGATAGGGGTTGAGTGTTAACGGGACTGCCCAGGATGGGCCAATAGGCCCACTGCAGTTTCCTCTATTCTTATGTTCTTATATTCTGTGTTCTTAATGAAGTTATTTATACGAAATATCACTAAATAAGTTGAAAGACCCAACAAAACTTCGTGTATGAACTACTGTATAACATTGCTTTATTACGAAAAAAGGGGCCCAACCTTCCAAAAAATTGCAACAAAAGGTTTTTTGATGGCTCATAGTACTACAAGTCCTGAGGAATGATATACTAAAAACCCGCACGTATCCGGTGACGGGAAAGTCTCGAAAACTGGATTATTTTCAAGATAGCCGCCAGTCAGAAAAAAAGAAGATAAAATGTGCTTGTTTTCGATGTATTGTTTATTTCAAGCTAATTCAGAGTATTAAATAGTTAGAAAATTAATAGAAAAGTTGAAAAATACACACATATGACTTAGATACGTCATGTTGGTATTTTGTTGACATAGATGACGTCCTTTGACATCGAAGACGGCATAGGACAAAATCTATGTCCTATTGTGAATGAACTTCACTTTTGAGTCAAAATTCTCGAGGAAAAACGAGCAGTTCCTTTCATGGGCTTGCAATAGGCAGCTTTTGGTCGACCTGATTGCGATTAGCTCATGAAAATGGACTGTGAAGTAATGAAAGCATTTGGTGATGCTGTTCAGATAGCCAAGGCAGCAGTAGATCATTCAACAACTTTGGTTGGAAGGACACCGATTGCTTGATCCTTTTACTCCATTACGTTGCGTTAGTTACGTTAGTTACAAGACTAGCAAGGTTATCCAAAAGCTATAACTTGCGCTTGTGAGACCTCACTTGGATTATGCAGTTCAGGTCTGGTCACCGTAGTACAGCATGGGTATAGAATTCCTAGAAAGCATACAGGGGAGGATGACAAGACTAATTCCGGGCATTAGGAACCTTGAGTACAGGGACAGATTAGAACATCTGAATGTGCACTCCCTCGAGAGACGTAGAGTGAGGGGCGATATGATCGAGGTGTATAAATGGAGGTCAGGGCTAAACAAAGGTGATATAACAAATTACCAAACATCATTATTAACTCTAATACGCTGCATAGCTTCAAATATAGGCTCTTTAACTCGTTTGTGGTTTGTTAGCTCGAAGTGAAACTTGTTGTGCCAGCTTTTCCTAGTATGAAAATTGTGCAATTTTTTCCGAGTACCGTAAGTTGACCCTTTGTTGTTGTTGCTCCAGAGACAACACTCTCTGTGATACTGGCGTGCAATATCAACCGTGACCTTGTTTGTGTAAAAAGTGAGAAAGTGGTGTGCGTGGGGAATGTTGTGCTGGCATGATGTACTACAGTACAGAGGACAGGTTTCCTCGCTCCTTAACCTTGAACTTTTGTGTTGTATGAGTACTGTAAATAGTAACACCACCACCACGGCACTCATGGTTTTGTTTTACAATTACAGTGTGACATAAAAATGAACAAACACGCACCTACAATCACGTGTTTCCTAGGGTGAGGACGTCGGCGCTGCCCTTGGTCTCTTGACCACGAAGACAGCTGCCAGCCTGGTTTGTCTGCACTCCCTGCCCCATCTCCTCCCCATCTGGATTTATCAACATCCTCCCACCAACAGTACAGTGCAAAGACTGACCATCATCAACCCACAAGTGATATACAAAAGTGACAATTTCAACTAGAAAGAAAGAAACAACTTTTAGAGCGACAGTCAGTGCTTCGCGGTCAATGTTGACCTGACAGGACCAGACACACCCTGTCCACCGTACACTCGCCACCACCAACACTGGATGAGAAGCAAAGAAAGACTCCTAACTACAACAGGAGAGAACTGAGGACTTCCTACCCCACCCAGGTGAGAACTAGGAATTCCTAAACACCCTGTTTGAGCTGTAGGATCGTCTTGAGAACATCCTCTTTTCTGATAGTGATATTCTTTAATTTCTCTTCTTCCTTTCCCCTAAATATCAGTTCCACCTAGAATTTCCTGGCGAATTTCTTCTGTGAAAACTGATAAGAAGTAGCTGTTCAATGCTTTGCTTATTTCTTCACTGCCATTTATCACTTCTCCCCTCCCTGACTTTAAAGGCCCAACTTTGTCCTTGACCTTTGTTCTATATACCTGGAAAAATCCCTTGGGATTCGCCTTGGATTCTCTTGCTATTTTGATTTCATAGTCTCTCTTTGCTTTCCTTGCATTTTTCTTAACATTCCTAGATAGTTCATTATACCTATTTCTGAGCTGCTCCTCCCCTCCCTTTAATTTCTTATTATTCCTTTCTTTATTCCTATGTCATGTTTAAGTTTTCTGGTCATCCACCTTGGCTCATTCTTATTTGACCTAATTTTTCTGTAGCCTATCACCTCTGTTCGTTGTATATTTTCAGCCTTCGGGCTGCCATGTTATCGTAATAAACCGTCAATTATTATTATTATTGTTTATTATTAATAGCACCAGCGAAGCAGGCCTACAATCACGTGTTTCCTCTACAACAACACAAACGAAGCAGACCTACAATCACGTGTTTCCTCTACAGCAGCACCAATGAGACAGGCCTACAATCACGTGTTTCCCCTTCAACATCACCAGCGAAACAGGCCTGCATTCATGTGTTTCCCCTACAACACCACCAACGAGGCAGGCCTATAACCACGTGTTGCCTCTACAACAAGTCATTAGTGATTCATACTTATTTTAACCTGTATGTTAACTCCATGTCTCCTTTTGTATTTACAGATTTTGTTAAACAATTCACTCCCCAATGCCACTATACATAACACTGAAAGTCAGTTTTGTCCACTGTCTATGTTCAGCCTCTGGCTGCTATGCTTTTAAATTAACCGCTAATTATTACACACGTACAAAAAGAACCTGTTAGCGATATGAGAGTATAGTAGAGAAAGTTTATCTCATAGGTGTCACTATATCCCGTTGCAGTGAGAGGTGACAACATCACACCATTTGAGGGAGTGACTAAGACAGTCAGCCGAGGGGTTGACGGGGCCGTGAAGGAGAATGACTTTGTTGAGCAGGGCGCTGCGGGTGATCCCTGTGGCACTCCTACGGCTGCTGGTGGCGACGTTGGTGCGGGAGGCGAACTATGACCATGACTACCGATACCAAGTCGCATCACAATACGACTTCATTATCGGTAGGGCCTCTCATGTGTTAACAGATATGGATGGCAGGGTAAGGGACTTTACTGGGAAAAAATTATTCTTGTGAGGAATACCACATGCCAGTGTTATCACTGTCTTCAAACAATCAATTATTCCAGTCAATGAAGCTGAAGTGGTGTTTTTTGTTGTGGCAGTGGGCGGTGGGACGGCGGGGAGCGTGATGGCTGAGAGGCTGGCGGAGGTGGAGGGCTGGCGGGTGCTGCTGCTGGAGGCCGGGGGAGAACAACCCCCGGAGAGCTACGTTCCAGCTTTCAACACCTTCCTGTTTCAGAGCGATGCAGACTGGAACTTCTACACTACACCGCAGACACACTCTCTTAGATTTTTCAAAAATAATGTAAGGAAATTATATTAGTTCTCCATAGGGGACCCAGGGGAAGTAACCATGTGACCTCCATGTCCCTTTGGTATGGACAATGTAAAGAGAGCTGGGGGGGTTGAGATATTAAACTTATGGTGTGTGACCATCATTAAGTTCTGTAGTTAATTTATTTGCCATGTTTGTGTATTGAAGTCCGTATGTATATATATATATGCTGATAACCACAAGGAAAGAAGAAAACACGAAGTTCCCAAGCGCTTTCGTGTAATTCACATCTTCGGGGGTGAGTACAGACTAAAGAGAAATACAAACCAAGGTGTATATATACAGAGGAGGGTGAGACCCCTGAAGATGTGAATTACACGAAAGCGCTTGGGAACTTCGTGTTTTCTTCTTTCCTTGTGGTTATCAGCATATACCTAGATCACGCGCACCTACAGTGATTTACTTGCATATATATATATATATATATATATATATATATATATATATATATATATACTGTATATATATATATATATATATATATATATATATATATATATATATATATATATATATATATATATATATTGTCCTTCATTAATTTAATGAACAGAACCTTCATTACATTAGAGAAAGTAGACACCATCATTCTATGTGAGACTAACTGACAGGCAATTCCGTACCCGCGAGGACGCACCATTGGCGGGTCTTCTTCCATCAACTCCATGATCTACGTCCGTGGCAACAGGCGGGACTTCGATAACTGGGAGGCGCTGGGCAATCCCGGCTGGAACTATGACAGCGTCCTCAAGTACTTCAAGAAGTCTGAGGATTATCGAGGCGTCTACACCACCAAGACAGGTGGGTGAACAGCTGCTACACACGACCCTATGGCACTGGTACAGTACATTGTCACAGTTTTATTTCATATAATTGATACATCAATTTAGGTAACTAGTATGTTATTGTGCAACTAATAACAGTACCTACGACTCTGTACTTTTTGGACAGCATTAATTCGATTTGGACACCATCTTTGCGATACAGGATAGTTGAAAAAGTTATTGCATGAGTCTCTGACAGTCCAGTCACAGGCTGTTACTACTCGTTAAGACATTAATACAGCACTGCAAAAGACACATGATACGCCCATTTGATCTGAAACTGTGACTGACTAATAACACAGACTTGAATACTCTATCTAGCGTTGTGCACTATGTTTAGTGATGATATATAAGAACATAACATAAGAAAATAAGGAGTCTGCAATAGGCCGGTTGGCCTATGCATGGCAGCTCCTGTCGAGAGTTACTACTACTCTCTATCATCCATGAATCTATCTAGCCTCCTTTTAAAACTTTCCAGCGTTCCAGCACTTACCACAAAGTTGCTAAGCTTGTTCTCGTCCACCACCCTATCGTCCACCGTCCTATCTCCCTCTTAAACCTAAACTTATCCAACTTAAATCCGTTGCTACGAGTCCTCTCCTGCTCGGATATTATAAGAACTTTATCTATATCCCCTTTATTGATTCCTTTCACCCACTTAAATACTTCTATCATATCTCCCCGCACTCTTCGTATTTCTAGGGAATGCAAGTAATGCTGCTTTAACCTATCTTGATATGGAAGGCTTCTAAGTCCCGGAATCATTTTCGTCATTCTTCGCTGCACCGACTCCAGTGAATTGATATCCATTCTATAATAAGGGCATCAGAACTGAACGGCATAATCTAGGTGCAGCCTGACTAGCGCAAGATATAGTTGCAATAAGACCTCTGCACTCTTATTACTTACACTTCTAGATATAAAACCTAATACTCTGTTTGCCTTATTTCGAACATTAACGCACTGTTTTCTAGGCCGTAGGTCCGGGCTTACAAGTACCCCTAAGTCTCTTTCACAAGTCGACTTCTCTAGGTTGATGTTGTTAAGGCTGTATATATTGACAGTATTTGTTCTTCCAATATTAAGTACGCTGCACTTGCTGGTGTTGAATTTCATTTGCCATTTTTCTGACCACTCCTGCAGTTTATTTAATCCTCCTGTAGTGCATTCGCATCCGGCCCTGAATTAATCTGCCGCCCTATTTTGGTGTCATCCGCAAACTTGCTTATGTCACTGCTGATCCCAGTATCTAGATCGTTTATGTAGATTATCATATAATCATATAAAGTTGTACCAAAACACGGGTTCATATCATAATAAGTGTATTCCTTTGCTCTCCCTGCTGACCTGACTCACCCACCGGCCATTGTGACGCGGCAGCCAAGTACCACGGAAAAGGGGGGCCCTTGACAGTGGAGAACAAGCGTTGGAGCACTCCGGTGGCCAAGGCTTTCGTGAAGGCGGGGCAACAGCTAGGATACCCCGTCGTCGACCCTAATGGACCCGAGCAGATTGGTAACTATGAGAGACAAGGGATTTAGTATGTACTAATGATAATTAAGGTAAAGGTATTATGTATAGTATGCTCATACCCCTCATAACAATTCGTTTTTTTTTTGGGGGGGGGCGGATTTTCGCTCAAAAATTTGGCTTAATGCATAGAAAATTAATCCGGGGGTGGGGAGAAGGAAACACGAAAGTTACTTTGAAATTTCTTAAGAAGTAGGAAATAGGCCATGGTCTTCAACATTTCAGCGAATTGACGAAAACCAAGCTTGGTACTGCTTAATTGATCGTTCCTGCTTAAATAAAACTTAGAACACCACTTTTTTCCAATTCAGTGCAGGCGCTGTGGCCCCGGTATACTTGCTGCTTCTTAGGTAAATTTAAAGATTTTTTTTCATTTTGGGTTAAGTTTGGGATTGGAAACACAGGATTGTGGTAATAGTGATGTGGTGGTGTCAGTTTTATCTGTCACCACAAAATTTGAGAAGCATTGGCACTGAAAATAATTTCCAATGCATCTCAGCACAGCTTATTGCAAAATTTCTTGGGACTAAAAAAAGCACGAGAATTATCAGTGTTCCATCCTTTCATAGGTTGTGACTCTGTGTCTTCGTTCAATCATAGAGGAAATAAAATAGCCTGGACCACCTGGATGTCATACCCAGAGGTCACTAATGCTTTCCTTGCTTTGGCCATTCTGGAGAGGTATGTTGTACTGCTATATGACAGAAGTAGCAATGGCGGGACAGTACAGAAATAGCAGTGAATATGACAAGAAAAGACCTCGGGGAGCAAGCAGGGAGGGATGGAGGCAGGGACATTTCTCCGGGACACCCTATATATATATCCCCATCACACGCTGCTCTGCTCCAGCGCACAAAACAGTGGTATATCAGACAGACCACATATGAGGTCTTGTAAAAATAGACATCAATTTAGGAGATATTAAAATTTAAAACAAAACAATATTGGCAACAAGAGGCTGCAGTATTAGTAAATAATGAATTTTCTAATTGGTTCACAGTTATACAGGGCGTAAGACAAGGCTGTGTTCTATCTCCAACATTGTGTATTATATATTCAGAATTCTTAATGAGAAAAGTTATAAGTGACAATGAAGGAATAAAAGTTAATGGTAAAGTAATATCAAATATATCAAATATCATTGCTCTTATCACGGATAGTGAAGAGGCATTACAAAAACTTATGAACAGATTAGTGGAAAAAGGTGAAGAATGTGGGTTAAGAGTTAATGCTGTAAAGACGAAAGTTATGGTTGTTTCCAAATTGGAAATAAATCCTAAAATAAAATTTATAGTAGGCAACAGGGAACTTAAACATTTGGAAAAAAAATTGTATTTGGGAAGTAACATGAGCTGTAATGGTAGATGTACGGAAGAAATCATAACAAAAATAATTCAAGCAAACAACAGCCTTTAATAATCTAAAAGAACTAATGAAAATGGGTATTACCTTCAATTTAAGAAGAAAGCTGCTAAAAGGCTATTTAAGGCAAGGACTGATGTATGGGTCAGAAGTGTGGACACTTCCAACAAACAAACACCAAAAAGAGGCAAGAGGCCTTTAAAACATGGTGTTATAGGCTAATGTTAAGAATAAGTTACACTGACCGGACAACAAATGAAGACGTACCAAGATCGGCAAAAATCCCCAAGGAAAAACAGATACTTTGGTCATTATTATTATTTTATTTGTATTTTTTTCTATTTTATCAATTGTTATTAATTATTATTATTATTAATATTAAAATTATTATTAAAATTATTATAATCCCCCACCCCCCCAGGCCCTGATGTGGGTCAGAGACTTCTGCCCGGGTGTGCTGGTCCCCATAATATATATAAATAAATATATATATATATATATATATATATATATATATATATATATATATATATATATATATATATATATATATATATAATGAAGGATTAGGGGATAATAACAAATATTAATAGGCAAAGTTGAGGGTTGGAGAGCCAGGGAAAGGCAGAGACTGGGATGGTTGAATGAAATAAATATCTGGGTTCCCAGAGGGATAGAAAATCTTGGAGAATTGGTAAAAACAGCCCGAGAATGTTTAGAGTGGAGGATTGTGGTCGCCAGCCTTCAGATATGAGGACGGTACTCTGATTGATTGAGTATTTTACACTACAAAGTTATATTCATGACAACGGAAACACAAACAAGCAGACCTAATCTCGCTAACTAAACCAGATAATTTTAGGTCAGGTTTTTATTCTCTATTGCAGGATGCGACTCACTGAGCTTGGATGCTCTAAAAGCCTTGTACACCCACAAAAAAATTATTCGGCACCCGTGTCATATTGTATCACACCGTAAGGGTGCCGAATAATTTTTTAGTGTGTGTACAACTTATTGGCACACATCGGGATGGCCTCTCTGGTCGGTCTGTACTGTACTGTACACTCACTAAAAAAATATTCGGTACCCTTACGGCGTGATACAATATGACACAGGTGCCGACTAATTTTTTAGTGGGTGTACACAGGGTAAATAATAATGCATTAGCTCCAGGAAAAACACAGACCCGTCACCTGGTCGGTAAAACCACTTCTTGGAAAATAAGAGGTTCATCATACATTTGAAAAATTTATATAGGATAAATGATTGAAATGTCTTATCCGATTTAAAGTAATCATTTCTAAGTAGTAAGTAGTCATTTCTGACAAATAAAAATAAGTTGCATATTCTTCTGAAAACTACTTTCTGGTTATTTGCTTTCCACGCTGTACCATCACCGTATGCTCGAATTTACAGTAGTTAAGTGTCTGTGTTTATTTTTCACCCCCCCCCCTCTCTCTCAAAGAAAATTAATCTTTTAATAGGCTGTGTATTTGGATTTTTAAGTACCTGAAGAGGAGTTCACACCAACTGTGACTACTTAAATCAATATACAACATTACTTTCCCTTTTTATCGAGGTAGAGGTTGAGTGACAACTGTGTCCCCTAAAAAGTTGTGTTTGTGTATTATGTGCCATCTACCCATTCACAGTACTGTACATAAAGTTAGTGTTAATTGATTTCGTCTGTTGTTTACTGTATTGACAACCACAGAGAGAGAGAGAAGAGGGAGAGAAATACCAAGAAACACAATCACTAAAGTAGTTCAGTCTTCAGTGATGACCTTCGTTGTGATTCATTTAATACATTTGAATATATTGAGATACGAACATGTATTAAATTAATCTGGCGTAGAGGGGGGTGTGTGGGTGTGTGTGACTGTAAATTGTATCCCGCCAGGCTTTTCTATGATTGATGTGACGCTACGAAACGGGCGGCGCTGGTCGGCAGCTGACGCCTACCTTAGACCGGCTTCCCAGGCCAGACCCAATCTACACGTCGTTCTCAACGCTCACGTCACGCATGTGTGTCATATTATACGTAGTACACGTCACAACGTTCACACAGTCATTCTTCAAAATGATTATTCCTATTGTGATAAATACAGTATACAATATTCACTACATATGTAATTTAGGATTTTTATTAACAAAATACTTGGTCTTTTCAGATCCTGTTTGACGAGAAGAATGCAGTGGGCGTGAGATTCGAGAAAGAGGGGAAGGTATGGTGTGCTGTTTCTTATATTAATTGTAATTAATAGTGATTCTCTGCACAAATTCATTACCCAGACGTAGATCTTTTCATATAGCCACACACGCACACACACACACACACACACACACACACACACACACATAAAATTCATATAAAATTAGTTCGTCGCATTATGATTGGTGAATAACCGTGTATATATATATATATATATATATATATATATATATATATATATATATATATATATATATATATATATATATATATATATATATATATATATATATATGAGATGATCGCAGATTTGACCTGAAAATGTGCTACTGAAGTTTTTGGTGAATAGATATACCGCTTTGTTTTTATTGCTATATATCAATGTTAATCAATTTGTATATGGTAAAATTTCTTCTCTTTCTTTATGGTGTCGTTTACTATCATAATATAGCAAAATCATATCAAAAGTAGATTAGGTAAGGTTTGGTTAGTTTAGGTTTTGTATGAAATTATTCATTTATATGTAGTTCTATGACGTTCATGATCGTTTATGGCCAGTGAGAAGTTTTCAAAAAGATAAATACATAGAAGTAACATCACCAAGAAATGGCTTGGATTCACACCTTCCATCGCTTTCAAGATTTTGCAAAGATATTAGGTCTTTCTGGAGGTAGGATTTACATGCCTGTAGAGTCATCCCGAGTGGGACGTACACTCGGTTAAAAAAAGTATTCTTTCAGGAGGGGTCCGGTGAATTTGGAACTGAACTGAACAATCCTGTTGTCTCGTTAGGGTTGGTAGGCATGATTATGAGACATTTCCTACCTATTAGAGTAGGCCTAATATAGTTATTTAATTCAAAATATAAAATTAGTTCGTTGCATTATGATTGGTGAATAACAGTATGCCTCATGAGCCTTTATCAAAAATCTTCGTTCGTGGTGTTATTTTGTTTCGCACAAGAATTGTAAAGATACATTTTCTACCGAGTGTACGTGATATTTGTATAGTTGAAGGAGCATTTTTCTATCTTTGCAGTCGAAGGTACGCTTTATAATCCTCAAATCTCTGTTTTTCTCAATGCTGCCCACACTTGTTGCGCCGCCTTCAGCGAATGATCGCTCTTTCGACAGTATTCAGGAAAGTGTTAACAGAATGGTTGTGATTAGGGTTGTTGTATCCTACGTGTTGGGTCTTGGATTTTGTAATGTTAAAGAGCATTTGCCAATCTCGAGACCATTTGAACAGCTCATACAGGTCATTCTGCATTGTTGCGTCATCGTCTTTACTTGCTACCTTCCCAAATATCTTTGTGTCGTCCACAAACTTGACAACGTGGCTCGATATGTTTTCATTTATGTAGATCCAATATACCTCACTGAGAACCTTTTTCCACTCAGAATGTACTCCATTTATTACCACCTCTTTGTTGCCTGTGTTTGAGTCATTTGTTTAACCATTTATAAATCTTGCCCGTGTGATGTGCCTCGATCTCAGAGGCTAGTCGTATATGTTGGACTTTGTCAAACGCCTTGGAGAAATCCATGTACAACACAGTCATCGACTGATAAGTCTTGGTCCACGTAGTCTGTTACTGTTTCAATGAACGTGGGCAAGTTTGTTAGCCAGGATTTCTGTTCCATTGAACCGCGTTGTGATGCGTTGATGGGTGTTGGACGATGGCGTCCCTCAGAATTCAGTGTAAAACACTCACACACACACATACTGCATATGCTATATATATATACTATATATATATATATATATATATATATATATATATATATATATATATATATATATATATATATATATATATATATATATATATATATATGTGTGTGTGTGTGTGTGTGTGTGTGTATGTTTTTTATATACAATCTGGATATTTTCTCCCGGGCAATACATACTGAATAACTTGATGGAAATGTTCCCTTTAATCTCATGTCTCCCACTGGCATGAGTCAAACCCGGGCTCACGTAAGGGAATCCCCCAGAGAGGAAACATTTGAGGGAGCTATACGTCCGTCCGTGCGCCCTTCTATTGAAAATTTGGGAGTATTACATAAGTAAACGATTCATGTAAATTAACACCAGATAATTATTTACCTACATGTATATGAGGCATGTGGAGTTAAGAGAAAATCTGTAACAGTGATATGCGTATACTTCCCGGGACTCTATTTGCCTCACCAACTTAGTAATTATGATAATAATCATTGCTAAGGTGCATAGAATGTAAATAGATAATAATATCACTGTGTGTGTTTCCCAGGAGAGGAGTGTGCTAGCAAATCGGGAGGTGGTATTGTCCGCTGGTGCTGTTGGGAGCCCCCATCTGCTTCTGCTGTCGGGGGTGGGTCCTGCCGCCCACCTCTACCAACACAATGTGAGTACCCTCCCCCCTTCCCTTCGTCCACAACTACATCTTTTTTCAACCAGTTCCTTACCGCTGAGGTAATCTGCTTTAGCGATCTTTTTTGCTTTATTGAGCTCATACTATGGGTTGTTCCTGGAGTTTTCTTAAACTTTCGAATTTCTGACATTGTTATCTTTGGGAAACTTCTCTGTAATTTTTATAATTCTCATATGAAAGATGCTCATTCGATGATGCCAATGAACTTCCTTTCAGATCCCGGTGGTGGAAGACGTGCCTGGTGTTGGTCAGAATCTGCAAGACCACCCGGTAGTGGGTGGCTTGGTGTGGACGGTTCCTCGGGGCTCCTCCTTCAACACAACCCTCCTCGCAAATCCTAAAAACGTTTACAACTTTATACATAACGCTGAAGGTTAGTGCTTGGTAGAGTATGAGTCTAATATATATGTTTGTTATAGCGGCATTAGTCAAACTAGTTTCATGCTGTTTAATACATCTTCAAATATCTACAAGTTCCGCAGGTTCTACTTTACATGAAGGGTGATATTCATAATTCAGGTTATTCATTGATAGCAAATTTGCTGTAGACGTTTCTATTAGCTGGTGGCTACTTCTGACAACTAATGCTGAAGCATCATACAGACTGCAATACAGTGCAGGCCGCCTGGGAGATAGACGGCTACCCTCAACGTCTGATGAAACCCTTCTATCATGGTAGAAATAATTATTTTAACAAGTTTCGTTATACATTAAATAAGCTAGGTGTTAATTGGTTATGAGGGTAAAACGTACTAGATTTCTTCTAAAGAATTTTTTTAGTAAATTGTAAATTAGAATTTATCAGTCTGATTCGGGTCTTATCTGCTTAATGCAGAAAGGTTGGAATCTAAAACGAAATACACATGTATATTTTCCCTTCATTCGTTGTTTTTAATTCATCCTCAGTGCTGCATTATACGTGTTCTTCTACAGTACTCCCCTTCCACAACATAACCCCAAACCTTGTTTTCCCGTCCCTTCAAATATTAAAAGCGCTTCCACCGACACCATGATCTTCATTCCTTTACGCTCACTGTTACTTCCTGGACGTCTACCTCCTCACTTTTCGTGCAACCTTCACCCCATATTTCTATCTCTTTCTAGAGTTTCCCCTCACCCACCTATCATCAGCCCATTAATTATATACTCCATTTAACAAACAATTTTTCTTCTGATTTTCTCACTATATCCATACCGCCTTAACAGACCCTAATAGGGTCTGTGTGAGACACTTCTTTCACTTTCTGGTCTCCTCATTTCTTATTTTCTGCATCCTATTTATTCCCAAACACAATATAATTTCTGTTGCTTCGAATTTGCTCCTGCTTCTTAACTTAAGACTCCACAATTCACATTTTAGTTATCTCCCTGACACGGTTCTCTCTCTTCATACATTTCTTAGTTCCCTTATTTACTTTCTTGGGTGGCGGTAGGTCCTCTGACGTCACCGGTGGGAACGGAGGGGAACGCGTGGGTGCCATCTGCTGAGGGCGACCCTAACTGGCCCGAGTTACAGCTTGCAATGGTGAGCGGCACCCCAGCACAAGACTTTGGGCTCTTGTCAGTCCAGGTCCTCGGCTATAAGAAAGAGGTAATGTAACACTTGCTTCTAGCTGTTCACCTTTTATATACAGTACATTTTTACATTTTCCTTGCCTTATTCCGAATTCATTCAGACTTTTTTTTTTTACGGGATTAGCCCACCAGAGCACAGGTCAATGATCCACATCAGGGACTGGGGGCGAAAATATAATAATAATAATAATAATAATAATAATAATAATAATAATAATAATAATAATAGAAATCAATAAAAATTTATACAAAATTATTAAATAAAAATATAATACAGTACTTTATAATAATAATAATAATAATAATAATAATAATAATAATAATAATAATAATAGTAATAATATTGATAACGATAATAATAATAACAGAGTAATAATAATAATAATAATTATAAAGGACCATACATAAATAAATAAATAAAGAGATCAATAGTTAGAAACGATATACATATGTTGTGCTGTCAAAGAGAAACAATTGAAACCCTGCACTTGTGTGTAAATGAGGCAGAAGGTCTGATGAGCAACCTGTCATTTTGCCTCGGTCTTTCACTATACCATTTACTATCAACGTTAAAGCTATCATTCACTCTGAAATACTCTTATGTAAAACTTCCCAATTACCTAGGTCAAGGGTTCACGTCCACGATGCCTTGAATCAAACCTGTACGATTATTAATAAGAGAAAGAGTCAAATTTACTTTGTCAATGTACCATTTAAAAAATAATAATAAAAATAAATCTACGTCTTTCATTTTTTGACATTCTATAACCCGATTTTCTGGTTTGTAATTATGCGATGAAATAAATTTCCCTTTAACTAATATATAAAACATAAAACAAAAGACATTAATTTGTCCCCGCAGATGCATAAAAAATGTAATCCTTGAAACTCAAAGAAGGGATTGAAAATGTCTAATACAACAGTTACAATTTGTTGGATATTCGGTGTTACGCACAATTGAAATTATCATCGCTGGTTCTCCTGAATTAATGACTTATATTTGGACAGTCACCAAGGACTCCTAGCTATTGCAGCTTACTGTCACCCATACAATGTCAGTCATTATACCAGTGTTGTCATAGTCATAATTACAGCCTCATGACGTCTAGCAGCGAGTCTACAGAGAATATGGACTAAAACCTGATAGGTATCTACCTCCTGGGCGAGACGCTTGCCACATCACGTCTTTCTCCGTTTTTTTTTTATATAGATAATTTCCGCTATTTGCAGTAATTCCTTCTCCTGCATTCTCTTTTTACATGCTTATGCCCTGAAATATATAAATTATGCTAATAGTTCTTATCTTCGCGCCGTTTTTGTTTCTTCTGGCAGGAGTACTACGACCACTTCCAAGACATCTTGGGTCAGGAGGGCTTCATTCTGGCACCGTTGCTGACTAGAGCCCTGAGCCGGGGCGACATCACCCTGGCCTCCAGTAACCCCCACCACCAACCCCTAATCAACCCAAACTTCTTAAGTCACCCCGACGACGTTTCGGCCTTAGTCAGGGGTCAGTTTACAACTTACACTTCCTCTACCTGACGACAACTGTGTTAACGAGTTATGCTATAGGCCATTTGATTTTTTATAAGATTTGTTTATGTTGACCATTGCTAAATCAACGATGGCATGAAATACTTGACATCTTATGCAGGCAAAATTTCATAAAATTATTGTCTATTGATTAAACTAGTAAAAATTCTTGAGCGGGAACTTAATATTATAATATTAAACAATGATTGCCAATTTCCAAGAAAAACAAAGTGGTGGGCAGTGCATCATGTGCCCTGGAGTCTGGACACATATCCAAATATCTGCAGCCAATCAACACATACGCAATGATGAATTGTATTTTCTGTATTCATATAACTAAGTCTACTAGCATTCACTTCTCACCCAGGGATCTGACATACGTTAAAGAATATTTTATAACTCTGTGTTGGCGTTGCAGGGATCAAACTGGCACTGAAGGTTGGGGAGGCACCAGCACTCCGGGTCGAACACTCAGCCAAATACCACAGCAAGGTATGTCTTACACCACCTGCCCCTCTCTCACACCACCTGCCCCTCTCTCACACCACCTGCCCCTCTCTCACACCACCTGCCCCTCTCTCACACCACCTGCCCCTCTCTCACACCACCTGCCCCTCTCTCACACCACCTGCCCCTCTCTCACACCACCTGCCCTCTCTCACACCACCTGCCCCTCTCCACCACCTCTCTCTCCACCACCTGCCCCCTCTCTCCACCACCTGCCCCTCTCTCACACCATACATCACCTGCCCATCTCTCACACCACCTGCCTCTCTCTCCACACCACCTGCCTCTTCACACCCACCTGCCCCTGTCCCACACCACCTGCCCCTCTCTCACACCACCTGCCCTCTCACCCACCACCTCCCTCTCTCCCTCTTCACACCACCTGCCCTCTCACACCACCTGCCCTCTCTCCCCACACCACCTGCTCCCTCTCTCACACCACCTGCCCCTCTCTCACACCACCTGCCCCTCTCTCACACCACCTGCCCTCTCTCTCCATCATCACTGCCCATCTCTCACACCACCTGCCTCTCTCTCACATCACCCTGCCCTCTTCACACCACCTGCCCCTGTCCCCACCACCTGCTCCTCTCTCTCACACCACTCTGCCCCTCTCACCACCTGCCCACACCCTGTCTGCCCTCCCCCTCACCACCTACCCCTGCTCTCTCTCACATCACCTGCCCCTCTCTACACCACACCCGCCCCTCTTTCACACACCCCCTCCCTCCCACACCACCTGCTCCTCTCTCACATCACCTGCCCTCTCTCCACCACCTGCCCCCTTCACACCACCTGCCTGTCCCACACCCACCTGCCCTCTCACATCACCTGCCCATCTCTCACCACCTGCCCTCTCTCACACCACCTGCCCATCTCCCACGCCGTCTGCCCCTCTCTCACACCACCTGCCTCTCTCTCACACCACTTGCCCCTCTTTCACACCACCTGCCCATCTTCCACGCCTTCTGCCCCTCTCTCACACCACCTGCCCCTCTCCTACACCACCTGACCCTGTCTCACAGCACCTACCTCTCTATACCACCTGTCTATATATACCAATTGTTCCTCTCATACCACCTGCCCTTGTCTCACACCGCCTGCCCCTCTTTCCACACTCCTAAAACCCTCCCCTTAGACTCTTTAGAGTATTGTCAAGTACTCTGGATTTCCTATGTACTCCGATAATCCTTTTAGGAGAGATAAACACACCTATCCATCCCCCTCTCCATGCTTGGCTTTCGTTGTTATCTGTACCTTGAATCACAGTGACAGGTAGAGTACCATGCCATCGTAACCAAATGAAATAGCTCACAGAGTCACAGTATTCAGACGGTTAAGACATCATACTCAATGAAATAGCTCACCATCTTCAGAGGGTTAAGACATCGTACTCCACGGATTCAATCATTTTACTCCGGAGGTTAATTTTTCTCACTCACTGACCAATTTAATTGTACTCATGGGGTTAAGGGGTTGGCATCATACTCATGAGGTTCACGTTTCACCTCAGGGTAATGTTTTAGATCCTCTTCAGTGAGTTAAATATAACGAGATAGAATTAAAATACCCGACAAAAATAAATGGTGAAGATAATACTGACACTGATGACATGGACAAGCTACATTGGACGTCATCTTTATACTAGCCGACGTGTACTGACGATGCCTGGGCCAGTCCTTGCTATAGCTGACACTAGTTGTACTAATCATAGGCTAATAGTACATTATATAAGCCCTTCTGAAACATTATGGCTGACAGCCTGCATCTTTTCTAACCATAATGGTTGATCAGTATATGTCTCAATGCTAAATCCTCTGTAGACAGCTTCTACGACCAACTACTGACGGCTGGCTGACACAGTGTGGGTGTATGTATAATTGCGTATGTATTCTGACAGCCATTGAGGGGGTGTGAGCACGAGACGGCCTACACAGACGCGTATTGGGAGTGCTTCATCCGCCACCTGGCCAGCTCCTCTTACCACACCGCAGGCACCTGCAAGATGGGCCCCGCCTCAGACCCCCTGGCAGTCGTAGACCACAGGCTCAGGTAAGACTCTCCTCTTCCCTCCCCAATAGACTCGGATAGGGTTCAGATGACACAGGCAACTGTTGTTTATGAGATTCAGATAATACAGTTAACAGTCATTAACGAGATAGCAGCCTCAGGTGATGTTTGGTAGCACACTGGGTGGATTGGGCACATCAAGCGGTAAGAATGGAGGCGATAGGGAGAGGAGATACTGACGTTGTGTTCTTGGTGCAGATTACGGGGCGTGTCAGGGCTAAGGGTGGTAGACGCTTCTGTCATGCCGCTCGTCGTCTCAGGCAACACGAACGCCGCCACCATCATGATCGCCGAGAAAGCCGCTGACTTACTGAAGGAGGACTGGGGCATCCCAATTACTTCGCTTTAACGAAGAGGACTTCCCATGTTTGCTCAAGGCGCTTCATATAGTCATTTTACTTGGGTTTTACCCGTGTTATTAGTTGTTGTTTACTGCATGAAAATTTGATGCACTCTTATTTGTATTATGTAACGTTGTTATGTATCTACTGTACAAATTCCTTTGTTTACAATAAAACGAGATTTCAAATTTTTGAAATTAATTACCTTGCATACGAGTATTTGAACGTAACGGATAAAGTTGTTATTGATTCTTGACAGAAACTGATAATGGGTAAATAAGAGGGATATTGCATCTCTGACACTAGTAGTGTAGGGGCTAATGTAACAATATGTGGTCCCGTAAAAAATTAATGTTAATTTTTGACACCTTACATCATTTTAAACTTTGTAATCTATAGTTTAAGAAAATATATGGTGTATTTTTTTTCTGGTGTGATTTAAGGTCGCATTTGTCCAGAGAAGTAAACGAGGAAAAAATCGTTCGAGAGGCAAGAGGCGAGTGTCTAAGGTGATAAATTATCAAATACTACCATTTGGGTTTTCAAATTAAGTTCATTACATAAAATGTCAAAATCATAAGGATTATAAAAGAACAAAACACCATGAACTCTCTCTTCAGTTATTGTCATCCAGCAATATAGTGATGTACAGAAACTGCACAATGTTATTGCTGACTGTATTCCATTTTGTCAGGAAAATTATGTTCTTTTAAACTTGGTGACAGAACCTGTATTGCCAGAAAATGTCAAGCATGAAATTCTGGAAAAAATGTCCAAGGTTAATCTCGTCATGGAAAGCAACAAACAAGACTTCAACCATCAAATTACCTTCACAAGCTATAAAACTTAAACAGGAGAGATCATTGTTTGCTAGATTCCTAATCATCTCAAGATCCCGTGATGAAATCAGTCTACAAGAGGCGATTGGCATGTATGAATTCCCTTGTCTGCGTGTCTCCTTCATAAATCATCACGCGCATGCGTTCCCGTACACATCCCCAGGCCAATCAAAAGCGTATTTTTTTTTTTTGGGGGGGGGGGACCAATTAACATGATTTGTGGATTAATTAGCTGTATTTTTGGCCCAATAAAATTCGATTTTTAGTTTGGGTCTCTCATATTTCGAAATTCAAATTCATTTCCGACCAAGGAAGTCTGCGATGGGTGTCACTTCAATTATATGGAGCTGATTACGAGTTTTGGGGGGAAAAAAAGAAGAAACTATAGCATTTTTTCGATCTCATGGTGTTAGCCCGACCTCAGTAGTGTCCTAAGTGCAAGAACGAATGTAAATGTCGTCAAGACCATCATATGTGGCATTGTGGTAACTCCAAAGACGAACGAGAGAGAACCAAGCCAATAAGGTAAGAAATAAGTGATTCCATTATATGGTGATTCAGTTTTGCCCACCCGGGCACAGGTCACTGACCCACATCGAGGCCTGAGGGGCGAAAATGTAATAATAATAATAATAATAATAATAATAATAATAATAATAATAATAATAATTCAGATAAGTAAACTTAAAAAAATACAAAAATAGAAATAATAAAATAATAATGATAATAATAATAATAACACTGCAATAATAATAATAATAATAATAATAATAATAATAATAATAATAATAATAATAATAATAATAATAATAATAATAATAATAACAATAATAATAATAAAGAACCATAAAGAAATATAATAAAAAAAGATCAAGAGTGAGAAACAATATATGTATGTTGTGTTGTCAAAGAGAAACAATTGAGACCCTGCAATTGTGTGTAAATGGGGCAGAAAGTCAGATCAGCAACCTGGGACTTGGTCACAGTTTTCGTGATGCCATATGGCAGCAGGGTCTACCATTAGGCAACACATTATGCTTCCAATATCTTCCCAGGCGGTAGTACCTCCCTGTTTGGTAGCTGCTTATCTACCTACAACCTTACAAGGTTAGGTTAGGTCAGGTTTATGTTTTTCTAGTGTTTTGTGTGTGTATTTTGTATTCGCTTAGCCATATTTTTTGTCGGGAAACGCCCCCCCACCCCCTCCAAAAAAAAAGATGAAAAAACGGTCAATTTCCGACAGAAATGAAAGTCATAATCGATCTAAACACACCTAAATACAGTAGAAAAACATATTTTTTACTTTTTAACAGAGTTGTGTGCACTTATAAAAATTTACCAACAACTCACCTATAACTTGAGTAATCACCGACAGAAAAACACTGGCCAAAGGGGCGAGGGCCAGACACTGGCCTCATAATTATAGCTCCCGCACTCAACTCATCAACTGAAGTCCATTTAAAATTTCCAAGTGAATACGCCCCGCCCCCTTGCTGCTGATCGGCTGATACGTATAGTGAGAGACGAGACTACTATGAAAAGTGAACCCATTACCGATTGTTACTGTTGTATTAAATTCTTATAATATAATAATGTTTATAATTCACTAAACCGCTGTTGTGCGAAGTTTATCATATTAATGCCAAAAAATTTGAGATTATTTGATAAGCAATGTTTGTTGGAGCTTATCTTTCAGACAGAATATGGTTATTATAGTTAATGCATGCCACAAGTGGTCGTAGTGAAACGCTACTTTATAAATTATCATTTTAATTAATACAAATTATTTTAATCTTCATGTTTTATTGACAAAATTATACAGCTAAAAGTGCGTGAATGAGCATACACATCGCTATTGTTGCTACTCTGGGAATAATTACAACAGGTAAGTCTGTCCGTCCCCCTCCTCTGTTCGAAAGTGTCAAGCTGTCAAAGAGGAAAAAGGTTTAGGACCACCGTTCCCCCACGTTCCACCTCCACTACACAAATAGGGCTAATTGCTGATTAGTGAAAACAAATATTTATTGGATTTGACGATATTGCTTGCTTAGGTAGTAGGCAGCTACCAAACAGGGAGGTACTACTGCCTGGGAAGATATTGGAAGCATAATGTGTTGCCTAATGGTAGACCCTGCTGCCATATGACATCACGAAAATTGTGACCAAGTCCCATGTTGCTGATCTGACTTTCTGCCTCATTTACACACAAATACAGGGTCTCAATTGTTTCTCTTACTATTGACAATACAATACACATACTGTATATTGTTTCTCACTTTTTATCTTTTTTTCATATTTTTATTTCTTCATGGTTCTTTATTATTATTATTATTATTATTATTATTATTATTATTATTATTATCATTATTATTATTATTGTTATTATTATAATTATTATTTTATTATTTTATTTTCAAATTTGTATTTTGTATTATAAATTTTATTAACTATGAATTAATATTATTATAATTATTATTATTATTATTATTATTATTATTATTATTATTATTATTATTATTATTATTATTTTTATTATTATTATTATTATTATTATTATTATTATTATTATTATTATTATTATTATTATTATTATTACATTTTCGCCCCCCAGGCCCCGATGTGGGTCAGTGACCTTTGCCCGGGTGGGCTAATCCCCGTAAAAAAAAAAATAATAATAATAGCTTTCAGTAATATTCCTTTAGATAACCTATTACTATTTAATAACCAAGCCCAAGCAAAGGACTACTGGAAATAAGCAACTGATGACTTTGTCGGCTAACCTTGGTCAAAGTTTCCTTACTGTTTACATTTGTTGTATACCCGCACTCATGCACTGTCTGCAGGTAGGTATACAGTGCATTGGAAACTATATCTCCACGGTGTATGTATACCTGCGTTCTTTACACATACTGACCTGTTGCATAGTTTATGCGTGCCAAACCAAGTGTAAACTTGTACGGATATTTTACAGAATAAAATTTATTAGAGGTGTCCATGCCAAGAGAAGAAGTCCTACTTAAAAAAGATAAATAATTGTTTGCCCATAAGTAGACAAATAATTGTATTTTACTGCAAAATAGTCAATGTGTTGCTTTGAGAAATTATTCCTAGATATCTAAAGTGGGATGTCAATAACCTACTGACTATTATTATAATTATTAATTTTATTATTATTATTATTATTATTATTATTATTATTATTATTATTTAAAACATTCATAGTAAATTTTCTAAAAAAATATAATCTCCATTTACGCGGTCAATTGAACCCGTGGAGGTCCGCGTAAAACGAGAGGCGCGTAAACGAAATAACAGAACATATGGGATTATTTGAAATAGAGACTGGGACGACCCCCAAACTCCACTTTTTCCGACACAATACGTACGTAGTATTAAAAATAGTATCTTAATTTTATGATGGTATGCACACACACATAATATAGAAGAGAAATATCAATAAGAAAACAAGAGAATAATATACTGTACCAGGTAAAAGAAAAATCAAGGTTTAACACTTACATTAGTAGAAGAGATGGGTCGGCATACGGGGATGGGGGCTGGTTCCGAGGCAGAGGGCAGATTAGTGGCCCTCAGATGAATCACTATCACTATCCACCACAGTTGTCAGGACCTCCCTGACAAACCCCTTAAAGTCACCATAACTGTCACTATCACTGACTTGGGGTGGCTGTTGTGGGTTGCGGGCGAAGAAGTCGGTGATGTTATGCTGACGGCTAGCGTTGGTGTGGTCGTGATACATCTTGATATACGGCTCCATAGTTTGGTGTAGATGGTTATTGGAGACTTCATATAGGTGATTGAGAGGGTCTTTGGAAAGGATGAGCTTGAGTTTCTCGGCAAACTCGATGGCCTCCTTTATATCATCATGTGTTAACTTCTGTTCTGGTACTGAGGCACCACCTGCCTCCTCACTGACATCATCGTCTTCCAACATATCGTCGGCAGTCACCTCAGGATCCCTGATTACCTCCATGATGTCGTCGCTGGTGGTCTCGGAGAAGCCTGCATCTGTAACACTCTGTGCAGCTTCTCTTGCAAGGTCCACTGCCACTGCAACAGACTGAGCCTCTCCAGCCACAGGTTGAGTCTGCCTCCAACCTAGGATACCCTGCAACACATGCGGCCACGTGTGACGAATCGTTGCCACAGACAGCTGCCCCCATGCCTCCACCAAGAAATCAACAGCTTTCTTGACGTTCAACATTTTCCAAAACTGTTTAACTCGCACTTCATGCTCCGCCAACTCTTGTTCTGGATCCTCGTCCTCGCTCTCTCTATCTGTGCCACTCAGAAGGTTCTGCAACTCATCCTTGGTGTTTGTGTAGTCGTTCAGGAGCTTAAACTTCTTTGCGGAGAATGCAGCCTTAACGTTGCATATCAACTCCTGGTCCATGGGCTGGATTAACGACGTAGTGTTAGGAGGAAGGAAGACCACTTTTACACTATGGTGACGATCCAACAGTAGGGGCGAGTGTCCTGGTGCGTTGTCAAAGAGCAACAAAATGTTAAATGGAACATTATGTTGCTCGCAGAATTTCTTAACGTCTGGAACGAAACAGTCATCAAACCAGGAGAGGGACAGACCAGTGAACATCCACGCCTTACGTGCGGTTAGCCAGTGGACATTTAGCTTGGTCATATCCATGTTCTTGTAGGCGTGCGGCTTGCGGGCTGTGTGGATCACCGACAACTTGTGCTTACAGGTGCCGGAGGCATTGGTGGTAAACAGGACGGTGATGAGCTCCTTCTGCAACTTCCGGCCCCGACACTTGCTGGCAGACTTGACAACGAAGGTCTTGGAAGGTAATTTTTTTTCCAAAACAGACCGGATTCGTCCATTTTGAACACCTGGTCGTCGGTGTATTGTCCTTCCTCCATAATGTCTCGTAAGAATGGAGGAAAATCCATGGCGGCAGCACGGTCAGCACTGGCTCCTTCACCAACAATGTTAATGTTGGTTATCTTGTTACGTTTCTTAATCCCTTGCAGCCACTCAGAGGAAGCAGTGAAGGGTTTGGGCTCTGCAATTCCCATCTTGCGTGCCAGATTCGTAGAGTTCACGGGCGTAGTCCTGCACTACCCGCGTGTCGACCGCCATGTCGCGTCTTGCCTGACGAATCAAGTAGCTCACCAGTAAATTCTCAGTCTTGAGCAGCACCTTATTCTGACAATACTTCACCATTGAAGCACCTGCAGACTGTGTGATGCTCATGTATTTTTTTATCTTGGCGGCATCCTTCTTGATTGTACGAATCGTAGATTCGTTAACTCCATGCTGGCGCGCGAGATCAACTTGTCGGGTTCCCTTTTCTAAGTCCTGGACGATTTTGTACTTTACTTCGTAACTTAGGGCGCGTCGTATCTTCTTGGGCTTGGGGCGGCTTGGTCCAGGTAATTCAAGGTTTTTCTGGGGTGGTGGGGGTCCAGCGGAAGCCATTGTTGAACAGATTAGCGGGCACAAGAGAGAACAGTATATGCAGAGGCTGAGAACAATGAAACTGGCCGGGCTAGGTCAGTGGCTTCTTTCTTCCCGTGGCTGGGCACGTCATATTACATTAGACCAATCACAGCTAGTGGCGGAGGGAGGTAAGGATGCGTGACCCAATCACAGTCCGATACCTCATATGACGTCAGCGATAACGCAACAGCGACATACTGCGCACCCTTCCCGCGTATTGTGTCAAGAATGGACCGCGTGAATCATAATTGGCGCGGCGCATCTGGACCTCTCGCCGCGTAAATGATGCAATGAACCACGTAATTAAAAATTTTCATTCTGGTAAGGTGCCTCGTAAATGACCAAACGCGTAAACCAAATCCGCGTAAATGCAGACTATACTGTATTACATTTTCGCCCCCAGGCCCCGATGTGGGTCAGTAACCTGTGCCCGGGTGGCAGCGGCGGCTCTAGAATTTCTATACAGGAGGGGCTTAGAAGTTAGGGGTGGTAATCTAATTGGAAGAGGGGCTAGGGGACTTGTCTCGATGCTACATTTGGAGAACAAGCACACTATTTTACTTAGAACGCATATTACATATCAATAAAAGTAGCAGTTTTCTGAAGATGCATTTATTCACACTTTACATAAGAATGAGAAACCATGCAATTGTACATACAAAAGAATAAGAACAATAATTACATCATGAAATTTCATCAATATGCACGCCATCAAATTAATGAAGAAATTTATTTGAAACAAAAATGAGAGAAACTTGAAATAACTTATATATAGCATGAACGTAATATATTCATTCTACTTTCAGATGAAAGCTCAGTTTAACTGAAAACAAAAGTTATAGCAGTGTGAATCTTCGGTTGTTGTGGTTAGAAGCAAAAGCATCAATGCTGTCTTCAACATTCAGACTCTTGGCTCTTTTCGAATTTATAGATATAACTGCAACATCACTTGTTCTGCCATCACTACTGCTGTTCCTCAAGTAAGCTTTTGTCAGTCGCAGGCAGGAAAAACTGCGTTCACATGCTGCAGAATTAACTGGCAAGGTCACACTGATGCACACCAGCTTATACAGATCTATGAAAGTATCACGGTATGATTTGAGCAAAATAGCAAATTCAAGTGGAGAAGTAACAGTATGACCCTGTTGTTTTTTCTCTCAAGACGTCGTACTTGATGGAGCTCAGCTCTTAAATTTTCCTTTTTGATACCACAGTGAAATGCATTACTTGGGGTGGCTTTTGGGGGGCTAATGGAGATTGTGGGGAGGCAACTGCACCCCTCCCCCCGAAAGCCACCCCTTGGCGCCGCCACTGCAGGGTGTGATAATCCCTGTAAAAATAATCCCTATAAAAATAATCCCTGTAAAAAAAAAACCCTCTAGTTTGAAGAAGCCCTAAGTTTAGAAAACAGTAATGTGAGAATCGTAACTTTTGGAACAATCTGCAAGAGACTGTTGTGATGGACCGAGTGTTGAGCTCTTTCATACTTGACCAATTCAGGAGCAGGTTCAGATACATTCAGATTTAAGAAAACAGTGCATGCCCAGTACCTGCCAACAGTGCATAACAAGAGACGTCACCGACCGCCCAAGCGGATAACGAGCTGATCAGTGGCGAATAGACTATACTGTGTTAGGTGAACGCTGGATATGTAAACAAGACAACGTTGAGGTACACAAATTAATATTTCATGTAAACTTTACATATACTGTATTAATACGTATAAGTAGAAATATTTATTATTATGTTAATAATAATAGAAGATATGTGTATATTGTAGTCAATGATTTTTTCCGTTTTAATCGGAGGGGTCTACTGACAGGTCCACCAGACTAGGGCCTGCACTACTGCATCTCACTCTCAGTTACCTAGAGAGATTAGAACGCCTGCACTTGCCTAGCTTATACTATAGATGAGCAATAGGCGATTTGGTAAATTTGCACTTCCCTCTCCCACTCTGTTAGAAAGTCAAAAATATATTATTATAGTGTATTTGTGTGTGTTTAGACCGAGTATGACCTTCATTTCCGTCGGAAATTGGCCGTTTTTTTATCTTTTTTTTCGTGGGACGTTTTTCGAAAAAAAAATAATGGCTAAGCGAATAAAAAATACACCAAAACACACTAGAAAATCAAAAACCAAACCTAACCTAACCTAACTGACTCACCATATGATGGAATCACCTATTTCTTACCTTATTGGGCTGGTTCTTGTTTGTCGTTGGATTCTGAAATTCTTACACAACGCCACATATGTTGGTCTTTGTGATATTTACATTCAGTCTTGCACTTAGGACACTTTACTGAGGTTGGAAGAACACCATGCGATCGAAAAAATGCTATAGTTTCTTTGTTTTTTCCCCAAAACTTTCAATCGGCTCCATATAATTGAAGTGACACCCATCGCAGACTTCCATGGTCGGAAATGAATTTCAATTTCGAAATATGAGAGACCCAAACTAAAAATCGATTTTGATTGGGCCAAAAATACCGCGAATTAAACCACAAATCATTTTAATTGGTTGCAAAAAAAAAAAACGCTTTTGATTGGTCGCGTGACGTGTACAGGAACGCATGCGCGTGATGATTTATGAAGGACACACGCAGGAGACACGCAGTGTGAGAGGTGAGGTAGGCGATAATGGCAGAAGATTAATGGAAGAAAATAGAGGAAATTTTGGATATGCTATCTCCGTTATTATACATTTGCGATGGTAATGTAATGCAGTAGATGAAAATGACCTTATAATAATTAGACATCTTATTAGAATATGATAATAGATTAGTGGTAGGAATGTGGAATGTGTAAATGCAAAAATACCGGTGATTTAGTAGAAGTCTAGGGTAATATTTGTTTTGGTGCCCAGTCATTAATAAAAAGTGAACATCTTACTGTAATTGGCTTTTTAAGCTGAATGTAGATATATCGCATTTCGGTTAAGATTCGTATTAATGTCCCCGTCAGTATATATAGAAAGAGTTAATATTCTGGGTATAGGTATAGTTTAGGGCTAACACCAGGAGTTTCTAGAAATCGTTGATATCTTCTCTTGAAGAGGGATTCAGCGAGGTAGACAACAAAAATAAGCGAAATTGATTGAAAACAATTATAAAAATGTCGGATTTTCTTTGTTATATTATAGTGGACACTGTTGTAGTTGTGGAAATATGTTAAAGAATGGATATTTTTAAAATAATTGCACTTAACATTTGTGTGTATGAAGAACAGACCTAACCAACCAAACCAAGCAAACCTGCATAACCTTACCTAACTTCCCCGGTATATTAAGCAGAAAGATCTTACAATGATATGGTGAAATTTGAGGCATTTTCTGGACTTGAGATGATACAGCCGCATCGGCGCTATGCAACCCCGACGGGTTAGTCCTATATATTAACCCCAAAAATAATTCTTAAATTATACTAGAAAGTGGTCGTTTCTTTTAATATACTTAAAATCACCAAAACAATAAATATAACAAAACTAAAGAAAATCAACAAACTCCTTCTAGTGTTAGCCCTAAACTACACCTTTACCATATTATGCTATTGTTTTATTTTCGGGGAATAGCCCACCCGGGCACAGATCATCGACCCACAACAGGGCCTAGGGGGCGAAAAAACTAAGAATAAAAATAAATTAAAATTAGAAAAGAAAAAGGTTGTATTAATCTACACCACGAAGATGCCGGAAAACCAGTTTTTTAAAGTGAGACAGATTGTATGAGTATGGAAAAACAGAAGGCAGAGCATTCCACAGTTTGGCTGTGTGAGGGAAGAATGATGTACTTCCGTATAATGGGTTATTCTAGTGTGACTGACATCCACAGAGAAACAGTGGGCACCGCGGGCAAGACGAGTGTTACGAGCCCACGGCCTTGCCGGCGGCACGCAGGATGCCAAATCCACCGAACATTGCCCATTAAGGTACCTGTAAATGAGAAAGAGTGAAGCAACATTGCAGCGAAGAGAAAGGGAAGAAAGATTATAAAAACAAAAACATAAAATTACACCATGACGCTTTAACAAAGTTGCTTATTTTGATACCAGATATCAAAATACAGTGGTCCCTCGATTAACGAACGCAATTGGTTCCACAGTCATTCGTTAACCGAAAATTTTGTTATCTGAATCTATTACAGTATTTCAATAGGATATTGGGTAATTGGTTCCAGTTCACAGAAAAAGTACATACAAAGTACTGTATACCGGTAATGGAATTAACAAAACATTAAATATAAACTAAATACAGTACTGTACTATACAGTATACTGTACAATGATAAATAAAAAACATTAGAATACTATATTTTAACTTACTTTGAGGTATGTATGCAATCAGCTGTTTGATATGTAAACAAAGCTGCCGGGAATACGGCAGAGGCAGTCGATGATGACATGCCATATTCTTTACACAGTGCATTGTTTCTAATGCTATCTTCATGTTTCATAATAATTTCTGCATTGTATATTATCAATATGTGAACTAAATTTCAGAATGACCAATAATTTTAATATAAAAAATGCAGAAATATTCAAAAGACCAACTTTCTTGATATTTACTCCATTGGAAACGAATGAAAACATAGAACCAATTACTGTAATGGCGGACTAGCCGATCAGCTGATGCGCACAACAAAGCGTGTTTCTCGTAAGGATTTCGTTAATCGAAGTTTTGTTTGTTAATCGAACTGAAAATCCTTATGGGAGCTAATTCGTTAATTGCAGCTGTTTTGAATTTGGCGGGTGATGGCATGGTGCAAATTTTTGCAACGAGATGGCTCTGCGTGCTGCCTCTGATTCATTCCCCCGTCTCTGCACTTGTTTACACTTACTATTTGTCTCCGACTTTGTGCTTTATGCAACCATGCCTAAGCACCCCAGTGATAGTTCCTCTTGTGGTGCCTCTCTTAGCAGCAGCTTGTTGTGATGTGGTAAAGCATAATAAGAATGGTGATGGACGAACAAAATTTGGTAGAGACTTGAACTTGGCACCCTAGAGTGTCTCTACCGTCATTAATGCAGATAAATACATTCTCAATTTATGCTTTACATTCCTTATTTAATGCTTATTATGCTTGCTTTATCTGTCTGCTTTATTTTATTGCTTGACAGTCCACAGTTCAGAGATATATCAAGGGTACATGGGATTTTTTGAGGGGTGGCCGGTCCCTAACCGCCTTAATTTGTTATACAGGTACTATTCTTTTGAGATTAATTGCTTTGATAACCGCTGATTCTCTAACCAACAACTTTTCACGGTCCCTATATTGCATTGATTATTGGGATATGCCTGTATTTTTAGTTTTCTAGTTATTTTTTAGTTTTCTATAATGTAGTTCATAAGAATCCTGGAGTAAAATCTGATAGCTTGTGAACATGATACTTGAGGCGATTGGTCCACGTTTGGTTAATAATGAAATTTTTTGATTGATTCCTCATCTTTTTAATTACTGTGCTTATATTTTGTTGGAGTGGCATTGTCACTGTTGGATTATGTTCTAAATGTGAAAGACTTAGCGTATTTGCCGGCGTATAAGACGCATTTTTTTAAAAATGTATCCCAAATTACCCTGCGTCTAATGCGCCCGTATTACGGATGGCAGGCCAAGCTCCGTAGGCGGAGGTGCCTAGCTAGGTAGACTGGGACGAGCAGTAGTCCACTAAGCACAAAAATTGTTGCTAATAATATTACTCTTAATAAAATACTGAAAAACAAGCCAAATTATTACAATTACAAACTTACGGCAGATTTGCAGAAGACGTAAATAATGGCTTACATTGGCTTAACGGCGGAGGGAAGCTCACAACATCTCACTATACCTCCTTCCCCATCATACGTACCGGTAACCCACATCAGATCTTACATTATTTAAAGACTGTATTACCTTTAAGAAACATTTGTTTATTATCTAAATGAAAAATGCCCCAAGAAAGATTAAAGAAATGTTAACAGAAAGTTCAGCTACCAGTCAGCCATTTGCAATGAGTCAATGACGCCAAAACAATAGCAATGGTGCTACACCCTGGTGGCCGATCGCGGCAACACAAAACATCACAGCCAAAAATACGAGTTTCACATCCTGTCTGTAATTCTCTTGACCGAAATATAAACAAGCTGCTCTGATCAGAGGTAGAGTTGGGTTAGTATAATGTTACTATACAGTACGTATATGATTAACTACTTGATTCCAGTATACAGGTATATTGCATTTATATGCACAAAATCATATGTTTTCCCCTACAAAACCACTTTAAAATCACTTTCAGTAATTGTATGACAAAACTTACTAAAAAAAAATCCACAAAATATCCTTGTAAAATAGGGGTGCGTCTTATGCGGTGGTGCGTCTTATATGCCGGTAAATACAGTAACTAATCTTGGTTATTGGTATTAGGAAAAGGTCTCTGTCCATGCATGATGAGTTAGAAGGTACAGTACTGTAATGTAGCCAGGTGTGAAATTTCATTTTTGAGAAGTTGTTTAATAAAGTGTTGCCTTTAGTCTGGTTGGTTGTTTTCAGTTTACCCAATATATAGGGATGCTGTACCTGTGAATAAGTTCATACCAGAGCCAGGGAACCTCACCTCAGATATTTCAGAAATTTGGATCCTCTAGATCAGGGGTTCCCAAGCATTTACCAGTGCAATCCCATCAAGTGCTGTCATATAACCAGTGACCCCAAGTTATTGCATACAGTATACTGTTCTGTATGCCTGTACAGTATGAGGATTCTTACAATAAATGTTTTTATACATATTTAACTGTAAAAACAAATATTACACAATTGAGGAGTCTAAAAGTAAATAACTGGCAGAAACAGATTACTGTACAGTACTGTATAACTCTGTCATGTTTAATGTGACATGTTTATATCATCATTTAATGTTCAATACCTGGGTGTATATTTACATGATTAAGCAGCATAATATACAATTTTGTTATACTGTACCCCAGTATACAAGTCTGTCATATTTTGTATGTGACTTTTGTGTACTATAGTACTATACTGTATTTTCATTTAATACATTTTCTATTAACTGGAGGTATAATTACTGTATTTGATTAAAATTCATTGCATACAATTTTCTAAATTACAACTCTGTCAAATGTTGTATGGTACAACTGTGTCATATTTCATATCTGATATGTGTGTGTCATCATTGATTAATTTTCTATACCTGGGGGTATATGGGGTTAAGCAACATAGCATACAATTTTTAAGTTGGAATTTGAAATATGGTTATAGTAATAATTGTTTATAAGCACCATTAACAAGAAAGCTGCCTCACAGACATGGTACCCTGTACCTCCAAATTGTAACCAAAACCTTGATAATGTACACTAGTTAAATTTTTAACTGCTGAATGTCTCTTTTGATAAAGTAATCCAAAATTTTGTTGTGTCATCATAAACGTCAAAATTCACCCAAAATCAAAATCAAACAAAATCAAAAGACTCAGTAAGGAACTCAGGGAATCTCTCATTGAAATTTCTGTTCGTAACCATGAAAAGTAGAGAGTGACTGAGCTGAGAACAGTTCAAAAGTAGGGGTGTGGAACTTCTGTTGTGAAATGTATCATCAGGGCAAGCCTGACCTGAACTGACCTAACCTGACACAAAGAAAGTCCTAAACTATAATATATAGCCCAGACCAGTGGTGTATAAAAGTTTCTGGAAAGGGGGGCCCAAGACTTGAAGATAGGGACATTATACTGTATTTTATTTCCATCGGGTGGTGTAAGTAGGGAGCCATCTGCACTGAATAGTAGGACATATTTTATGGTCAATATTAGTACGTCATCCCATTGGCAGATTATTCAATCAGTAACTTTTTAATCTGTTTATTTTGTTATGATCATGTTACATGTACAAAGCTCCTTTGATAACTTATTATCATTCGTTATTGTATGTCTTGAAACATAAAAAAAATAAATACTGCACAGCTGTAGTCGTTTCCTATAACTACTGTAGAAAACAAATAATATTCCCTTTCACCAAATAACTTTTTCTGATTAACAAATTAATTTATCTGAATAATTATTGATGCAAATTCTGTATATTTGAATAATGCAAATGTGGCTGTATCATGTATCAAAGATAGGTTATAGGAAGAATTCATACAGGATATGTTTAAAGCTTTGTGAAGTGAACTAAGTACAGGGTAATAAAGGAGATAGAGAGGGTGAGAAGGACAGAGAGAGCATGGTACCAGTAACTCACTTTGTGAAGTGAAGTCAAGTACAATACTAATCTGATTTTACATCTTAATTCTTTGATGACATCATTAGCATTCAATTCTATATCCATGTCCTCGCAAACTGGTTGCGATGGGTTGAATGAGTTGAGGGCAGTAGCAGAAGGGGGGGTGGGGAGGGCATGGTCACGTGGCCCCCTATATATGCCAATGGTCCATTGGCCATGTCCTTCATTCCTTGACACCTGGACTAAAAAAATCACATGTGTTCGCTGCAAGACCTTATGAGCTCTATGCTACCCCATCGACCCCATGACCTCTTTGCTACTCCATCAACCCCGTGATCTCTATGCAACCCCTTATGATGCATCTGGGGTCACAACCCCATGTTTGGGAACCCCTGCTCTAGACTATCCCTCCTCCCAATAGTCCAGATATTTGAGGGTTTTACTGTTTATGTTTTATAATACATAATGTACTGCACCATGGCTCATTTTGATGTTGGTGATGAGAAACTAAAATGTTTTATTATCAGGGTTGATTTTCTTTTTCAGAATATAGAGTTATATTGTGATTGCTTTGTCGCAATTACCTCATAATGGGTAAAATAAGAAGACTTAGGCAGAAGTATCATGCCAGTTTGAGTAAGGATGGAAAAGATCAAGAATCTAATGGTCTTGCTTCGGCTCCTAGAATTCCTCAATTAGTGCCTGTGGTTAAGAAGACAACAACTGATGGAGTCGGTTCCAGGTAATTTCTGTTGCACCATCATTATCAGCCTTTATGATCTTATGAATTGTGTAAGTAACTCCTGTATAATCCGATCAAGGCTCTCGGTTGAAAATCAGTTAACTCTAGGTTATGATGACTGACAAATTTACTGATTAGTTATAACTTTCTGTTGCAACTATATATTTACAAAGGGTATTTGAAGTAGCAAAGGTTGCCACTCTATGATGAAAGCTAATGCGTTGTAGTGTTGCTGCAGCTGTGTTCGCTATGAAAGATCCTTGAACTCTTATACAGTACAGGGTATTTTCATTCACACAGCTCATAAAAAATTATCCTAAACTTCCCTAATGGGCACAAGCTAGTTCAACTTGCATTTTTGTTTAAGTAAGCAATTGTCACAATGACTCAAATTATGATAATGAAAAAACAAAATGACTCACCTCTAATTGAAAGCTGTTCAATACCTCTGATTCAGAAATGACTCATTTTCAGTTGGGATTGTGACTTAAATGCATAGAAACAAATACAGTACATCCCAAGATCTGACTTTCTTAACTTCCCTTTGGTTGTTGTTGTCTACAGTAATCTTGTATGCTGCAACATCTATATGAAAAAATTCCTTTCTTAACCTCCTAACTTTCCAGGGATACTGTGCCACATTTTGATGCATAGAGATTCCCAACATTTGCTACCTGATTGAAGATCTCAATACATCTTAAGAAGGCATATCTGCCTTGCATTAATTTGAGTATTAATCAGTGAGTTCTTCAAAAAATTATGGAAGGCTTGTTCTCACTTACATCTTTTATTAGGAGGAGACACAATGCTAATTGTGAAGGTTAATGAATTATCTGCAGAAGTGTCGTATGAGTGGAGGGAGAGTGGAGTTGCCATTAATTGTTATCAGGCAACCTTAACTCTTTTGCCCTAAAATAAAGCAAACCATAGGTTCTGACAAATGGAACATGATGGGAATTACTTGACCTTGTGCAATTCACCTCCTCATAATACCCAAAATTCGTAGATTTGTTCTCTATATGTTGACCTTAGACCCAAACCAAATGATATATTACTCTTCATACAGTACTGTACTGTACTCCATGTGCGTACATGAGAACTCTCATTCCCTGATACTCTACCTGTTCATGGGTGAGCAAATAAAGAAGTTTAGGTAACAGCACATTTTGAAGACTGGTTTATGAACTGATTTTGCACTTTAGTATTTGAGTGACATTTATGCTGCCCAACACCTTTTCCTTAATTCAACCAATGGATTCGGAAGTGGTACATTAGCTACTGAACATGTAAAATTAATGATTTGAGATGGCCAAAATCTCAGTTGCTTGAAGCTAATGACTAGTCATGTAGTTCTCTACACTCACCTAATGCCAGCCTCTCCTCGTGTAGAAAAGAACAGAATAAAATTAATAGCACAGTGTTCAATTGCTTTTAGTGTATGCATGACAACTTATTATAGAACAGAGTTATCAAAAGAGGAACTTTGGCTGTAGGTGGGAACATAGACCTGCCTTTTTTTATCAATTTTGGCTTATACCGTACAGTACTGTCCTTGTCTAAAAAACAACCATCAGTATAGTAAATGAGAGCAACATTTTTACTATAGTGCTTCACATTCTCTGTGGCTAACCTTTATTTTCTTCTACACATGTTTTTGTTCATAAATTATCTTTTAAAAGTAAAGAGGATATATATCTGTCATATCTAATTTAATAATGGTCACATTTCCTCTGATATTACTGCTATTCAGATTTGTTCTTTTTCATGAAACAACTCATTTATTTAATTTTTATTACTGAACTCACTGAACACCTTGTTTCGGTACATCTTTTAGTAAACAGTGGATTGTGGGTTTTTGTATCCCCACTAAAGGTTCCTCAGGTGTCCTGCAACAAACATGATACTGTTTTGTATCAACATTGTGATATGAGTGTGGATTAGATTTATCAAGATTAGATTTAAGAATACTATAATGATAAATTTGTTGTTCACAGTACAGCAGTTGAATTCAGAATTAGCACTTTCTCATTGAATGATTGTTTTAGTATAGGTAACCGTTTGGGGGCATCTTTACAAGCCTTCTGAATTGGCCTTGAAGTAAAATTGAAAATAACTTGCCATACATATGAAATTATGAGAGTTCTTAAAAATAGACTGATGACCACCAGTGCTGCAGTCTGCTCTCAAGGGTGCTATCTGCTTAAGTTATATGTAGTTAATGTTTGTTTTGCATAATGAAAGAAAAGTTTACTACAGTATCCTGTATATATCTGCTATGTTAATAAGTTCTGTATCCTTAACAAGTACAGGTATATCATTCTTCGCTCTACCTTATGCTTTTGTCCCTTACCTTTACTTTGAGAACCCTGCATTATTACTGTACAGGTTGGACCTCGCTTATCCGGGAAGCTTGGGACCAGACTGGTTCCAGATTAGCGAAAATTCTGAAACATCAAAGCCGAGGTTAAAAAAATTTAAAATACAGTAATGCATAAAATGTACTATTACTGGTACCAATACAATTTATTTCAGCATAAATCTAGCCCAGGCTTACTGGACCTCTTTATGACAAAGTGCTAGTGATATGGCACAAGTAGATTAGCAGAAAAAGCAAAGAAAAAATTGTATATTATAGGCCTACTGATACCTGGAAATTAACGGCAGCCAGATTCAAACACCATCCTGAACCATCGAAGCTGCCGGACTATCAGGTCCCGCATTAGCCGGGTCCAACCTGTAGTAGTAACTATTTAACTGTTATTTTTTCAGTGGTAATATGTTTGCTGGTTTGCAAATCAAATTAGGGGAAGCAGAAAGCACACCTCCAACTGGAAGTATGGATGTATCAGACACTATGAGCACCATTTCTTCTGGTCGACGTGATAGAAGTGGTAGCAAGAAGGAGAGAAGAAAACAGAGACACGAAGAATTCATGCAAAGTACGTTTTATTATAACGGTGAATACCTGAAGCAGATCTAAGATATTGTTATTACCGGTAGTTATATTGGTGTTCATGGAGCTGCTTAATGTAACAAAAAATGAAGTTGGTAAATATCAGGTACAGTACAATGATTGTACAACTTGTTGCTTCTGTTCTGATTACAGTCCCAGCTACCCTGAAGATGTGCAATAATCACTTTTCCATTAGTTAGCAGAGAGCTTTAATTTGTTTTCCTTGGGTTCAACCTAGGAACCATAATCCTTAGCAGCCACTCCTTGAGCTTGAGCATCCAGGAGTGACTGTCAGGGAGCCTGAGTATGTACAGGTATATGTTATGTTTTATTTGTGGAATTGGTTATTTTGCAAAATGACCAGCATGCATATTGGTAATTTTGCAAAATAACTTACAAACAGACAACCTAAACTAACCTAACCTTATGGTTGAATAAGTTTAGGTTAGGTCAGGTCAGGATGGTTTGTGTAGCTTGATACACAGTTAAGTGGTCATTGTTTTGTTTTTTTTGTTTTTTTTTTACTTTGGACGATGTGCTGTCCAAACCATAAGGTTAGGTTTAGGTTGTCTGCTTGTAAGTTATTTTGCAAAATTACCAATATGCATGCTGGTCATTTTGCAAAATAACCAATTCCACAAAAAAAGTAACATATATACTGTGCAGGGTAATTCTCAATTGCTTACAGTAAATTGTATATGTGTATAATAATAATAATAATAATATTAATAATAATAATTAATGTTTTATTGAGATAACATGGCAGCCAAAAGGCTGAAAGTACTGTATACAGTACAATAAACAGAGCTGAAAAGTTTGATATGGTGAAATTGGGGAGTGGGTTACTTGATTGACAAAAGCTTTCAATACAAAAAGCTAAGAAACATAGGCAACATATAGATTAACTATAGCTCTGTTACTGTGGGAGTTGCTCTTGTTAACAGTCTTGTGATTTATTAGTGGCTCCAACTAAGTCCTTCCCATGGTTCGGATGGCCTTCGTACCTAAGTGCTAAGGGCCGCTCGTTCCCTACAGCTGCAGGTGTGTAGCACATCCACCACGTGGTCTTGGTAGCTCACACAGGATGTTGGAAAGGGTTCATGTGATGTAGTTATGAATTCATAGTTTCTCACCTGGATGAAGTAGGGAGTCTTCATTTCTCTCATATTGTATTTTGTAGTCTTTCCTGGTTTCTCATCCAGTGTTGGTGGTATGAGTTTAAGGTGGACCCTGGGTGTGTGAGGTCTGAGTCAGGTCACCATTGACCACTGATTGTCACTCTCTAACAGTTGCTTATTTCTTTTGAGTTGAAATTGTCACTTTTGTATATCAGTTGGGGGTTGATCGTCAATCTTTGCATTGTATTGCTGGTGGGAAGTTGTTGATAAATCATGCTGGGGAGGAGGAGATGGGGGAAGCTGTCAGTGTGTATATTGTGTTCAATAAATTGGAAAGGATTTGCATCTTCAATAAAATTATTTGGCAAAACAAAGATTACCTCCCTACAGTTTGAGTAATCATAGAGAGGTATATTGCAATGAATTGGTAAAAAAATAATGTTTTGATTTATATTATATCATGTACAGTCAATAAAAAAGAAGTATTGACCACCCTGCTGTGCTTATGAAATATTTTGAAGACTGTAAATGTATACCTGTGGTTACTGCTCATTTGCTCATTTTCTATTCCACCAACCTTGGGGGGGGGTAGATACTTATTTTACTGACAGTACAGTACTGATTGCAATATGGTATTGTGTATTAATATATTGCTGCATATCCAATCAAAATGCGGTCTGCAGAAAATTAAATATTAATTACTTTGTAAGAATAGATTTTCTCCAGTTGAATGTAAAGTTCTGTTCATATTTTTTTCTGTTGTTTCTTTCAAATAGAAATTGATGTTGTACGAGCTTCATCAAGAGCTGAGAAAGAGCGCAAGAAACGAGAAAAGACTGCAGTAGTTGGAGATATGCACCCATTGCTAAATGCACTGCCCTCCTTGGAAGAACTTTTTGCCTCTTCCAACAAAAATAAAGATTCTCAGATAATAAAGGAAGTTAAGGGAACTAAGAAACAGAAAGAAGCACAAAAAGATTTGTAAGTAACTTTTCAATTTAAAACAAATACAAACATATAATTTCCATCAACACATACTAAAGTTATTAATTGAATATGAGGTTATGGTACACTTATTCCCTCTTTCTTAGTTTCCAGCACTTATTAAATCCATGATAGTTTAACAATATTGTAATTATTACCTCCATTGCTCCTCTGAACTAGGACCATCCCATTCTTAATTTTAGTGAACCAGTAGTAATAAGCAAAAAAAAATTTATCATAATTTATACATATTCATGGAACTTGGTAGAGTCCCAAAACACACGCTATTTCTAGATTCAATCAGAAATCAGTAGTTTACAGTTGCCTTGAGTTGTGAAAAATAATTTATTCAGGTGTTTATCATAATCATCATCATCATCAACATTTTATGGCCATTTTCCATGCTTTTGTGGGTTAGCTGCATTTATTTGAAGGCAGCTATCCATGCTGCATTCTCTTTTCAGGTTCTTAACTCTAGTGTAATTTCTTACAACCTTACTCCATATCATTCTGGCCTGCCCCTGGCACTTCTCTCCACATATGGTCTTATCCATTCTCTTCACATGTCCAAACCATCTCTGGCTGCCTTTTTTTACAGAACGTCGCCAGGGAATATGTACTGTCAATAGTGTTCCTGTCTATCATTGTCACTGGTATAATTATCTACTGTAAGTTCATGAACAGTACTGTATATGTCAAGTCCAAATTTAAGCAGTCCCATGTGGTTACATGTTAAAAGAGTTTATTTGGGCATTTTTATTCCCACCATAAGTACACAACTGTACGTGGATCATATACAGTATTACCCCGCTTTACAACGCTTTACAGGTTTCACTTTCCGCGATTTCTCATTTAGAAATCATTTACGCGGTACCTTGCCAGAACCAGACTTTCACTTTCCGCGGTGCATCTACTCATATACACGCAGTGAAGTATAATTTTTTTTTTTTTTATTTAGCTCATAAAATTCATACACATTACCCGGCCAGAATATAATTTACATTGCTGGAATTCTTACAATATGATGATCATTTTGAATATAAACATCATTGATTTTGCATTAGACATACAAATTTTAGATCTAAAGTAATAATTTGGTTTACACAAAGCAAATATTTTATCTTTTGTGCAAAATATATGAAGTTTACATTCAAAATATTCCCTGACCTGCAAGGAATCCAGAAATGTCAATTATATTATCCTAACTGTAGTCTGAGGTATTATTTATTACTAAATGTTAAAATCTAGAGTTTTCACCCACATATTTATCTGGTAGGGAGGGAAGGTGGGGGGAGGGTTGGGACCAACCTACCCAGCTGGTGTGAGTGTGAGGAGGGGGGGGTACTTTGATTGACAGATAGTGTCGTGAAGAATATTTTTTTTTTATTAACTGAAGATATTTGTTTTAGCTCATAAAATTCATACAAATTACTCGACCAGAATATAATTTACATTGCTGGAATTCTTACAACATGATGATCATTTGGAATATAAACATCATGGATCTTGCATTAGACATACAAATTTTAGATCTAATGTAATAATTTGGTTTACACAAAGCAAATATTTTATCTTTTGTGCAAAATATATGAAGTTTACATTCAAAATATTCCCTGACCTGCAAGGAATCCAGAAATGTCAATTATATTATCCTAACTTTAGTCTGGGGTATTATTTATTACTAAACGTTAAAATCTAGTGTTTTCACCCAAACATTTCTCAGAGAGGTATGAGCTAGTGAGCTGGGAAGAGGGGGTGGGGGGGATTTGAGTCCATTATTTGAATGGACATTAACCTGGCGACTGTATTTCACTAAAATATTAATTGTGTGAGCATACCATCATAAAATTTAGATGTTATTTTTACTACAACATAGGTATTGTGTCGGAAAAAGTGGAGTTTGGGGGTCGGGCCAGTCTCTATTGGAATTAATCCCATATGTTCTGTTGTTCACTTTACACGGTTTTCACTTTTTCATTTTCACTTTTTCACTTTCCGCGGTACCCTGTGCGTTCAATTGTCCGTGTAAATCGGGTACTACTGTACCTGTAACTCTTAATGTTCAAGGAAGGTGATTTTAAAGAAGTTCTCTTGCCCAAAAATATTGATTTAAAAAATATAGTCACATACCATGCTGTTAACATTTTGGAATATTTTTATAAAATCACACCATAATTTGCTTACTTGATGTAAACCTTATCAATAGGAATATTTTCTCTTCCTGTGACCATGGAAACAACAAAGGATTTATCATTTATAGCTTCTAAAGTTTGATAATTGAGTGGCTTAATGATATCATTTCCAATGAGTTGCTGAATGTGAATGTATATTTAGCTTTTTTTTTATGAATCTTTGCACTTATAAAAACTTTTTTGTGTCATGCTTTGATTTAAAGGCAAAAACCTCAAGGCTTACTTATTTCATTATTCTCTAACACTTGCATTGCTGTTAAGTCTACATTTAAGCTTTCAGTGTGTCATTCTCCTATATTCACCAGATAAAATACTGTTCGGATTCACTGAACAAGTACAAGTACTGTAGACTCATCTTCACCATGCACAAAGTCACTCAGCCAGCTGCCTGATTGTCCAATTTCTCCTCATTTACTCTCATGTAATGTATGAAAAATTTAATAAAAGAAAACCATCCTGTATTCTTAAATTTCATACTATTGTATGCATATTATGTGCAATAAAGGTGTAGAGTTGTAAGAGAAGTGTGGAATTTGGAAGTGAAGAAAATTTTGGTGGTGTGGAATGCTAGCAATGCATGAGTGTAGTGTCAACTGATGGTTGAGAAGCTAGTTGGCTGGCTGGTGGCTTGATTACATAGCATTTTGCACCTCTCATTGCTGATTTTTTTCCAATGGCTTTAAGGCACCACCTTTTAAACATTTGAAACCAGCCTACAGTGAAATCACAGTGCTGTTGAATTTTTAGTTTTTTGCAAAATTAAAGTTTTTCTACACTTAGCACTGATACAGTATTTACTTATAGCTTTGTTAAACTCAGTTCTATCATTTTTGTGTTTGTTTGAGGGAATTTTAAAAGCAGAATAAAATCAATATGAGACAAAGAGTGCAGAGCACACCCAGATTGATGCTTGAACCAGCATCATCATAGCTCAAGTATCTGTGATAGCATCATTTGCACCATGTGAACAAAGCAGTGGGATTGTAAGAAGACGCAACAGCAAGAGGTCGAGTATGGGATTTTTTTTGTAGAGAACCTATTTCAAATTATATAATGAGTCACTGTAGTACTAGGGCAAAATAATTATTAGAGTTGTTGACTTTGTGTTTCATAGTGTTAACTTTTGATTCCAAACTCATCTGATTTCTATCAAGTCCAGGTATAAAATTATTATTTACTGTATTGTACTGTACTGCATGTATTTCCCGGTGCCCGGAAAATTCCGGGGATGGGGGAGTTTTTTCTGGGTTTGAGAGATGAAAATCAAGCACATTTTCTGGAAATTCTGCGAAAAATGTTCCATTACCTGGAAAATTCCGGGGATGGGGATATTTTTCCGGGTTTCAGAGATCATGTACGTACTGTAATGGGAAATCTCTGGAACTTCCGAGAACATTTTTCCGTTACCCGGAAAAATTCCGGAAAATTCCGGGGATGAGGGATTTTTTTTCAGGCTTCGAGAAAGTCATCTTGTTACCCGGAAATCTCTCATTCCCGGAAGTGCTCTGCACCAATTGTTCCGGCTAACGGAGATATCACTGTATTAATTTTTTCCCTCAGAATGCAAAAGATAATTATACATATCGAGTCATAGGAAGCTTACTGTTGAAGATAAAAAGGTTGGGTTTGTTGCATTAGCATTGTAAATACTGTACATTATATACCTACAAGTAATTTAATGTAAGTAATCATAATAAAATTATTAAATCTATACGTAAGCATGAGTATAACACAAATTGTAGTGCATGGCTCCCTCTCAAGCTCCCAAATGCGAATATTCCTCGCTTAGGATTTCTATATTGTTCATATAAATTATACATATGAATTGATAATTGTAAATTATTGGTTAAATGTAATGCATAAAAATATTACATAAAATTTTTAACAGAAAATATTGAATTTCTGTATTTACATGTTGTTATATGTTGGAGCAATTGGTGATGTTCCTCCCCACTCCCATAATTGACTGTCTCCTTTTCTTCTGAGCACCACCAGAACTCTCACTTTTACGCTTTCCAGTCATTCTAAAGGGAATTAGAAACGAAAATATTGTCAGTACACAGCAAGATCACTACCAACAACAACGATAGCCAAACACCAACTGAGCGCGCTACGGCGTGGACGCTGTACACCACGAGGCGACCCAGCTCACGCGATGCTCTCGTACGGGACGGAAACGTTTCGGTCCTAGAAAATACGTACGGAGTTTGAAAAATTTTTGGTACGACTGAGGCGGTCGTATGTCCGGATGGTCGTATGTCGAGTAGGTCGTAAGTCGAGGACTACCTGTATATACAGTCAGTCCTCAACTTACGATGGGGTTAGGGACTGAAGACCAGGTCGTAAGTCGAATTGATCGTAAGTCGAAAATGCAAAAATAATACATAAAGAATCTAAAATGGGTGTCTCTTTTTCTTCTCAGCACCACGAGAACTCTCACTTTTACGCTTGCCAGCCATTTCAAAGGGAATTACAAACGAAAATTTTGTCAGTACACAGCGCGATCACTAACGCCTGGACTCGAAAATAAGTAATTTGAAAAATATTTTATACGACTGCAGCAGTCATATGTCCGGGTGGTTGTAAGTCGAGTATCCTTAGTAAAACAATTGCCAAATGGCAATGCAGTAATTTTTCTTTTAGTGTATTTATTAGTATTATTTATAATTATTCTTCACATTTATGGAAGAATACACTAGACCGCTAAGGGATAAAGAAGTGGCGCCACGCTAATCCGTGGATACATAAAACTAAATACCGCGGTTGGTGAAATGGTATACAGAGTGAAAACTGTGTATAAATGGAATCCACCGATAGGAAAGCGGTTGGCGAAGGTTTACTGTATTTAATAAATGTAGTCTTGAATGATTCATATGAATTCCTCCAAAATTTTCCCATTTATGAAGGAGACTAGTTTGAGTTAGCACCATATGTAAGTTTGTATTACAGTATTTACTTTTTCATACACATTTACTACTTATTTCCAGTTATGTTGATGCACATTTTTGTTCCCTATTGATGTCACACCACATCCTATATATGGAGCTACATGATTCTATCATGTTGCAGGCATCCACCAGAAGCTCTTTATCATAATCTCCTTTATGATTATCTTATTAAGCATTGTGTAAACATTTACCCATCATTGGCATAATGTTTTATCCATTGTAAATGAGTATTCAAACAAAATAAATATTTTATACATTATGTTAGGCCAGATCAATTTAGGTCCAGTTTTATTGGAGGATATCGTAATTTATAACACTTTAATTTTTTTTCAGCATGTCAGATATGCAGACGTTTATGACAATTCAACAGGATCCTATCTACAGAAACGACCCATTTGGTGCAGTGTGTAAGGGAGTAGAAAATAGAGTACTTAATGAACAAGAAGATTCATGATTATAATCTGAAATGTGAGCATACCTATGTGAATTTTTTGTTTGCAGCAACAGTTGGGTTGGGTTTATGTAAGTATAGTAATGCCTTGTTAGTGCAAAAGATGCATTCCAAAGGGTCTTTGCATTCACAAGCAAATTTTTGGTAAAGAAACAGTTTATAACCTGTACTTAAATGGATTGTCCACATTGAAAACAAGCTAGGAGGTACCCACCATAATTGACAATTGTCGCCATAAGGTCATCAGTAACTTCACAGCTACAGTACCTCTTTATAGCACTTGCTGATTTAGCAGTTATACAAGTTTTATGAATATCTATGGCATTTAACATTTTGAAACCAACCTGAACTGGCTTTCAAAATTTCTGAAGAATTGCTATCCTCTTGTTGATTTACTTTAAAATAGAGAAAGGGCTTTATTGCAAATGACTGCTTGACTAAGGGACATGTATTTCTTAGAACATTTAGAATCAATATCACAACACAACACCAACATTTTCTTAATTTTTTTCTAACAAATGAGTTCATTAGAATATTTAGTATCAATTGACAACATCAGCAATCCCGTCATTTTTCTTAACAAATCACTACATGAAACATGAGGTTCTTCACCGTTGCTGGGGTGACTGATTCAACAGAACCGTTGAACATGTCTTAATTTAATAGAGTTTTATAAATTGTATAAACTGTTATTGTTCTGATATTCTGATTTTTTTCAAAATGCTGAATCACTTAAATTTTTTCTTGAAAATTTGTTTTTCTTGGTAATATAGAATCACTTCCTGCACTTACAGTATACTGCCATCACTTAAATTTTATCTTTTCTTCTTTGATTTAATGCAATTATGTTCCCATAGCTCTTATTTTCATTTTGCACTAGAAATTAAACAAAATACTGTACAGTGTTGGTTGCAATGATGTTACCATTGTTTACTCTGTTTTTGTGACAAGTGCTTTTGCTTTGTTTTTGTAACTGTGAAGTGAGTAGTGTAACTTTAAAAATGTCTGGGAAGGCCAAGACACCCAGGAAAAAACATGTCTCTGGAGGTAAAGCTTGACATTGTAAAGTGGCATGAGACACCCCTAGAGGCTGTGGGAGTCAAAGTGACATCTCCACTCCACCTTCAAGAGCCCTCTTAGCCTCAAAGGGGACATGTCATAATGACTAGGCTTGTTCTTAATGATGTGGTGAATGTTGTTTAATTGTTTTGTCGACATATTATTAGTGTAGGAATTTTTTCTCAGTGATACATGTGGGTGTCCGACTGGCTGGGAATGTATCATATTGAACTCCATGTTATAATGTTCTTGATTTATGATATTTCTCCCTGTGATGTGTTTTTCAGGAACCTAACCCTATAATAAATGGGGGATACTGTACTTGTAATCTTGTCTTTTTATGTACAGTATCAATATTTCCACAAGTCTGTCCATTCCAAGTTCTGTGGACAAGGATTGTGGGTAAATGAGAAGATAGATTTTTATGAAATTTGGCAAAGTCTTTAAGACAGTTGGGGAGCTATGCATGTCAAACATCTTTTAAATCTTATTCATACTGGTTGACTGGTGGCCATTTTGTTAAAGATTTCTGTAACTAAACACAGTGACCCAGGAGTACGCCCTAAAGAGAAGTGAAATTTTTATCAACATTCTTCACATTGGTCTTGTTATATCAAATATATGTATATAATGATTGTAAAATATGTTCTGGTATGGTATGTAAGAAATTGTTCCATACTAGAGATTCTTATTTTCCCATGGCATGTTTATTGTGCATTGGACTGGTCTGTGCTTAGGGAATGCAAGGCCTGCAAAAATATACCTGTAATTGGTAGTACAGGTTGTACCTCTCTAGTTCGGCAACCTCGAGACCTGACCGGTGCTGGACCATGGAAATTTCCGGACCATGAAAATTCACCCTTTTTCTGGATAGATAGTGACTTGTGCTTACGCTTGGAAGCACTAGCACCACTTTCTCTGCTTCATGGTCTCTTTGAGGACATATTTAAGGGTTAAATGTCGTACAGTAGCTTCTCAAATTTCGCGAGTTTTTAATTCAACGTTTTCTATTTGAACACACAAAAAAAAACACACATTTAAAAATTTTGACGGCGGAAACTCGAATTTCGACGGGTTTGAACGGCCCACCAACGTTCAGACGACGTGCACAATCGTGTAAACAGCGTCATTTCTCTTATGTACAAAAGATTCATTATTGTTTATTACTGAGTCTTTTTTTATTTAATTAATGTTTGTGTGTGCAAAATGAGCAATACAATTCTTTAATAATACGTAGAATATTAAAACACGAGGAAATGAGACCCTGGCTGTAGCTGTAGTAAAATTAATATGGTTGTTTTAAGTAATGTTATTTAATGTTAATAAATGGAACAATAGAAGTAGCTAACGATAATGGTAAAGAAAAAAAGAGAAATTGCGTATGTAAGTGCGCACATGTGAAAACATATAGTCATTACTTTACATAAGAATATAAAAGCAACACTTATTTATTGTTCATATATATTTTAATTAATGTTTCTGAATTTGTTTTTATTGAATTAATGTTTGTGTGTGCAAAATTAACAATACAATTTATTAATAATACGTGGAATATTAAAACACACGAGGATACGAGACGGCTGCCGGCTTTGTTTTTGTTAAAGCTTACAAAACCAGTGACTGATTGGTTCTAAATATAAAACTGAAGAAAATAAGACCCTGATTGTAGCTGTAGTAAAATTAATGTAAAAAAATTAATATGGTTGTTTGAAGTACCTGTAATGTTATTTAATGTTAATAAATGGAACAATATAAGTAGCTAACCATTAATGTTAAAAAAAAAAGTGAGACTGCGCGTATGTAAGTGCGCACATGTGAAAACATATCGTCATTACTCTACATAAGAATATGAAAGCAACACTTATTTACTGCTCATATATATTGAAGGGTTAAATGTACTCTGTATAGACAAGCAGAGAGAGAGAGAGAGCAGCCGAACTGCCTGATGTAAACAAACCTTAATTTCCCGCTGCTTTGTTGTTGTTTGTTTACGGGGATTAGCCCACTCGGGCATAGGTCACTGACCCACATTGGAGCCTGAGGGGCAAAAATTTAATACTCCTATAATAATAATAATTCAGATAAGTAATAAAAAAAAAAAAAAAAAAAAAAAAAAAAAAAAAAAAAAAAAAAAAAAAACTGCCTATCTACCTAGTGGACAAACTAAAATCGTTCCGGACCACAGAATGCCGGACTAGAGAGGTACATACTGTATTTGATTGTATGGCAGCATCTGTGTTCCTGAGAAGCTCTTTTTCTTATGTTTTTTTGTAGGCAATAACTATTGACCATCAGGTTCCATGAAACTTGATGAGGAAAGCTCTTCTGGCAGCAGTTGCCTCAAACTTGTTAATATGCCAGATTCTGGGCTATGGGTAATCTGCTAGTCCAATTTGAGGATTCTATTCCTTCTCTGGCTTTAGCCCATACAGTGTCTAATTAAAATATCAAAAGATGTCTTATCATGTCCCTCCCCCAAATACCCTCTTTTTGACGCTAAAAATGGTGTATAGTTTGATGCAAAACACGAAGAATGCATGAAATTTGGTTTCCTTAAGTTAACTCACCCTGTGGTGCCAAGACAATGTGAGGTATACTGTTGCCATTATTGTGTAATATTATTTTGTGACAATAAAAACGGAATCTTTCTAATTCTTTTTGATGTCATGTATTTTTGTTGAACTATTTATTTATAGTATTCTACAAGAAGATTTAGCAAAAATAATGCAAAAAAAAAAATACTGTACCTGGTATATAGAGAAATTGAAAGTTGATGCCAACACCACAAGCACAATTGTAGCCCCGACAATGGTATTGTTTAGTGCTGAAATCATAATTATGTTGTTATGTAAGTAAATTTTTTTGCGTTTATGTATGCTCTATTATCATATATAACTTCATGAAGTCATCACTGAAGTGTGTTTTATGTAGAAATTACAAATTATTTATTATATTGTTGGAACCTTGTGTATGTATGCATGTAAAACTTACTATGTTTACAGAGGCTGGGGGCAAGAGAGGGAGAAAGATAAAGGAAAGGTGGGCTGATATGAATATCTCGCCTCATAATCGTCTCTTTTTTTTTTCAGCCTGGCTGATGGCCTACATGGTTGGGGAGTTATGATGTATGATTTTTTTCACCTCGTGAGGCTATAGGCTTGTACTGGAACTATAAATCTCCACTGGCATTGACACACTGTTCACGACTTTGTCTCGCCATTTATAAACAGTGATGACAGATTATGGGTTATCTTTCAGGCTAAAGGTAAAGTGTTAAACCAATTAATCTGTCTGCAGAAATTTCATGTGGATTGTAATTTAACTTTCTTCTCTGCTTGATTTTAAAGAGGTAGATTAGTTGGAGACTTCTTATGAAGGAACCTGGGTATATCTGATTAGTAGAAATGTTCAAGTACTAGATATTTCCTTGAGTAACTGTGGGACTGACCTAAGAACAATCAAGCCTCTTTGGCTTCACAGTACAGTATAGTTGAAGTAGAAAAAAATAGAGTATCTTGGAGGCAGGCATGAAATTGAAGCCAAAGGCATGGCACCCACTAAGGATTCAATGTCAGTCCTGGCTTCAGATTTTCTTCTTTACACAGACACACTGACCATACTGTGACATCACTGGAGTTGATCCCAGACCATTCTGTTCCCACAATGACCTGACCAACTAAGATAGCCAAGGTAAGTGCTACAGCCTCAGTGATGTCACTATAAACAACCTTGTTACTATAAAAAACCTTTTTCAGTTTATAGGGAGAGTCAAAGCTTACCCCAAGAACAATCAGCTTAAATTAAAATCAATTTATCTCAAATCCTTGCTGCAACTCAGAATATCATATGTATTCCCATAAACATGTAAGGTAATACAGGTTGACAACCCTTTATCCAAAAACCGAAAAGCTCTGAAAACAGAAAGTCTTTTTGTGGAGCAATTTTTTTTTTTTTTTTTTATGGGTATTAGCCCACCCGGGCACAGGCCACTGACCCACATCGGGGCCTGGGGGGCGAAAATGTAATAGTAATAATAATTATAATAATAATAATAATTATAATGATAATAATACAGTGACCCCTCGTTTAACGAACGCCTCGGTTAACGAAATTTCGGTTAACGAACTGCCTTCCATAAGGATCTTCAATTCGGTTAACGAACAAAAATTCGGTTAACGAATTTCTTACGAACCGACCTCAACATGTTTTCGCTTGCACTGGCCGGGCAACCAGCTTTAGTATCAGTCCGCCAATACATTAATCGGTTCTAGGGCTTAAATTCCTAACTATTTTAGTAAATATCAAGAAGTTTATACTATTCAATAATTTTAAAAGTTTAATATTCAATTTTTTAGTCATTTTAACAATTATTAAACATAATTGAAGGTAAAGTGACTAGTTTAAAGCACAGCATCCAGCCTCTTAACACAGCAAACAGGCGTTAGTCTCTCTCTGTTTACACTGGAGGTAACATCTTGCTTGAGACTCTCTTCAACTAAACGCTTTTTTTTCTGTGTTTCCAAGCAAATTATTGGTCATTTTGAAATATATTTTACATATTGACAATATATAATGCAGTGTAGTGTTGATTTAAAGAAAATAATCTTGAAATACACCAAGAGAACTAAAATTTTATGGGTGAAATGGTGCCATGGGGTGATTTCTCTTCCACCCCAATGCCTTCTCTTCTTCCTTCTCCTCCACCCCCATTGTAATTCCCATCATCATCATCATCATCCAGGAGCCTTCTACATACACACCTCAAAGTAAGTGAACGTTTCTACCATTTTTGTTGAATTTAGGAAATTTTCGGTGAGCTGGAACCAATTACCCAAAAACCCATTGAAACAATGGTTTCGGTTAACGAACTTTTCGGTTAACGAACGACCTTCTGGAACGGATTGAGTTCGTTAACCGAGGGGTCACTGAGGGGTAAATAAAATTTTTAATTAAAAATAAACAAAAATAAAATAAGAATGATAACAATAATAATAATAACAATAATACTGTAATAATAATAATAAAGAAATACAAGAATGAAAAAAAGATCAAAAGTGAGAAACACGACCTACAGTAGACCTATGAATTATTATTATTATTTTTATAATTATTATATTTTAGCCCCCAGGCCCCAATGTGGGTCAGTGACCTGTGCCCGGGTTGGCTGATGCCTGTAAAAAAAAAAAAAAAAAAAATTCTGAAATCCTAAAAATTCCCAAAACCGAAATGCATTTGGTCCCAAGGATTTTGGATAAGGGATTGTCAACCTGTACAGTACTTATATTGTGTTATATAAGTAATGGTGTTACAGTTTCATGTAGCCTTGAAAAGCCTTGGCTTTGGCTTCATGACTTTAAATGGTGGGCTTTGGCTTCAATTCTTCTTAAATGGCTGGCTTTGGCTTCAATTCTTCTTAAATGGCTGGCTTTGGCTTTGGCTCTGTGACCTTCTATTGGCTTCAGCCCCATGTCTGCTTGGAGGTGCTGAAAAAAATAGGCAAGAAGAGCGGGATTCCCACTCACAGTCTGAAGTTTGATAGGCCTGAGGCTGATTGCTAATCCCAATTAAGTTAAGGTTAGGGGGGGGAGGGTAATAATCTTGAGGCGCATTATGTCTTCAGTGGCCCTTTTGGGTAGGATGTCTATCCAGTTCTTCCTGCAAGTGTGTCTGGTCTGTGGCTAAATCACTTGTAGGCTACTATGACAAGGAAGCTAGGTTAGGTTAGGTTAGGTTTCGTTTCCCTGTGCCTGAGTATTGCAGAAAGTAGGTGTTAACTCATACAGAATGTTATGTTACACTAATAGATGGATCACTTAGTACCATCTCTCTTCATTTTCTAGTTGGCATCAGTTATACAAGAAGGCATTAGCCACACTGTAAATGACGAAGTGACCCTGAAATTTAATCTTGAAACATTGTTTGAAATTTAAAACCATAGAATAACACACCTATTAGAGCAACTAAAGAGGATTGAGATTGAATAATGGGAAAACCTGTGTTTCTTACTCTTGATTCCCTATAACCCTGATTTACTCGTATGTAGGTAAAAGACTTACAAAAATTAAAAGCTAAATTTCTTATCCCAATAACAGTGGTCCCCAACCTTTTGTAGGCTCTGGGCCACATTTGTCATTGTAAATATAGTGGAGGGCACCAAAACTACAGGTTGGGGGACCACTGCCCTATAAGGACGATGGTGACGATTGCATTCACGTTTGAATCAAGGGACTGTCAGGCCCAGAAGACAAAACTTAGGGAGTAGCTGCCGGTTGTATCAATTTTGTCACACTATTAAGAATTTTAGGGGGTAACAACACTGCTCTCTGGCAGTATTTGGCAACTGTAGGCTGGTTGGAGAAAATTTTCAATAGTCTCTCCTTATTGTACTTCATAGGTAATATATTGTGCTCAATAAAGTCTCATTTGTCAGGCACACACATGCCAAGTTATTTGAAGAAATTAAGAACCAAACAGACTGTGAAGAGCTGCAGAAAAATCTCTGTGAGCTTCAAGAATGGTTGAAGATATTGGCTGCTCAGATTCAGTGTCACGAAGTGTAAGAGGATACACCTGGGACGTACCAACCGTAAGGAGTTGTATCATAATAATAATAATAATAAACGGTTTAGTAATAGAGTTGCAGCCGGTGGCTGAAATTATACAAACTTACATGTGATTTAGACATAATGATACACGTTCAATACATTTATAGGGCTGTACAGTACATAAATCAGGAGCTGTTTATTATTTTAACAATAGATGGGATGGTGCTATTCTTATATCTACCAGTGCGGGCTCTTATGGGCTGAACTTTGTTGCAATGGCGGACTGCGCGAGGTGGGCGGGGAATGCCGGTGGCAGGAGGTGGCGATGATGAGGATGGTGCAGTAGTCCACTGCCAAACCCTGCTAGTGCGTGGTGGTGGAGGACCAAATTTTCCGAGGTTGAAAATCAAGATCATTTTCTGAAAATGTCTTGAATAAAGACGAAAGCTCAAGTACAGTGGTCCCTCGGTTAATGAACACAATTCGTTCCAGAAGGTCGGTCATTTACCAAATATTTTGTTAACCGAAACCATTGTTTCAATGGGATTTTGGGTAATTGGTTTTAGCTCACTGAAAATTACATACAAACTAAAAATAAATGCAGTAAAGTACACTTACTTTGAGGTGTGCATGTAGAAGGCTCCTGGTTGATGATGATGATGATGGGAATTAGAAGTGGGGGTGGAGGAGAAGGGAGAAGAGAAGGCAAAGGGGTGGAAGAGAAATCACCCCATGCTTCATGCCGCCATTTCACCCATAAAATTTTAAGTTCACTTGGTGTAATTCAAGATTATTTTCTTTAAATCAACACTGCACTGCACTATATATTGTCAATATGTAAAATAAATTTCTGAATGACCAATATAATTGTACTGTAAAAATGTAAAAGTAGTTTATGTTCAAGAGAGTCTCAAGCAAGATGCTTCCTCCACTGAGCAGACACAAACTGACGCCATTCTGGGTGAGTCAAGTGGCTGTTTGGCGCGCTAAAAACTAGTTCCCTGTACAGATACTTCAATTATGTTAAATAATTGTTAAAATAACTAAAAATTTTAATATTAGACTTGGAAAATTATTGAATAGTACAACCTTCTTGATATTTACTCAAATGGTAACAAATTTAAGCCCTAAAACCGATTACTGTATTGACACACTAATACTACAGCTGGTGAGCAGGCGAAAGCAGGTGAAAACATGTTGACACGATTTCGTAAAAATTTAGTTAACCGAATTAAAGATTCTTATGGAAGGTAGTTCGTTAACCGAAATTTCGTTAACAGAGGCGATCGTTAACCGAGGGATCACTGTATATATATATATATATATATATGCTGATAACCACAAGGAAAGAAGAAAACACGAAGTTCCCAAGCGCTTTCGTGTAATTCACATCTTCAGGGGTGAGTATATATTTATAAATATATAAATATATATATATATATATATATATACACACAGTAGTACCCCGCTTAACGCGGTCAATAAAACCCACAGGGTACCGTGTTAAGTGAAAACCGCGCTAAGTGAACAACAGAACATATGGGATTAATTCCAATAGAAACTGGCCCGACCCCCAAACTCCACTTTTTGACGGCACATAACTATGTTGTAGTAAAAATTTTATCTTAACTTTATGATGGTATGAAAAAACAAGTAATATAGAAGAGGTTAGGTTAGGAAAACTAAAAGTTATGTTGAACAATTACGTTAGTAGAAGAGATGGGTCGGCGTACGGGGATGGAGGCTGGTTCCGAGGCAGAGGGCAGGCTACTGGCCCTCAGGTGAGTCACCATCACTGTCACCCACACTTGTTATGGCCTCCCTGACAAATCCCTCAAAGTCATCTTCACTGTCTCTACCTCTGTCACTATCACTGGCTTGGGCTGGCTGTGGTGGGTTGCGGGCGAAGAACTCGGTTATGCTTTTTTGACGGCTGGTGTTTATGTTGTCTTGATACACCTTGATGTACGGCTCCATAGCCTGCACCAGCCGGGTATGGAAGACTTCATAGCGGTCATCGTTATTGTCGCGGGAAAGGAAGGACTTCATTTTCTCTGCACACTCCATGGCACCCTTAATATCACTATGACTTAAACTGTGTTCTTCGGAGAATGACGCACCTTCTTCCTCCTCTTCACTGACGTGATCTTCTTCCAACATCTCGTCGGCAGTCACTTCAGGATCTCTGATCACCTCCAGGATGTCTTCGTTGGTGGTCTCGGAGAAGCCTTCAGCTGTAATATTGAGCGCAGCTTCTCTGGCAAGGTCCACTGCTACTGCAACAGTCTGAACCTCACCAGTCACAGGTTCACTCCTCCTCTCACCTGGTATGCCATGCAACCAATGTTGATGTTGGTGATCTTGTTCCTCTTCTTAAACCTATGCAGCCAACCAGAGGAAGCATTGAAGGGTTTGGGCTCTGCAATTCCCAGCTTACGTGACACTGCTGCGTATAGCTCACGTGCGTACTCCTGCACTGAGCGCATGTCCACCGCCATGTTGCGTTGCGCCTGACGAATCAAATAACTCCCCAGCAAATTTTCCACTTTTGCCAGCACCCTGTTCTGGCAATACTTGATCGTTGAAGCACCTGCAGACTTTGTGATTTTCATGTGCTCTTTGATCTTGGCTGCATCCTTCTTGATAGTGCGAATCGTAGATTCGTTGACGCCATGCTGGCGCGCGAGATCAACTTGCCGTGTTCCTTTCTCCAAATCTTGAATGATCTGGTACTTCACTTCGTAGCTTAGACCACGGCGTGTCTTCTTGGGCTTAGGGCGGCTGGGTTCAGGTAAGGAAAGGTCTCTCTCTGGTGACGGTGGTGGTCCGGCGGAAGCCATTTCACAGAACAATGGATTCACGTATACACGGAGTGGCCTGGAGGGATGAAACTGCCGCGGCTAGGTGAAGCGTCGTCTTTCCTCCCTCCCTCCCCCGGGTGGACATGTCATAATACTTTAAGACAATTACAGCTAGCAGCAGAGGGGGAGGGTAGGGATGCATGGCCAATCACAGTCCGATACGGCATATGACGTCAGTGATAACGCAACAGAGACATGCACTGCGCAACCTTACAGCGCGGCTTGCCCAAGCGGAGGGAGGAGGTGGGAGCAGGCGGGTGGGGGCGAATCTAAAAATAGCGTCTCGAGCCGGACACTCGCCGCGTATACGTGGAAAAAACCCGCGTTAAGTGAAAGTTCGGCTCTGCCGAGGCACCGCGTATACGGTAAATCGTGCTAAGCGAAACCGCGTTAAGCGGGGTATTACTGTGTGTGTATATATATAAGCAAGTAAATCACTGTAGGTGCGCGTGAGCCAGGTATATGCTGATAACCACAAGGAAAAAAGAAAACACGAAGTTCCCAAGTTCTTAAGTGTAATTCACATCTTCAGGGGTGAGTACAGACTAAGGAGAAATACATAACAAGACATATATATATACAGTAGAGGAGGGTGAGATCAGGTCCCTAGGGGACAGTGAGTGTCTACAATGGTCCGGTCACTAGGTAGTGACCCTACTAATCTTCATAAGCACCGCAGCAGGTCAAAGGGTAAGATGACCCAACCTTCTCACCTGGTTACAAATCTTCTTAATTACGAAATTATCCAGTTTGTACAGTTTCGGTTTTCGGAATTTCGGATAAAGGGTTGTCAACCTGTATGTCTAATGCAAAATCTATGATGTTTATATTCAAAATGATCATCAAATTGTAAGAATTCCAGCAATGTAAATTATATTCTGGCTGGGTAATTTGTATGAATTTTATGAGCTAATTAAAAAAATTATACTTCACCCGCGTATATGAGTAGATGCATCGCGTAAAGTGGGAATTCCAGTTCTGGCAGGATACCCGTAAATGTAGAAACACGTAAAAAATACTGTATATATATATATATATATATACTGCAGGTTAGTGATTCAGAAGTGTTTATTTATTTTTGCCACCACGTGGGTAGATGCAGATTATAGAACCCAATATTTTTTGGGATGCTACAAAATGATTCAGGCATTACAGGGTTAATTTTTTTTTCAATTTAATATTTTGAGTATCTAAAACAACATTAAGTGGTGTCAATGACAATTTATTATAAAATTACTAAGTATCTAAAGAACAATAAAACATATACTGTAGGTAGCATCAATGGCAATTCTTTTACAAATTACTTTGTCTAACTTTGTCTAAATAATAAAACATGTCACAGTCCCACTATTGTTAGAATGTCTTAATCAAGCAGTGCCTCACTCCTTTGACTAATTAATTAGGACACACTCTGAAATAAGAGTCAAGGTTAACACAGGATATATAGACTACACCTTGCTACTGTTGCAACAAAGGTGAGGGTGACCTTGCTCAACAGTTCCCCCAAGGGTGATATCTTTATCATGCCATGTGCCAACACTGCATGCTTACTCCACAGTAGCCAGGAGAGGGAATATAGGCAGATTAACAATATACAACTTCTATGTGAATAACATACAAAACACTAAATAAAATGAACATGACTCTGGAGGCCTAACATAAAACACCCCCAAAAATTATGTACAGCATCATCAATTACAATATATGAGTCTAGAAAGTTACTAATTTCAAATACCCTGCACTTACAGGTAAATTTTGTAATAAATTATCATATTCCTCATTCTTCAAAAACGTCAACCTTCTCCTTTTCATCTTCTTCCTCTTCTTCATATACCTCAGAGTCATGCAGCATTCCTGAAATAGACAATTAATATACAGTGTGTATATATATATATATATATATATATATATATAATTTAAATTAAAACTCCTAACTTGCTCAATCCTATCAATGAACTTTGTTGTTTGATGACACAATGATACACCTAAAAACTTAAATTTGAAAATATAAAAAAAATTAGTGATTATAATACCGGTATGCAAGAATTTATTTTAGACATAATATCTGTACAACTAAAACAAATTACAATAAATCTTCTGAAGATAGCACTTGAAATGGCATGATCCAGAAGCTAATAAAAAATTATGAATAGTACTGTACAGTGGTATGTTTTATTACAATATACTGTAAGTACTGTATACAGATACTCCTTGTTTAAGGATGAGGTTGCGTTCCTGAAAAACCTAATGTTAAGCGAAATTATATCTAAACATTGGATAACAGCAAAGCACGGAGGGCAAACAACAGGTTCAAACAGCAGGGTGATAAACACGAAGTACAGTTTCCCTAATAATAATACCTGTGTACTGTATACATGTATACAGTATATATAAGTGATATCTCCTTTAGCCGGATTCCCTCAAACCCGGAACTCTCTGACAGCTGGAATTTAAATTTTCTAGGAAAATCCTTCCCAAAGCCCGAATTCTCCTGAAAATTCTGGCTTTGGGAATGATTTTCTGAGGGGCACATTTTCTGGAAAATTCTGAGAACATTTTCCCAGTACCCGGAAATTTACGGGGATGGGGGGATTTTTTTCCGGGTCTGAGAGATGAAAATCAGGCGCATTTTCCGGAAATTCAGAGAAAATTTTTCCAGTACCAGGAAAATTCCGGGGATGTGGGATATTTTTCCAGGTTCGAGAGATGATGTAATGTGCAATTTCTGGAACTTTTGATAATATTTTTCCACTAGGACCCGGAAAATTACCGGGATGATTTTTTTTCAGCTTTGAGAGAGTCGTCTCGTTACCCTGAAATCTCTCAATCCCGAAAGTGCTCTGCACCAATTGTTTAGGCTAATGGAGATATCACAGTATAGGGTGTCAAAAGTTACAAAAAATATTAAATGTTTTTTTGAACAACAGTGATGAACTATGCTAACTTTGAATCAGTGGAGCAGCCTCCAAATTCAGGGCACTCTTGTTAATGTGAAGTTCATTCATGATGACCATCATCTGAAAATGATTAAGACAGCATCAAACGTTAAACAATTATAATTCCACAAATAAAGCATAACCAATACAGGCATATATATATATATATATATATATATATATATATATATATATATATATATATATATATATATATATATATATATATATATATATATATATATATATATATATATATATATATATATATATATATATATATATATATATATATATATATATATATATATATATATATTTCATGTAAATCCACAATGAAACGTGATAAGATAAATCTTGATAAAATCACACGGAAAATATATATATATATATATATATATATATATATATATATATATATATATATATATATATATATATATATATATATATATATATTGGGCTAATGAAATATATATGGATCCTCGTGTTTCGAAGCCGGATTTGGTAAAACGTTACTCTGACCACCTACGTGATACGGGTAGTCCCCATTAGAGGTTCACGGCGCCATAAGCTTGTTGAACAGGCTTTGTGTGAAATATATTGACAGCCGCACTCTTTTGACTTTCTCCTCCCACACCATGATGTCTAAACACAGTAGTTAGTTGACCGAGTTGTAGACTGAGATGTAGCAGTGAACAACACACACGGTAGCGCAGGACACAGACTGAACGGATGTAAACAAACCCCACGCGCCAAGCGGCGCACTTGGCGCGGAATTTAACGGAATCTTGCTTGACTTAGTGAACTAGTTTGCTAAATTGAGCGAAAATAACGGAAATTTGATTTGGTGGAAATTTCTATTTAACAGAAAGGGGTGGCTTGAATTAGTTCATTAAATAGAGAAAATACTGCATTGCTTCATCCTTAACCCTTTAACTGCTATCATCATCTTTGGATGATTTACTGAAATCTTGCCATTGTCATCTTAAGACGATTGGCATTTGGGGCCATGAATTTAGAGCTATGTGCCAAAAATCATACAAAGAACATAAAGTCGATGATTGGTAGATACTAGAGTGAAACACATGGCTGGTGGAGCCTCAAATTAACTTGCTACAACTTGCTATCATCATCTTTGAATGATTTGGAATTATTTATGCCTCATCACTCTCCTCCTGTTGTCAGTGGCCCCACACCTATTATGTCACAGCCTGTCTTACCACCTACATAAGGGTTTACCTCCTACTTTGCAGCACAATCCACTGCTGCACCACCACATCCACGTCATTTGTCATCACAACCACTTCTTGAAAAAAAAAACGGCTTTTTTTTGTGGTACAGTATTGCATATGGGGTACCTGTACCCCTGATTTCCCAAATGATGCAGTTGTTAGGTTAAACCTGTATCCTGCCCTATTTTGGTCAAACCCAACCCAAGGTAAACTAACTTAAACTTATAGCTGTCAATATTCAATGTCTTTAAAGCCCCCAAAATAAAAAAAATTACCTGGTTTGTATTAGGGTGCTGGTCATTCATCATGAGTGACATATCAGGAAGTTGTAATGGATCTTCCATGACTGCTTCTTGCGATGTGTTGTTTTGCGACCTTAACTCAACATCTTGTATACGACTCAGCTGGTGCTTGATAGTTAGCTCCTCAACCTAGCAGTAACAAAAGGAAAAAAGTATAATGAGAAAATTATTAAAAACTAAAGTAAAATATATAAAATGGTTTAAGACATTTAATACAGTATTTTTTCTTATAGGATGAGTTTAAAACTTATAATGGTTGCTCTCTTTTTGCTGTCAAGGCAAACTGAGCATATTGGTACAGATACAGTATACAGTAGTCTGGATTTACGTGGTTTTTGTTTACGTGTTTGGTCATTTACGCAGTGCCTTGCCAGAATGAAATGTTTTAAATAAGCGGTAAATTTCATCATTTACACGGGAAGCGGCGCGGGCAGGGTGCGCACAAGGTCGTCCAGTCATCAAAACATTACCGAGTTCTTCATCCGCCACCCACCACAGCCGGCCCAAGTCAGTGATAGTGAGGATATGGACTTTGAGGGGTTTGACAAAGAGGCCCTGCAAGCCTCTGTGGTGGATAGTGATACAATTGATACAAGTGACACAGGTGAGGGCCAACAATCTGCCCACTGCCTTGGAACCAACCCCCCATGCCTGTGTGCCCAGCCATCTTTTCTACTAACATAAGTGTTAAAAAACCTAATATTATTGATATTTCTCTTAAATATTAATTTTGTGTGCATACCATCATAAAATTAAGATGTTATTTTTACTACAACTAGGTATTGTGTCGGAAAAAGTGGAATTTGGGGGTCGGCCCAGTCTCTATTTCAATTAATCCCATATGTTCTGTTATTTCGTTTAAGCGTTTCTCGTTTTACGCGGACCTCCAATGGTTCAATTGACCGCGTAAATGCAGACTATACTGTACAGTGACCCCTCCGTTAACGAACTCAATCCGTTCCAGAAGGTCGTTCGTTAACCGAAACCATTGTTTCAATGGGTTTTTGGGTAATTGGTTCCAGCTCACCGAAAATTTCCTAAATTCAACAAAAATGGTAGAAAAGTTCACTTACTTTGAGGTGCGTATGTAGAAGGCTCCTGGATGATGATGATGATGATGATGGGATTTAGAATGGGGGTGGAGGAGAAGGAAGAAGAGAAGGCATTGGGGTGGAAGAGAAGTCACCCCATGGCGCCATTTCACCCATAAAATTTTAGCTCTCTGGTGTAATTCAAGATTATTTTCTTTAAATCAACACTGCACTGCATTATATATTGTCAATATATAAAATATATTTCAAAATGACCAATAATTTGCTTGGAAACACAGAAAAAAAGCGTTTAGTTGAAGAGAGTCTCAAGCAAGATGTTACCTCCAGTGAAAACAGAGAGAGACTAACGCCTGTTTGCTGTGTTAAGAGGCTGGATGCCGCGCATTAAACTAGTCACTTTACCTTCAATTATGTTCAATAATTGTTAAAATGACTAAAAAATTGAATATTAAACTTTTAAAATTATTGAATAGTATAAACTTCTTGATATTTACTAAATTAGTAAGGAATTTAAGCCCTAGAACCGATTAATGTACTGGCGGACTGATACTAAAGCTGGTTGCCCGGTCAGTGCAAGCGAAAACATGTTGAGGTCGGTTCGTAAGAACTTCGTTAACCGAATTTTTTTTCGTTAACCGAATTGAAGATCCTTATGGAAGGCAGTTCGTTAATCGAAATTACGTTAACCGAGGTGTTCGTTAAACGAGGGGTCACTGTACTTGTTTTACAAATTCTTACTCTACAATATAAAGTTAACTAACAGAAAAATGTGAAAAAAAGGACCAAATTAGAAATCCCATTTAATGACAAAGTCTAGTCTAAATGACTTGCATCTCATTAAACCATGTCTATGGGCTTAAAACTAAAGAATCCCCTTGACAATCGTGGTTGGGACTACAGGGGGTCCCTGATTTATGAATGTCCGGTAATACGAGCGAGGTTCCATAAGGTAAATTATTTTAAGAATCTGTCATAAGTATAACTGGTTCGTAGAATTTACGTACAAGAACTAGTTTGCATGACATAGAGGGGAGGCGGCAAGATGCCACATGCCTTGAGGGAGCGTCAGTATGCTTTTACATGTGTGATCAAGTGCAAACTGTTGTTTTTTGCTTATTAACTAATTTTTGGCCCTCATCATGGCTCCCAAATGCAAACCTGATGCAAGTGATAGTAGTGCATCCAAGAAAAGGAAAACAATTACAATGGAAGTGAAAGTTGATGTAATTACGTTGGGCTTCAGTCGGTCAACGGACGGAACAATTTTGAAAGACAAAAACAAAATTCTTGAATAGGTAAAAGCATCTACACCAATGCACTGAACTGTGATAACAAAACAAAGAATGGATTGTTAATTGAAATGGAAAGATTTTTAGTGATATGGGTGGAAGATCAAAATCTGAAATTTCAGAACCAATGGCAGATGATTTCAGGCTTATTGAAGGATTATTTAAGTTTAAACAGCTAGATACCAATACAGCAAGTTTCACCAAGATTCATAGAGATATTACTGAATATCTACAATGCTACAAAGAGATTTATGACAAAAAGAAGAAAGTTTCAGTTCAACCATCCTAATAAAGCCTCTGTCCCTCCTACAAATGCCCACCTCTACATGCAAGCCAGCCCCAGGTTTCAATGTAAGTGTTAAACTTTAAATTTTACTTTCCTTTACTGTATTTTGTCATTCAATTTCTTCTTTTCTCTTAAATTAAGTGTTTCGAGTTGTATAAAAGGACTTGGGCGATGATATAGTGCACATAGGGTATGTGCTCCGATTTACGTACATTTATAAGTTAAGAATGTCCTCAGGAACGGATCCCATCGTAACTCGGGAACCCCCTGTACCTGGTAATTCATTAACCCTCTCGTGCACGTTATAAGTTTTAAGTTACCAATTTCCCCCCAAAAAACTTGTTTTTATTGGCATAAACCATATATCTTTGGCATCATAACTGTTTGCTCTGCAACATAAGCCCCCATCCCCACAAAAAAGAATAATACAAATATGTAGCTATTTTTTGTAACGTCTAATAAAAATGAAAAAATTGCACACCAATATGTTTACAACCTCATAGCTCAAAATTGTCTCAGCCAACTTTGTAAGTACAGTACTATTGACGATTAGAAGTGGAATTTTATGAGCTTTCCAATGAAGCAATAAAATTTCAGATATGACCTATAGTTTTTTGAGAAAATAGCAAAAAAGTTTATTCTCAAATGATAAAATCTATTTTTTATATATATTTTTTGATTATTTTTGTGCCTATGTTTTATATCGATATAAATTATATTGCATCTTGTAGCCAACACTATAACAAAGAGAATGGTACTGAAAAAATACAAGTACAGGGTAAGTCAAGAAAATCATCCTCTTTCAGAGACTTTTTTTCAAGACGATGTCACTATTACGAGGTTGTAAAGCCTGATACAGTAATGGCTTCTGAAAACTAAACACTTTCCCTGTAAATATGAAAACAAAATATATTGCACAACTATCACTTCACTTCTCTAACACTAAAAAGAAATTATTTCAGGGAGTACGGTAAGCACTGTAATCCAGGAGTTGAGGCAGCCTGTACGGAGTGATGGAAATTTAAATGGACAAGGCTCACACTCACGGTCTGACTGCTGAGATAATACAGTCTTCCCTTCTATAGGCCTCGAGAGCTGCCAACTAGTTTATACGATAGAACTTACTAGCTATTATGACACATCAAAATTTGATGCAATTCTGTTGAAAACTTAATTTTTTGCAAATTTTTTAACGTTTGGTTAACCGATTTGCGTCACCGTGAAATTGGTCTTATAATGAATATGACGCGAGTGCGAGAGGGTTAATTAAACTATGGACTGAGTGAGTTTTAATAACCCATTATAGAACATGTACGTACTGTACTATTGCTGTATCATACTAATATTATTATTTTTTGTATTTAAAAATACAAAAATATGAGCAATCAGTGAGTGAGCAATCCTTGACAAAATTGAGGAATGAGGGATAGACAGTGTGGTGATGGGCTCTCATGTGTGTAATTGGTCAAACTGGGTATTACGGGTATGGTTTGGCCAAGACTACTGACTGGCCAAGGCCACTGGCTGGTTTTTCATTTATGTGGTGGGTAGGTCTGAAGGTATGGGTTTCTCTGTTTATCTCCCAAGACAAATTATGTTTTTTTGGTCCTTTCCAGAGACTTCCATTTCCACTTTAAGATGCCATTACAGTATACAAAAATGATATCGCAGTGCAAACACATTAAAACATCAAGGAAATTGTGATAAGGGCAAGCAGAGATAATAAAAATAGCATTGTAATACAAAAGGAAGCTAATACAGTACAGTATTAGACTAAAACAGTAATCTTTTACATGTGTCAGTGAACTCATGTGACCTGTCATCAATGATGTTAACGATGTTAATGTTGAAGCCAATGTTGACATGTATCTCCCCATGTTTGTAGTCAGCCAATGTTGAAGATAAATTTTGACTCTTTAGAACCCATTAAGAGAAAAGGTGATCACAACCTTTAGATCAGTAGTTCCCAACCAGGGTTCCCCAAAACACAAGGGTTCTGCAAAATTCAGTAATCATAATAATGATAATACTGTAACAAATAAAAGCTCAAACTCTTTTTAGCTTGAGTTTGGCTTAAACATAGAAGTACTGAGACACCATAGTATTTATTTTTATTTTTATGTAATTTAGTTTTTATTTTGTTTTGATAAGTGGAAAGAGTAAATCAGGGGTGGCCAAATTATGGCCGAGTGCAACATTCACCCCACCCTAACATCCATGATATAAGTTTGGCCCTCGAATTTAAAGTATTTTAAAATTATGTACATTGGCATTATAAAAGATCAAAAGGATAATACAAATCTATTTTCACTTTTACTTTAATTCTTGAAGAGCCAATATTAGAATAATCGAGCCATGACTTGATTTTAGACCTGGCAAAATAAATGTACAGTACTGTACAGTAGTGGTAAGCTCGGAGCTCAGTATAATTGTGGATGAATTTTTATTTTACTTGTGCCTACCGCCATGGAATTATTGATAGTAATAAGTGTGGTTAAAAAATTTGCTTCAATGAGTTTGTGTTACCAACCATGCCACTCACAAAACCAAGCTGTGATGGAAAAGTGAGAAAAGATCCAGTGGTCGCTGTTGGAGCAGTATGACATCTAACTTTGTCTCATTATTTGTGCAAAAACAGGTACAGTACTGTACATACCTATAATGCCATGATACATTGTGTCGTCAATCTGTGGAAGTCATTTAATGTCATTAACAACCACCTTAAAGCAGTTTTGGTTTTATTACTTTACCATACTGTACTTGTTTATGGTACAGTACAGTATTTAAATAAAGTACAGGTCTGTGACCTAGCCAAATTTTTTACCATTTTCCAGTCATTCAGACTTAATCCCCCCCCCATCCATCAATAATCACAAATCTACACAAATGGCTGCAATTGATAAAGATCTGGGTTCATTAACTCAGAATGGCTTGCAATCAGCTATTAAGACTATAATTTCATTTTCAGTATATTCTAAAATTTTTATTACTGCTTTAACTGATTCTACTCTATGAATATCAATGGCATATGACCGATTCATTTTCTTATCTAGACAACATTTTCACCTGGTCTGCATGGACTAATCTGCATGTATCAGCCCACTATGATTTGGCCTATGGCTAATGCTTCTTCTCCTTTGTATTTTTGTTTTAATTTTCAATGCTCAATACTGTATATTCCCAAAAAGCTGTTTAAAACTTTTTATTGGTTTTATTTCAGAGTACCTCTTTATGCATTCATGCCATAATTCCTGATTAAAAAGAATTTACCTTGAGCTTATAAAGACTATTCATGTACTTATCAATCAGCTCTTTCAAAGTTGTTTCTTCCTTCTGAAGAACAATCAGCTCAGCTTTCTGAAGTCTTTCCTGATTCATCTGAAATTATATTATCATCTATTAGGTTACAATTGTCACTCAACGAATAATTATAGACCAGTGAGCCTGACCAGCACAGTGTGTTAAGTACTTGAGAGCATTATAAGAGATGCCATGATGGAACATCTACTACGAAACACCCTTGTAAAGGAGTACAGCACCAACACAGTTTTATGCGGGAATCTCCTGTTCAATACAGTTACTCGAGGTACTGGATGTTTGGACCAAAATTCTGGAACAGGATGGAAATATCGACAATATATACCTAGATTTTGCAAATGCTTATGAAGGCATACCCCATAAAAGGCTGAGAATTAAAATGGAAGGGTACAAGATTCGGGTAGTGTCCTAGCGCGGTTCAGAGACTTTCTGCATGATTGCAAACAGTGTGTGGTGATTAATGGTACGAAATCATCATGTGTACCCATGACAAGTGGGGTACCACAGGGTAGTGTATTGGGTCTGTTGTTGTTTGTTTGATTCATAAATGATTTTTTATGTTTTACTATTTTATTTATTTATTTATTTATTTTTATTACGGGGAAACGAGTGATATGCTATATAACTGTAAATGACCAAAGTTGGCTCGGATTTTCCATTTTTATAAAAAAAAAGTAAAAAAAAAAGAGAATCTGAGGCAAGTTTTGGTGAAAAATTATTATCAAATTCGAATGAATCACATGAAAACCCATTGGAAAAAGCTAGGTTTTATCTCAAAATCAATTACTGTGCTACCTAACCTGACTTAACCACCATTGTTCAGAATATATATACAGTACTGTAACTGTATTACTTAACCAAGGGAGGCGGATTGGAATCCCCCGGCTGGTGGGGAGGCTCTGCCCCCATGACCCTCCAACATAGCTCATATTGAAGCAACCAACCTAACATAACCTAAGCAAACTAACTTAACCTAAGCAAACTAACTTAACCTAACTGAAAAGTCAGACTATAGTAGTGCATGTGTACAGCAGACTAGTAACAAACATACAAACACACAGGAACTCTCTGAGGATGCAGGAAACATCAACACTGGATTTAGACAATATTTGATGACTTCCTAACAAATTAGTATGATTTTCTCGAAAAACTAATCATTTGCAATGGAAACGTTACTAAAAAAAGTTGTTAAAAATGATGAAACATACCTAGAACTGGACCAAAAAAGGTAATTATTGACGACTGACCCGTGGCCAATTTTTCATAGAAAACGAGTATAAAAACTCCGTAATTCTCTGTTTTCTATAGTGGACACTGTCATAGTTTGTGCAAATATGTTAAAAAGTGGTTATTTCTAAATTAAACCTAACCTAACCTTAGTTGATATAAAAACAAGCAGCAGAAGCATTGTTATTAGACCTCATTTTTGTGGACGTGAGAGCAGCCGTCCATACCGAACGTTCTTAAACATACACTGAGCATCAACGTTGATCAAGTCCGGGCGGCAGAGTTTTTAAATACATCAATATCATTGGCTGTTTATATCCTGGGATGAGACGTCACTGCCGAGAAGACAAAGTAGTGCATGCCTAGGCACCTAATTATTTACCAAATAAAACATTGCACAAGAAATGGTGGTTAATATATAGGACTAACCCGTGGATGAGTTATTTGTATTACTGTATTGTTTATTTTCTTACTTTATTTTCATCAGTGAGTTCTGATATAGTAATCATTTATTGTGCAAATGTTTCGTTTTGTAGATATTAGGCACCTAGGTACACACTAATTTGTCTTCCCGGCAGTAATGAGGCTGTACTCTGCTGTGGCACTTTTCCCCGGACTCGCGGCAGTTTCATTTTCAGCATGACGTGTGAAGGTTGTCGCTGGTCTTACATGGACATAATTTGCGACTTTAGGGATAAAGACAACGAGACCCTTCAATTGTTCAAAGACCACGGCATTGTTCCTTTAAATAGAGACTTTCCATTGTGCTTTCAAACCGGAAAGAAATTTGTTCATCACTTCTTCAACGCAATGGCTCGATGGACTACATAAGCGCCGTCGTGGCCGCATGATCTCACGTCCAGTACAAAAGCTTCAAATTACACCATATCATAAGTTCTTTCTGTTGAAATGGGGGGGGGGGGATCCGGGAGGTTAGGTTAGGTAAGGTTAGGTAGGTTTGTTTGGCGCGGTTGATTAGGTTTGTTTTTCATAATCACAATGGTTATCAAATCAGAACTCACTGATGAAAATAAAATAAGAAAGTAAACAGTAAAACAAATAAGTCATCCACGGGTCAGTTGTCACTATTAACCCCCAAAAAACATTGGAGGACATTATGGACAACTTATACAGAATTACCGAATATTTATCACTTTTCCTAAATGCGGTGACATGTGATGGGATATGGTGTTAATAGTACCTTAGTGACCTGTTAACAGTACCTTAGTGACCTGTTAACAGTACCTTAGTGACCGTCGCCTTCCTTCACTTGACTCTGTTTACACTTGGCGTTGTCTCAGGCAGGTGTCACTCCTTAACACTTGAGAAACAATATCCAATATTCAAGGTATAATTAAAACTGAATTGGTTTTTATCTAAAGTATATCAAATAAATAGATACTGAACAATGTCATTATTCAATATTTTTATTCGACACCTTCTTAAAAATGACATATAATTGTATTATTATAATCAAAACAGTTTATTGATTATTTTAAATAAATTAAATAAAATTTTGTTGAAATTTATAATATATACACAATAAATCTTAAATTATCTATTATCATTTTTAGTCACAGGATGTATATACCCTAACGACCAGTCAGTGTCACAACCATAGTAAAAACATGGAAGAGGAGGAAGCCACTTCACATGGTAAACTAATACATTGTTTCTCCAAGAATTACCTATTGTACACATAATACTAATTAAATAATAAGATCATGATACTTTATTCTTCCAGCGACGTGCATGTCAGACCGAATCAAATGAATTTGCTAAGGTGTAAAACGAGTGTTGGGTTGTCACTAGGGCCTTCATCTCCCCCGCCCCCACAAATCCTCTTACTTGGGAATTACAAGACATAAGAACTTTGTCTGGTGTGCTGAGACTTCAAGGAGGGTGGTAAGCAAGAGATGAGTGACCATTAGCTGAGACATCACTTATAATTATGACCAATCAATTGAGACCACTTAATTTAGTTGCCAGGAGCTGAAACATCACTTATAATTATGACCAATCAATTGAGACCACTTAATTTAGTTACCAGGAGCTGAAACATCACTTTGTGTCATGATCAAGAACTGGGATATCTTTTGATTAATATTGACGATTGATCTGTGGATGAGTTATTTGGTTTGCTGTTTATTTTCTTGCTATATTTTCATCAGTGAGTTCTGATATGATAATCATTTCTTGGGCAAATGCTTCGATTGGTTGATAATTAGGCGTCTAGGCTCGCACTACTTTGTCTTCTCGGTGGTAATGCGGTCGTGAAGTCTCATCCCAGGATGTAAACAGCCAATCATATTGACGTATTTCAAAATACCGCTGCCCGGGCCGGGTCGGCACCGACGCTTAGTGTATGTTTAAGAACTGTTAAGTATGGGCGGCTGCTCTCTTGTCCACAAAAAACGTAAAATTACACCATCGTAGTAAGTTCTTTCTGTTAAATATACCGGGGGGTCCTGAAGTTAGGTAAGGTTAGGTAGGTTTGTTTGTTTGGTTAGGTTGGTGAGGTCTTCTAACAATGCTTCTGCCACTTGTTTTTCATATCAACTAAGGTTAGAAGTAACCATTTTTTAGCACATTTCCACAAACTACGTCAGTGTCCACTATAAAACACAGTGAAATTGTGGTATTTTTATAATAATTTTCTATGAAAAATCGGCAGCTGGTCAGTCGTCAATAATTTCCCTCCAGATTGATACACATTACATTATGACTTCTAACTGTGTTATCAGGGGAGGACTTATAATCAGTCTTGAGAAGTTTTATGATGTTAAAAGATCTTTTGCACGTAACATTGGAGGCTGGGAGACTTTACTTTAAGTTAGTGACAAAAAAAATTGGGAGTGCTTGGCTGCTCAAAGTCACGAGATGCTCTAACTTTCTTAGCCAGTATTTGTGCATTTCTAAATAACAGGCACATCTCCACTTGTCATGCCATCAGTGGGTCCTTCATATCTTCTGCTCACCATGTTGAATGCATGTTAAGCACAGATTTTTCGGTACTGTATTAATTTAGTTTCGTTCATCCAGGGAATCTGGGGGGAGGGGGCGTCTGAGGCAGTTGAGTTAGATATAGGTTAGGTTAAATTAAGTTAGGTTAGGTTACATTAAGTTAGGTTAGATCGGTTAGGTTACACTAAGTTAGGTTAGGTTGTTTATGTTATGTTTGGTTAGAATTGTTTGGATATCTGAATACTACAAGGATAACTTGATTTTAGCTTGTGTACATTTCAGTGTTACATTTACTAAAAATTAGGCCAAGTGAACACCAAAATTTTTAGTGCCCAAGTGACAATTTCAGAGTACCTGCGGTAGAATCCAAATACTGTACGTACTGTACATGTACGGTACAGTACTCATTGAAAGGGTTAAATGAGAAAGCAAATTCATTAAAGTCTTATTATCTCTGGATATCAGTAAGTATTGAAGAGTTTATTCAACTACCTTTTACAACTGATGCGTTTTGACTGCTGGGTTTCGTCAGGCTATAGCTTGTTGGTACATAAATTGTGGATATGTATACGTATATATATTTTTTTTTATTTACCCTTCTCCATAATTATTGAAATTAACTTTACTAAATTTTCCATTTCAGATGAGAGTCAAGAGGAGACAACTGAATGTGCAGGATGCATGAACATCATCGATGAAGATGAGTTCTTCTCAGCTCTAGGGCAAGACTGGCATACAGATTGTTTTAGGTATGAATTGTGTTCTTATTCTTGAAGTGTAAAACACAGTTAATTCATCAAAATTCTATTCTTTTCAATTTATTTGTGATATATCAATCTGATTGGGTCATTGACCTGTGCCCTGGTGGACTAATCCTGTAAAAAAAAGTACTGAATAGGTGATGACTTGATATTTATTCATTCAGGGGTACTGTAGTGTGTGTGTGTGTGAAGCTAAACAAATTATATATTAATGTGTATTTCTCTTGCCAGAATGAAATAGTTTGGATTTAGTTCACCTTTTGTGAAATACTGCAGTGTGTTTTCAGATTAATTCTTATGAAATAGCTTATATTTTCCTAATCTTTTGAGAAATAGTGTGCATTTAGTTTGCTTCCTTGAGATTGAACCTTTCCTTCTGTGTTGCAGGTGTAGTGCCTGTGATGTAACCCTAAGCAGCTGGTACTTTGAAAAGGATGGTCTACTCTTTTGTAAAAATGATTATTGGAAGAAGTATGGAGAGGCCTGCCAAGATTGTGGCCAGGTGAGTTGGGCTCAGTAACTTTTTAATAGGCCTGAGAAAGGCAGTGATTAAAAAAATGTGATAAAGAATTACTGGGTACATTTCTTTGACTGTACAGCATATATGTAACAAAGGTGATAGTCTTTCTGAATCTAATAAATAGGAGTTAAATATAAACATGCAGTATAATGAAGGTACAGCTGTTAATTCATGTTCTGAAAATATATTTCAAGTTGGTCTCATTTATAGATGGAGATGTGTTCTGAGGTAATTATCAGTGTACAATATTTTTGATAAATTACAGTATACAGTAAACTTCCTCTAATCTGGACTAATGGGTGGGGAGAAGCCTGTCTGGTTTGGCCGAAATTTTGGGTTGGGCGGGAATGTGTATTATCTGTCTATATTGTAAGGTGGAAAATTCCAGAGGATGGGGCATTTTCGACTCGACTACTTGAGAACACCGAAGCTACTGTGCGGTAATTTTTAGCCTAGACTTCGCACCCATATAAACAATTTTTTTAGCTGCTTCGGGTTTTAACATGGAAAAAATGAAATTTTCCTCGGTCTCTTTTACTCTTTCGGCTGCTTGGTTCTAGTGCTCAGTATAAATGTACGCCGAGTCACCAAGCAGTTCGTGTTGCCGGGCGCTTTCACACATCTGGCATTCATGTGTGCTGCCTCAATTGTCACGCTCCGCTCTATTCAAGCCTCGTGCCCCCATAAATACAGCTCCTCCCCGACTTACGACGGGGTTAGGGACCCAAATCCAAGTTGTAAGTCGAAAATGCTTGAATAATACATAGAAAATCTAAAATGAGTGTCTCTTTTTCTTCTCAGAACCACAAAACTCTCACTTTTAAGCTTGCCAGCCATTTTAAAATGAATTACAAACGAAAATCTTGTCAGTACACAGCGTGATCACTAACGTTGGGACTCGAAAATACGTAATTTGAAAAATATTTATACGACTGCGGCAGTTGTATGCCCGGGTGGTCGTAACTCGAGTAGGTCGTAAGTCGAGGAGTACCTGTACCTGTGATTAATTCTCTTTACATTTGAAGGGAAAAAAAATTGTTCCTGGGCACAAGACTGCCTTATTCATTCTCCGGTAGAATGAAGGGTCAAACTTTAAGAACTCAGTTTATGGCTGCAGTGAAGAATCAAGTGACTCGTACTTGAATGGTTTCCTTAGTAGGTAGACGTGGAGGTTGTGGTCTGGCACTTGAGGTAATGACCAGGGGGTTTGAATCAAGAGAGCTATTTCTGGGTACAGTTTGATGTACAGTCAGCAAAAGGAGGATCTTCATCCCTGGTCTGATGGCCTTCAAAATGACTATTGGTAGGGTTGGTTTTTTCTGATGTGTGATGCATTGTGTGGAACTAATACGGTATATCCTGTATATTATGTACCTTAACGAAAAACAGACACTTAAATTATAAACATTACCCTGTACTAGGTTTTATTACCCACTTACGAAATGTCTTCTGCTATAGGAAATGAGTTGTCATCTAGGAAAATCACATATTATGAGATGAAGCGAGGTTCCCGTAATCCTCAGTCTTATGAGAAGTGTTTTGTTTAGAGTAACACTATTGGATAAAACATTAAGATCTCATTTAAGAGGAAGAACAATATAAATAGCTACCTTTTATGAGCCATACAGTATATCACATCAGAGGATGAGTTGCTGTAAAGAATTAAATACTGTACGTATGTTATGAAATGAGCTTACAAAACCTCTATTATAACATATGGTAATAAATCATGCTCACTGCTTTATTTGTATTATGTGAAACAAATTGTGCACACTGACAATTAAACACCTTATAGAAAACAGAAGATAAATACTAACTGGCAACTCGACATATGGAATGCAGGGTTACCAACATACAGCATAACTCAAGAGCATTTGTCAGAATTCTGAGTCCAGTGTGTCATATTGTATAACACTGAAAAGGTGAGATACCTTTTTTGCTGAATGTACCTTTAAGCTTACTGGCTTGTGAAGCAACCACAGAACTGAGGTCGGGAGTATGGATCTCAAACTCTGATTCGGTTAGGCATTTAGTCATGGAGCAGTCTTGCACTGATGCAGATGAACAGTTTATTGTACTTGCCTCAAGAATACAGGCAGTCCTCCAAAAAGTGAAGGTTCTGTCAGGGTATTCTGACAGATACTGTACAGTAGGTTCGGGATATATCGTGAGATAGGGTTCAAGGATGTTTGCCATATACTAAATCGCGATATATAATTATATGTAATCAATGGGAAAATAGGTTAGGTTCTGGAGGCCAATAAAGTGACTAAACTTTACATAAAATGGCACAGTCTAAAGTTTGCAGAATATAAATTACATTGCTGGAATCCTTGCAAGAAAGCAAATAATTTTATTAAATACATCATATATTTTGCACAAGAAATAAAGATTTTAGTCCTTAAACTAAAATGTATTAATTAGTACCGGTACTAAAATTTTTATGTCTATTGCGAACTATAGCATGTTTATATTCAAATTAATCACTCTTACAAGAATTCCAGCAATATTAATTATACTGTATTCTCTTAAGTCAATTCATTGATATTTTATGAGAGAAAAGGGTAAACTTCCCCTTTATAACAGATAAATAAATACCACACTAGGTAACCTTTGTCTGTTCTCCGGCCCAGCTGTCATAATAAATCACCTCCCCCCTCCAGTTTTGGCAAGATTATTTGTCGTTTTAGGCTTAAAGTTTTCATCATATATTTTGCAGAAGAGGCAAAAAAATTTCAACTCGTATTTTGGAGCCATTTAGGGGATTTTTAGGAGAGTGTCTGACTTTATATGGTTTTTGGCTTTATGTGAGGTCCCAGGAACATAACCCCACGTAAGTTGTGAGTCTACTGTAAATAAATTTATCACTATATACTGTATTGTAAAATTTCGATTATTTTGGTAGTAGTGGTGATAAATTTGAAATATTTCCTGCCCTGATTTCCCTCGTGAAAAAAAAAAAATTATCACTATATATAAAGGAAAATGTCGATAATTTTGGTAGCCACGATATAAATTTTTTTTTTGTAAAGTCTCTATATATCCCGACCCTACTGTACAGTATATCATGCAAGATACTTGAGGATAATCCTTAGGCCATAAAATGAGATACAGTATCTTGGTTAAATTTTTCTTATTTTTATTTCTTTTTGTTGGCAGATTATCACTGGTCCAGTCATGGTGGCAGGAGACCACAAGTTCCACCCAGAATGTTTCATCTGTACATCATGCTCTGCGTTTATTGGTGATGGCGAGTCATATGCTCTTGTTGAGAGATCTAAGTTATACTGGTAAGCCAAGTTAAAATGCTTCCATGAGAATGTTCCACACAGGGTTGTTATGATTTAAATCATGTGATTTAAATCAGAATGAAAAAATTCATGGTTTAAATATATATTTTTTACCAATATTTGAAATTTATGTTGTTTCCTTTGAGATTCATTGTGGTAGAATAGCTACAGTGAATATTATACAACTATTTAGGATATAGGACAGAAAGTTATTATATGTTGTACTGTACTACAGATACAGGGGTATACGTTATTTCACAAATACGATGTTAATAAATATAGGACTGTTTTTAGACATCAGAGTATGTATGGCACTTTATGTATATTTTATACCTCAAAAAGCCAGTTTCAATGTATGATACAGATCATATGAGGACTGCTGGGTTCTGGTATGTTACAGGTCTAGCAGTCTTTGTCCAGAGATATGGCATTCCAGTTGCATTTCAGTTTTAGATATTTTCAGTTTTTGAATGCTAAGGTCTACTTACATTACAATAACATCGGCAGGCTAACTTATACATAAATTCCTTGATCTAGACATCAAAGGAGGCAGTGCATACCATAGGGGCATTTGCATAAAAATTAAATTTCCAGATGATTGCATTTAAATGTTTAAATTATTTACCACCTTGTACGCAACAATAGTGATATGCATATAGTAACAGTTTTTATTTATTCTTTTTAACATATATAATTTGTTTCTTTACTTGAAAAAGGCTAAAATTTGCATAATTTCATTAAAAAAAATAAAAAAACGACTCCTCCCTCATCCTAAATTCAATACAGGTACAGCATAAAAGTTTTTGCAAAATCAACATAAATGTGTCATTGGATACTCACTCTTGCTAAAGATGATTCCCAGTTGTGGTGAAGGGTTTGAAATACATCTGGTGTATCTTCAGTAAACAAGATGGGATCATCTGGGCTAAGATTATCGCAAGAGTCTTACACTTGGGATGATCTCTGGTTGTCGATAATATTACACATTCACTGTTGTGAAGGATATACAGATACTGTAGTATGAGTGCAACCTGATGGGAATAGTGTCTCCAGTTGCTGCTTGAATGGCTGAGCTAGGGGTTGTGGCAGTACATGGACTCTTGTCTGGTTGATTGTGTTGTGACTGGTACTGCTCTCTGGAATGCCCAGACTTAACTCCTGTGTTCCCAGTTTGATACTGCTACTCATTAGAACAAATGGGATTCTCAGTACCAGAAAGGCATATATTAGCCATTCAGGCATCTTCAATACATGGGGAAGGCCAGGGGAACAGCTTGGTAGACTTAACTTGAAAATGCCACATTGGTGTGTATTGTACGCTCCTGTGGTACAGTATATAATAATAATAATAATAATAATAATAAAAAACGGTTTATTAATAGAGTTGCAGCCAGTGGCTGAAAATATACAGACTTACATTTGATTTAGACATAATGATATAATATGCATTGAATACATTTACAGGCCTGTACAGTACATAAATCAGGAGTTGTTTATTATTTTAACAATAGATGGGATGGTGCTGTTCTTATATCTATCGGTGCGGGCTCTTATGGGCTGAATTATGTGATGCCTCAGATGTGTTTGATGCAGTTTTTCTGCTTATACCACTGCTTCCTGCCTCTTGCATTTAAGAAATTTTTATAGTAAACATAAATTTGCCTAGATATTCTTCAATACAGTACTTTAGGTTTTGATGGGGTTTGGTTTAATCTGTCATAACAATGTACAATACTGTAGATAGGGCATTATGTATATTTTAGCAATGATTTTTCTCTCACCCACTAACACCACTGTTATTTGCCACATACTGTAGTTGTAGATGGTTTAGTTGTGGTTATATACTCTAGGATATTTTTACAGTACAGTACTGTACACATGATTTTCTTTTTGTATTTTTAAGTATTTTTGTTGAACACTTAGAAGTGATGTGTGAACATAAGTTTGTGGGTTACAGGTTAAGATGCCTGGAGATAGCAGCAACCAGGTCATCTGACTGGCCCACCAGTAATGAAATTTTTCTCCCAAAAGGAGTACTTTTCAGTACATTACTTCACTTAAAACACAAAACTTAGAACTTTTTTTCACAAAGAATGGAAGAAAAAGAAAAAAATATGAAAACATCAGAAAAAATGTTAAATGCCAAGAATGTAAAGATTTACCCCAGATGAAGCTTTTTGAGATTTTTTTTAACAAAAAAGAAAGATCAGATGAAAAACTATGAAAATAAACAAATGATGTTAAACATTCAGCCTAGGGCTCTAGTGATATTCATAGTTCGTTTTTGCTTTTCAAAATGCCTTATCATATCTATTTTCACACCTAAACTATAACACTCTTCCTTTTTGTTCTTCTCTCATCTGTACATGACAACATTCCTATTGTACTTTATACTTGTTCACTGTATCAAGTTTGTGTGGTTACATTTCACCATTTAGTCATAATTAGAGGCAATTCAGAGAAAAAAAAAATGGGGGCAAATCTCAATTTATTACATGGGTTTCTATGGGAAATTAATGGATGCTTAACATATGTTCAGTTAACATTGACTGCATTGATGTAAAGTTAGAGTACAGTATCTTTATTCTTTTACCTAAGATAAGTAGTTATATGCAGTACTTTAATACAGTACTCGCATAACTATAAGGTCTGTTTTAAAAATTGGTTTTGGGATGTTTTTGATCGACCAGTTTTAAAATCAAGGCATTATGACCAACTGAGTACATCACACAGTGTAAATGATTAGGTTTAGTAGTTTTTAGATACAAAGTATCTATATTTATACTACATATACAGTATAGATTAACACACTGACTTATACTACAGGTTGACAACCCTTTATCCGAAATTCCAAAAACCGAAAAGCTCTGAAAACCGAAATTTTTTTGGAGCAATTTTTTTTATTTATTTATTTTTTTTTGGGGGGGATAACTGCACCCTACACTGGGTCACTGACCCACATCGGGGCCTGGGGGGTGAAAATGTAATAGTAATAATAATAATAATAATAATAATAATAGTAATAATAAATAATGATAATACAGTAATAATAATAATTATTCATAGTAAATAAAATTTTAATAAAAAATACACAAAAATAAAATAAGAATGATAACAATAATAATAATAACAATAATACTGTAATAATAAAATAATAATAATAATAATAATAATAATAAAGATAATACAAGAATGAAAAAAAGATCAAAAGTGAGAAACACGACCTACAGACCTCTGAATTATTATTTGTGTGTGTGTGTGTGTGTGTGTGTGTGTGTGTGTGTGTGTGTGTATGTGTGTGTGTGTGTGTATATTTTAGCCCCAGGCCCAATGTGGGTCAGTGACCTGTGCCCGGGTGGGCTGATCCCTGTAAAAAAAAAAAAAAAAAAACCTAACCATTCTGAAAACCGAAAAATTCCAAAAACCGAAATGCATCTGGTCCCAAGGATTTCGGATAAGGGATTGTCAACCTGTATAACCATCTGGAAATTACAGTATGGTGTACTTGTATTGATTACCTAAACATGTACAGTGTATGAATTGTTTGCATTTGATGCTGATATAATTCATTATATGGAATTGTTATTTTTGTTTAGTAACAATTATTTATCTTTTTGTTTTAGTGGACTGTGTTATAAGAGACAGATGCAACCATTAAACAAGTCATCATCATATACAAAGAAACCTCACAGTATCCAGCTTATTGGTAAGTTTATCTAGATTGATATTAAATGTTCCCCTGTTGTGTCAATTTGCTCAATAATGATACCAGATACCTATAATTCCCTATCCCTCTACTATTCTGCATTTTTTTTATTTAACAAAAGATTTGCTTAATATATTGATGTGTTTTGTGTGTGGTTCTGGTTTTCTACTTATTTCTTTGGTTGTTCACATGTTGGCATTCACAATTTTAATCCAATTTTTGCTAAAGTTTTGTAGCTGTTCTAACTAGGACTAGAATAGGCATTGCACAATTTTAGACATCAGACAAATGTTGGGGGTTACTCTTCATTGATGAAGGTACTAACTAAAAATGGGAGTTTTGTGTCCTTACTTTTCTTTTCTTTTTAAACACTGTATGTAACTTCTTAAGCACCTTAATTTTTTCACTAATCCAGAATTATCAACAGGGGTAATGACTGTGTCTTTCCATGTAACTCTGTCTAGGTATCTGCTGCACCCACTTTTCATTGCATTTGTGAAACAACTACAGCTAGACCCCGACTTACGACGGGGTTAAGGACCCAAATCCAGGTCGTAAGTCCGACATGGTCTTAAGTCCGACATAGATAAAATTTTTTTTTTTTTTTTTAATAAAAATCTACAATGAAATACAGTACAGTAAGTAATAAATAATGAAGTACAGTGAAAAATAATGAGGAATGGATACAGTACAGTGAAAGTAATAAATAATGAGGAATGGATACAGTGAAAGTAATAAATAATGAGGAATGGATACAGTACAGTGAAAGTAATAAATAATGAGGAATGGATACAGTGTGACAGCACTTACCTTTAATGTAGTCAGCTGAATGCACATGGGGCCCACATAATTTTCTAATTATACATGGAGACTACATTAACTGGAAACGTTTCGGTATAGAAAATGCGTGCGTCATTTGAAAAAAAAATTGAAAAAAAAAATGGTCACAACTGTGGCGGTCGTAAGTCGAAGCAGTCGTAAGTCGGGGTCTAGCTGTATTACTGTATTAGCTTGTTTAATGTGGAACACCACAGTGTGCACTGCAGCTCTTGTTGGCATTGAATACCATTGTCATTATCATCACCATCACATTGCTGGTATTGGAAATATCCTTGAATATTTTTTAGGAAAACCTCATAAGGTAGACTTTTTCTAGTTGCATGGTAATAAAATTTCGAGTTCTTTTAATAAGGAAAATCACAGGCTTAATTTAATTATACATCATTGTGTTTATGTCATAAGGGAAACATTAGGGCCAAGGTTCATTTTATTGGTAATAGTAATGTTTTTTCAGAGAGTTGTGGAAGCTATATGGTACTGTATACATTTTTGCTTGTACAGTTCCGTTCCGAAGTTCTTTATATACCTGCGGTAAAGGGCACATAACCTGTCACACCCTTCTTGGACATCAGATCACTATGTCGACCTTACCACCAACATACAGAGTCGAACTAACAATGGAACAGTTTTACTTGAACGAAGACTCGTCAAAAAGAGGTGCGAAGGATATTAATATGAATATTAGCCAACATAACTGCTGATGGATGATGAAGATGTGTTAATATCCTGCTTATGAGAAGAAGAAGACCATTGTGATAGGAGTATTCAATCCAATATTAGAACACAATTGGGAAATTGGCTTCGAGTGAACACTATAAGAAGTACCGTATATACTTGTGTGTAGTTCGAGTTTTTAAGACCAAATTTTTACGTAAAAAATTGGGGGTCGACCTCTACATGGGTAATAGTTTCGTTAGGTTGAATCCGTGCATGATGGGAAGGGCGAGGAGCAACTTTTAGCTTTAGACATGAAAAACATTTACCATTTATTGCCAGTAAACAATGGAAATGTAAATATGTACCAATTAGTAATGAAAAGCTGTGCAGTGCCTTCAGCAGATGAAGCTCACCAAATTACAATAGGCTAAATTACCTTACAACGTGCTTTCAGTAGTCTATGTTGAAGTTCTTAGCACAGGCAAACTTATCATATCATATATATATACGAGAGCAAATTTCTGCCAATTTCAGCTTTCAAGAGTTTTTCCGGCAGTAACTCAATGGTGTGTCCACCCGAACTAGAGCTACACGCTATAGTGACTCTCAGTCAGCAGCAATGGCTAGAAGACAAGACAGGAAGTTTCCTGCTGCAGTAATAATCATGTTGATGCTAGAAAAAAAGAAAGCAAAAACAGAAAAGAAAGTGTTGTCTAAGGCAATGGGTGGAATGACGAGTTGAATTGGGCACTAATAATAGGCTTGTGAGAGAATTACAGTTAAAAGAAACTCAACAACTCTGTAATTTTACGTGCTTGTCAGCAGTTCAGGTAGAAGTGTTGGTGAAATTGGTTGGACCATTAATTTTCAAGAGATGCACACGGATGAGGGAAGCCATTACAGTGCACGAGTGGGTAATGGTCACAATAAAGAAAATAGTCACTCTCAAAAGTCCTGTCAAATGTCAATACATAGTATTGGTGTTCAAGTGGTTAAACTCAAATAACTTACATCAGTTGCTTCAATTAATACATTGTTAATTCACTGTCAGTAATCCAATAACCATACTAGTTAATTAGAAGTGAAATACACCCACAAACAGGGAGGTACTACTGCTTGGGAAGATATTGGAAGCATAATGTATTGTCTAATGGTAGACCCTGCTGCCACATGGCATCACAAAAATTGTGATCAAGTTCCTTGTTGCTGATCTTATTTTTTGCCTCATTTACACACAATTGCAGGGTCTCAGTTGTTTCTCGTACTGTTGACAACACAACAAACATATATTGTTTCTTAATTTTGATATTTTTTTATTTTTTTATTTATGGTTCTTTATTATTATTATTATTATTATTATTATTATTATTATTATTATTATTATTATTATTATTATTATTATTATTATCATCATTATTATTATTATTATTACCTGTATTATTATTATTATTACATTTTTGCCCCCGAGGCCCCGATGTGGGTCAGTGACGTGTGCCCGAGTGAGGTAATCAACCTAAAAAAAAATCATCTGTTGGCCTTGAACATGACTTTTTAGAGTGACTGTACGCTTGACATTTGAATTATACCTATTGATATATTTATGTAATTTCCATTCAAATCCAAATCACCTTTCAATAACTCTGTCGTGAACTTAGTTCGTATAGTTGAGAGTTACCGTGAGAGTTGTGGGCTAGCATGAGTCCACACAATAGCAAACTCGCAGACAGTAGCACGAATTATCTGACAGTTACTCTCAGATTCATGTCCATTTGATAGGAGCGCTGTTGACAGCACTTTACTCTCAAATGGACACATTCCTTAAAGTTGGCCAGTATTCTCATTACTTGATAATATCCTTCCCATCTCTTTTTGATGTGTCTTCATTCGACTCAAACTGTTCTATTGTCAGTTCCACTCTTGTGTGTTGGTGGGAAGTTCAGTGGAGTGACCTGACATTCAGAAAGGGTGTGTCCTTCACTGCGGGTGTACAACGAACTTCTGAATGGAACTGTACATTAGTGTACCGTACATACTACATTGAACTTTTAGTTTTCAAAAATGTTTAATTTCATGTGGTAGATAATATTTTAAGTTTTTGTTCTAATACTGCTTTGAGCTTACAGAGTATTCTGCTGTTACTGACTGATTTGAGGAAAAACAGTTGTGATGAAAAATATTTTCTGTTGTACAGTAACTTATTCGAGTGACATCCAGTTAAGTTCTCCTGCTTAAAGTGCTGCAGAGTTTATGGTATGTTCATGGTATATTATTTATTGAAGAAGAAATTGTTTAAATAAACATTATTCATGAGTCTGTTTCACTACAGAGTTACCTGCCAAGTCTGATAATCAGCGTAGAATCAAGCTTAGTGTTGACTCAAGAAAGGGCTTCCCTCTTGCAGGACTCAGTAATTACAGAGGTCTACGCATTGCAGAGTAAGACTACATTTTTGTATTAGATTTAGATTTTAAACAAGGGATATTTTACAGTCCTTTATGTACGGTTTGTTATCTTACAAATAAGCATCTCTTAAGACTGACCAATGGTGCTCTTTCAGGGAAAAATCTGTCCAATTATAAGCTGTTTTTTGTTAATGTATTTTGAATGAAATTATGTCAATAAGAATTATCTTTTAACCAAAAATGCTGAGAGCTCAGTACAGGGGTATTTTAGACTGGTTTACATTGGAGTACCTGAAATATACACTGATGTGTTTTGCCGATGAAACGATTATGTTTCTTACTTTCTTTAGCCACTTGGATTCGTATATTGATTCATTCTTTCCAATGCTACAAGGAGGTTTGTTCAGAAGGAATATTTGCTGTAAGCTTTAGTCTTGCCAACATAAATTATTTAAATTGAATGATTTCTATATTTTTGCACTTGCAGTAACTTTGTTCTTTCAACATTTCATTGCAAAACTTCAAGGTTCTATATAGAAATGTCTTGAAATTGTATGAATTACATATTGTGCTTTTTAACTGTTCTTGGGAAATGGGGAGTTGTGTTTTCTACCTTGAAAGTACACACACTGCCAACCCCCCAAAATTAGTGCTCTATGAATTAGGAAAGCCTTCACATTTAGAGTAAAATAGAAATGACATAATGTATTGAGTGAAATTCAGTGAAAAATGTCATCCATTGGGCTGAGGCCTGGGTGAGACAAGATTTTCTGTGTGTGTGTGTGTGTAAATAACACTTGTAGGACATCGGTTAGAGATGATGTGGCATGAAATGTAATTGAAAAATTACTACATAGGTTGAAGGGTGGGTGAGTACAGTTGGGTGGGCCAGGTGAGGTGAGGTTATTGGTGTTAAGCCACAAGTTAGTTTTTTAGGTGTGTGCAGGAGGTAGTGACCCTACCTTGCCAGCTGAGAGAGAGAGAGAGAGAGAGAGAGAGAGAGAGATTTTTTTTAATTGTTGAATTCTGTGTTTGTTATATTATTTGTGATAAATAGTTAATTGCATTTTGATATGCTTATTTTTATTGTGCATGCATCAGTGTGTAACTGTTTATGCTTGCACGCATGTGTGTGTATACTAATTTGCACATTTAAACAAGTTTATATCATTGGAAATTCAAAAATATATTTTGAATTTTTATAGGTAATAGACTGTTTACATTATTAATTATTCTTGCTCCCCTCCCAATTTTGTGTAGAATAGATTAAGGGAGTACAGAGAACTCCAGGGGAAAAAATAATGTAGGGTGATTCAAGACAAATATAGAAAGAGACAAGAAAGCATGTAGAAATATCAAAGTACAGCATGCCCTTAAAATTTGCGCATTTTAATTTGCGTACCTCGATTATTCGCGGATGACACCCTGGATGTACCCAAGAATGTCTAAGGGTAGTTTTAAAGTTGCTGGCATTTTTGCTGCCGGGACAGGAAGCCATTCATTCTAGAGACAATAATTTCTTTTACCTGTACTGTATACCAGGTATATGTGTGTGTGTGTAGCCACACACATATACTGTATATACAATGCAGGTAAAAGATATAATTTTCTTAAGGGCAAACACATAAGGGAATATTCATTTCTTTGAAGGGCATGCTGTACTGAATGTTTTCTGAAATCCTAAAATTGATCTAAGCATCCACATAGAATCACAATACTGTACTCCATATCTGTTTACATTTCAGTATGCAGATTTAAAACTGGAGTGAAAAAAATCAGTTGTGCAATAAGAAATATAAATTAATAATCTGATAATTATGTACAGTCCTAAACTATCATCTAAAAGGCTGTATAAAAAAATATGCTAATTTACTCACAGGGAATCAAAATATGTGAAATCATCACATAAACAAGAAAAATGGAAAGAAATTATGAATGGAAACAATCTAATAATAAAGATTGATTTTATTTGACTTTATCCAGCACCTCTCAATCCCCATAGGTGCTGGATAACTGGGATTCTACTTTATATGTACTTGAGATAGGTGGTACTGTATTGTCTACTGAAGATAAACAAAGGAAATTTACAATAGGAGATAAAATGACCTGGAGAGTCTTTGAAGTTAACTGTTATATTGAAAAGTAACATCTCTTATAGCTTGAAAAGGAAATAATATGATTAGTGTGTTCTACCAATGTTGTTACAGTGGGGTATGCTATAACGAACGGATCCTACTACGAATATTCCTATAACGAACGGTTTTACCTATAAAATTGAGAATGCTATAACGAACGCAACTCCTACAACGAACGCGGATGAATACCGGACTATTTCGCCTGGCACATGAATATTGTTGTACCGCGACCCACAACAAGAGCGTCAGGCGCCATCTTTGTCTCATTGTGTAGCCAGTGCACCACTGTTATTGTTGAAATTTCGTCTTTTGATGTGGAAATTCGCGTTATTTGTATAACTATTTTGTTATACAAGTATACAATTGTAACAATGAGTCGTCCAAAGCGAGTGAGAAAGCTAATAACCCTTGAAACTAAGAAAGAAATTATAAAGAAACGTGAGAATGGAAGAAGCATTGCGAAACTTAGTGATGAATATGGGATGGCTAAATCGACTATATGTACGATTTTGAAGAATAAAGAGGAGTTAAAAACTGTGCAAGTGGCTAAGGGAATCTTTAGACTTAGCAAAGCAAGGTGTAATGTGATTGAAGAGATGGAAAATTTACTCTTAGTGTGGATAAAGGAGAAAGAAATGGCAGGTGGTAACATTAGTGAAGCTATAATTTGTGAGAAGGCTAAACAATTGTTTGAGGACCTTAAAGCCAAGACTCCCAGTGGAAGTGATAGTGATGTGCCAGTGTTTAGGGGTACCTGCATGCTGAATAACACTAAGGTAAGATAAAGTACCGTATTTTTTACATTTTCCACAGAATTTTTTCAGTGTTAAGCGGTTGTATTTGGGGGCCTGGAACGGATTAATCCTATAACGAACGAATGCTATAACGAACGAGGTTCTGGAACCAATTACGTTCGTTATAGCATACCCCACTGTATATGAATGTGAAACAGGTTGATTGAATACAATAGCTCGGTGAAACTTAAAAAGATTTTTGCAAGGCATAACTCTTCAGAACATTGGTTGAAATTATTTGGTCATATCTCCAACTAAAGTACAATATGAGAAATTACTTGAAAGGCTAAGAAACTGAAATGGTATTGAGAAAACCAAGGCAAGAACAGCAGTTCAGTATTTGATCCTCAATTGATTCCAAGAGACAGAAAATTACCAAGAAAATCATCTATTGGACGAGCAGATGAAATCAGGAAGTAAGAAGGTTCTCATTGAATGTGGTGGGGATGAGACAGAAGATTGTGGACACATAAGGGGAGACATTCATCCAGCATTTGGTTGGTGCAGGCATTTAGCAATGGTTATGTTTTGTGATAGGTTGTGTTTATATTACAGTATAATCTCGGCAGTCAGGACACTCGTGGGACTTCAGCCAAGTGTCCATTTAAGAGTGATGTCCTATGAATATGGTTATAAAACACATGCAGTAGTTTAGAGCTAGCTTTGAATAGCTAGACATGAGCACTTTATACTTTACACTTTGATTAGGTTCACTAGCAATTGCAGGATTTCACTTTCATGTATTGCATTACCATCAATCAATGAGCAAGATGTCTACATTCCTTTAACTGATGTTATGAAGCACAGCGGAGTTTTACCTGTACTGGACAAGGAAGCTATAAATCAGTGGTGGGCAATTATTTTTGATGGAGAGCCACTTCATGAATGGTGGCACACTTCGCGGGCCACAGGTTAACAGCGACGAGCCAGTATTGCTGCTATGTCCACCCAACTTCCAAAATTGTCCTTTCTGTAATTAATAAGAATTTTTTTTCTGATTGCCAAATGCAGTGGCGAGCCACAGAAATAATTTGGCCCGCGGGCCGCGCTTTGCCCACCCCTGCTATAAATCATTTAGCATTTCAGCAGTCATGATTCTGTATCAAAAGCTTTGAATTGCTACCACAACACCACTTTAGGAGCACTATCCTTGCACCATGTGGTGCTCACTTCACTACCATCTGGAGTTCAGTGACCTTACCAAGGCTTTACTAAGTATACAGTCTCCCAGTAAATATCCCTGCCCACTGTGCTTTACCCTGATTGATCTGGACTCCTAGTAACTTACCATGTCCCTGATTATTGTACAGATGTCAGTCTCTCCTACCCCATCCTATGGTCATAACCATTGTCAAGGTATGGCAGTAGTCACCTCAGTCCAGTCTTTGATAGTAATGTTTCCCCCACCCATTTGACGACAGACCTATATCTGTACCATCATTTAAACTGATATGTTCCCAGTTACCTGGTAATGCTATGATTCAGGGCTGTCCAGAACACTGATTATTGTGACATGTGGTGTTTGGGATTGAAAGACATGACTAAACTATCTCGTAAAATTTTAATGAACTGCACTTAAGTGATGTCCTGGATATTGAGTCCTGATTTCTAGGCTCCATTGTACTTTTATATAGTTATATGTACAGGTACATATAAAATGTTTATTAACAGTTTGTTGCACTTGTTCTTGGTTTATATATATATATATATATATATATATATATATATATATATATATATATATATATATATATATATATATATATATATATATATATATATATATATATATATATATATATATATATATATACACACAGTATATATATATATATATATATAATATATATATTTTTTTTTATTATTTTATTTATTTTTTTTAACTATACCTGTACTACTGTATTATGAATATACAGTATGTAGCATTTATTGACTAACCTATTTCTCTCTTCCTCTCTAAGCCAATAGATGAGTATAGGGAATTGATAATAATCACTACAGTATAACTAATTGAAGTTATTATAATGTTTCTTAGATATTGCTTAATTTTCTTCTTTGCTGGTTAGATAATAAAGCTCTAAAGGACATGTATTGAGAATAAAACTTGCTGTCATAGACATCCCAGTAACCAAGTTCGATAATGGATTGTTTTGTTGAGCCAAGAATTTCTTAAGACTGTTGATAATGAAACGGGTTTACTAACAATAATCCCTATGTTTCAGTGTTCCATCACTCAAAGAAAGGTTACAACAGTGAGTATATTAATCCAGATGCTTTATACACACTTATTTTCCTTTTGTAGCATGAAGTTGATGTAGTGTAGAGTAACAGAAGTGTGTATTGCTGTGTAATACTGTACTGGTTTATGCACAAGTGTTTTAAAGTGACATGTAGTTCATATTTTCATGCTTTGCAGAGGTATGTTATGGATAAGATTGGACCCAGTTTTCAGTAATATTTGAATAACTAAAGTCCACAGGGTCCTGTCTATAAACATTTTCAAGTACTGCATGCATGGACAGTTACTGAAACACCCTGATGAGTATTTTTCTCAATTCTGAAAACCAGGCTTATTTGCACCCATGGCTGTACGTAAATGTATCTTTGCATGTACACTTCTCAAGCCAACCTTTCTTTTTTACAGGTTATCTACTGAGCATTATCATAGTACAGAATGTGATCGTAGCTCTTCTAGGGTTGAACATACGGTATGAAAGTTTTTACACTAGTTAATGGAATGGCGCTTGTTGTGCTGGATGCATTTGGTAACTTTTATTCTTTTGGTGATTTTTATTCTGTGGTCTTATTTTGTTGTACAGGCATCCCTCGTTATACGAACGTTCAAGGTACGAAAATTCACTTATATGTTTTTTTTTTTTTTGGCTAAATTACTACCTCTTTTTCATGTTGCAAAAGCTTCCCCCGCTTATATGAATTTGGCTCCCCCCAAAAATTCTGATCGCACGCCTCCAGGAGTCAGCTGGGGCGGCCACATCCCCCTAGCTCCCTCCCGATCAGGCTAAAGTAGGAGTTACGGTTATTTTTCAACTTGTAATTTTGGATATACAGTATAAATATAACTTTTCATATTACAGCACTTTCATTTAGTTAATGCACACACAATCCTACATACAAAATGTAAAAAAATAATTATCATAAGGTCAAAACATAAAGGGAATAAAGATTTTTTGTGTGTGAGAATGGAAGCATTGCTAAGGGTAGGCAGAGGTGGTCGGGCCGTGTTGCTATGGCAATGCTTGAGGGCGGCCACATGTGAAGCAACCAGCTTCTATGCAAATTGTGCCACTGGCAGCTGTGTTAAACTTTGATTTAACTTTTGCTTAATAGTTTTAGCTGCATATTTTCATCTAAATTGTATTTTATTAAGGTTATTCATGTGTTAGGTAGTAAATTACATTAGTTGTGTATTATTTATCACTAGTTAGGTAGTTTTTTCTTGTTTAGGAATAGATTTTTTAATTTTTTTTGTATGATTTTGTTTTTGTTTTTTTGTCATTGGGGAGCCGAACTCTGTTTTTCCCGTTCTGTTATTCGAGACACAAAAATTCACTTGATGAATGTTTTTTGGAACCTAACCCATTTGTATATCAAGGGATACCTGTATTTATTTGACTATGTACTTGGATTTTATCTTCATGCTGAGAAAAATGCTTCAAAATGTTATATGTATTTTCAGATTACTGATGTACTGTAAGCTTTTATGTTTGCTTGTTGCTCTTGTAGGAGATGGTGCTTACCATGTGTGTAGCTAATATTGGTGTAATATTTTTTTCTAATTGCCATCATTTACAGCTGATTGTTTTGAAGTTTCTCATTCAAAATGATAAGCTAACTTACAGCAGAGGAAGTAAAACTACAAACTTTGCCTTTGCTCATAATATGGCATCTTTAAGATGTAGATACTGTATTTAGTTAGCACTTACACAAAAAGGCAGTCATGTGAAATGTGAATTTTTAGTGTACTGTATTGATAACCCCACAATAACCCGTGTGATATGTGGATAATCACAAATTTTATAACTGTTGCTATGCTGTGTCTGTTTAGTGTGAATTTGCTGACATTTCTTTATGTGAATGTACAGTACAAACATTAGTATGTAAAAGCATGTTCTTTTGTGAACGGCATTTAAAAGAAAGTTGTAATTAATCAAAATTTACTTGATCCAATGAACAACTCTAGCAAATGTGTGCTTGTTATTATGCTGAATATTGTTAACCTGTTTACAGAAACTCCTCGGGTTACAGATTTCTGACTTAACAGATACTCTTCCCTAATTCCCTGAATTTTCTTTTGTATATCGCCCTTGATTGTCATGCAAAATGATACTAAGAGTACACCTGACTCACTATATGTGAATTTGCAATTATGCAGGGACTCTACTTCTACCCACAATTCACTTATTGTGAATTTTTTTTTGCTATTATTCGTTCTGTGTAAGATATAAGATTGGAAAAAACAGGGGATGAGGTGGTCTGTGAGATGGCATGTTGCCAGTTGTCTTATTTTATAGTTTTATATTATATTTTCCTTTTTTCTAAGACACATTTGAATACAGTATTGTAATAAATTTTCCACAACTCTTATAGCATTACTGTTGACATTTAGTGTTTCTTTTTTATGAAAAAGTGCCAGAATTAAGGTTAGGGGAGCTCCATAAATGGTTGTGGAACACATGCCCATTTTCGCCATAAGATTAAGAAACCACTTTATGCAATTTCAAGTTATGCAGGGATTTCACAGAACGTATTCCTAGCAAAGCGACGGTAAGGTGTACAGAACCTATTTGTAATAGATCTAGAGCAGTAAATGAAAGTAAATCAGCAGTATGAAGGTGGAAAACTATTGCCATGCTCTCACGTGAACTTGGTCTCACTATCTCAATCGTACACAAGATTGTGAAGGACAGGGCATGTGTAAAGGGACATGTGAAAGGCTTGGTTCCTTTAAAATTCACTGTAATAACAAAGCAGCAACCACTTGTTATTTGTGAGATAGAGATGAAATTACTATCCTAACACTAGTTTTGTAGTTACTTAATTGTATATACTGTATGTACTTATCTTTCTTTCCTATGCCCCTATTGCTACTTTTTAATTAATAAATAAGTATTGTATCATGTAAGTATAGTAATTGTATATACAGTACAATATGTGTACTGTACTACATTTGTTCAATGCTTATATACCAATGGAAAACTCAATTACCTCCACATGAACGTACCAAGCTTGATAGTGTGTGAAGGCTCAGGTAAGACCTGTGGCACTGCAGTGCCATAGTCAGGGGTGAATGAATGGACATGAAGCAGTGAAATTACTCTGTTTGCAACAAGATACAAGCAATAAAGGAGGCAAACCGAAAAATGAACTCTCTAATACATGTTATGTAGCATTGTTGTGTAGCCACAAATGAGTGACTAGGACTGTACTACTGGGAACTGGCAAACAGGGTTATCCATGGTTTCATGGCCATGACTACGGCGCTGCATTACCACATCTCGTAAATATGCCCCCACACACACCAAGGCCATGGGACGTTCATGTGGAGGTAACTGCATCTTTACCAAACTGTATAGGTTCAGAATCTGATTGAGCCTAAAGATTTTTAAGTTAAAAGGTCCACGGTCATGATTACTATAACCTTGTTGATTTCTAACATTACAAGGAATAGTACAACCTACATCAGTGTTCATATGACCACTAATATAATTTGGAACTTACCCTTTAATTCACTAAACTTAATTACTCATTACTCATTTGTGTTAATATGTTTCACATGCACATATTATTTAGGTTTCGTTGTCTTGGAATTATTTTTTAAATTCCTGAGCCATTTCACTTTGGATATTAGTGAAAAGACATTGGAATCAAATGATAAGAGTATATTGTACTGTTTTGGTAATATTGCAAGTTTGAGGTAGGTTTAAGAAAGCTCCCCCATCCTCATCTTTATGGGTTCTATATCTGTGGGAACATATCTCGTCAGTGCTTTAGTCTGTATCAGATTTATTACACTGATATGTTTACAATCATTTGCTGGGCTGATGTCACTTTGAAAACTAATTTTTGTTTTTGTTTTCAAAGTGGAGTTATTAGTTTTAGGAGATATAGTGGAGTCTTGATAATTCACAGGTTAGGTATCAAATGACAATCTGAAGTATCAAATTGCAAATTACAGTTTAATTGATTTAAATAGAAATAATATTGTGCATAATTCTTAAAAAAAATACAGTAACACACAGAAATTGTACAAAAAGCAGTTCTATATTACATAAACTGCTCCTTTCTTTCTCATCATGTAAGTTGCACCAATGCACCAACTTGGACACATGCAGGTAGGTGCACAGCTGGTTGTGACCACACTACATCAACAAAGAACCAGGAATTTAATGCCATACAATAACTCTGGGGTTGAGTTTGGGATTTTTTTTATTTATTTATTTTTTAATTTACATATTATTTTTCCCCCCAAAATATTAACCACCTACCAAATGAACCTAAATAACATAAGGGAATTATGGTGAATTTACATAATGTTGTAGTAAGGAAGTTGGATGTGTGCTCAGCTCAGGAAGGGGGAGGGATGGGATGCTCAGTCTCCCCCCCTCCACCTGGTCAGCAAATGATATTTGCTGATTTGGCTATTCGCGGCTATTTTGAGACCCAAACCCCCGCGAAATTTTAAGGGTATGCTGTTCTATATTTATTTATTTTTGTATTGTGATAAATATTGGTAACATGCACACCTACAAAACATACCTTGATGTATCTAAATAATGATTGGAACAAAGTAAAAATGAGGAAAAGGAGGTAAGTACATCACAGTGTGGGTGGCAGTGATCACTTGAGGTCTTCACTGTGTGGCAACAGCTATGGGCTTTGCCGTCTGCCAGGTGGTAGACGGAGTGTTGAGAAGCGCTCCAGAGAATTGGCATGTTTTTAAAACACATGGAGAAGATGAGAAGACAGCATTTATTAGTATTTATGTTTTGTTTGACTGCAGCTGAACATGTCTAAAGATAAAAGAAGTGTTTTGTTTCTAGTTGATATCAACAGTTCATCAACTACTTTTCTTCACATATGGCATCCACAAGTCTTGGCAAAATACAAGGAGCTTTATTATGTCTGGGTAAAGATTCTCAGATTTATTCCCCCCAAAGAAAAGTTTAGTTTTAAAACTGATATTCTAAATATTACTTTAAACTTGATTATCCTTCTATTAGTAAGTCCTCACTTAACGTCATTGTTACGTTCTTGAAAAACACAACGTTAACGGAAAGAACATGAACGGAATCAATTTTCCCCGTAAGAAATAGATAAAATACGCTAGTTTCGTTCCCCAGCCTCCCTTTGCCCCATAAAGTACATTACATATACATAAATTCAATGGAATTTTTAGAGAAAATAGTATATATTATACATCCAAAAAAATGAATAAACTAAATCATTTTGTATTGTACTCACTGATGGGCGGAGGTGGAGCGAGTGGGTAGTGGAGAAGAGGAGGGTGGCGAGTCACTGAGACCCGGAGGGTTTAAAACCTCCATTTTCATATCAAGGCTAATGGTCTTACGTTGCTTCTTCACAACACTAGCATCACTAGCACTTGATGGGCACTTGGAAGCCATTTCGGATGGTTACAGTACAGTATTTAGAGCAAAGACGCTTAAACATGCACGTACGCTGTGGAAGCCTAACAAAGACTGGGGACGCTGTGATGCTCCGCGAGAGAGCATAGCATGCCAAGATGAGAGAGGGCGATGCGCCATACAAAGTAGTTGTGATGACGTTAAAACGAATTGGTCGGGACTTTGTCGGAATCATGGGTATCTAAAGAATAGCGATGTTATAACGAAACAATGTTGCCGGGGGTAACGTTAAATGAGGACTTACTGTACATATTGTATTTTATTATATTCATCTAGTTTTATTTTTGCATCTATGAATTTTTTCTCAGGACAATTTTCAGTTATGAAAAGCAAAATTAATTTAAACTAATGTGCTGCATTGGTCTGGGATGATATGCATTTTGATAAAAGTTTTGGAAGTACAGTACTGTGCTATAACTTTTTTATTCATTAGCGATCTTTTTTTTTCCAGATGATATTTTTATAGTGCCTCACCCTTTGTGTTGCAGAATTGAAGCACTTATGCTACTTTATGATAATGTTTCCTGATACAGTAGACATTTTTTGGAAATAAAAATTTGTGGTAGCTTTGAAGGGATCTTGTTTGTTCGACAATGTCTTGATGGTGCCTTAACTAATTTGCTCTAAATTTTGACACTTTCTCTTGTATCATTCTTTTTTCTTGTTGTATTAATGTTTGTCTTGCTTACTATACTTGATTTTAAGATTGATTTACAAAGTGATATCGATTTTGCTCTTGTCTTGACTGTTTCCTTCTGTTGGAGATTATTAAATGGGTTAATAATTTTCAATATGTTACTGTTTTGTTGTATTATAGACTAAATATTGAAGTTTTCTTAACCCTTAAGCCCCGGGTTAGGGTGCTGCTGGCAGTACCCCGCACGCGTGGTTAAATCGAGAAAAAAATCAACATTTCCAAAAACAAAACAAACAAAAAATGACTGGAAAATAGGCGGACGTTCTGGAACGTCACCCGGGGCCTAAGGGTTAACAATGTGGGCTGTCTCTGCCTTAATCCTCCGTTGACATTCTAATCATTTAAACTTTGTACGGATTTCTGTGACATTTTATGAGAAGTCATTGGAGCATTTTAATGTCTTGTATTGATATTTGCCGTTTCAGTCGAGTAAGCTGAAAGAATTTGTGTAACATGTACATTTCCCTAATAAAGGAATTTTTAGCAAATTCATCAGCATCACATTTATGTTTTAAAGTAAAAAATCAAAATTTGTATTGTTGTTGAAATGTTTTAAAATGATTTGCTAACACTTATTGTGCAGGCTTAAGACTGTCAAACAAAAATATACAAAGAAAGATATGGTAATCTTCAGTACACCTTTGAGTATAACTATTTAAATATAGCATTATTTACTTTTTAGTTGAGTACAGTGAGTACAGTACTGTGTTCTTAATTCTCAGCATTTGATAGTGATGAAGTTAATACAGTACTCGTAAGGTGATAAACAAAATGGTCAGTTGTAAACCAACAGTGTTTATGTTTATTTGAGGCCTAACTGTAATATAGGAAATAATTTTGTATTATGAGAACATTTGCATTTTCAAAAGCTAGGAAGTTATATTTGCTGCTTTGACTGTTTTGTTGTAATTTTGCATGTAATACATAGCTTCTGAACAAGTCAAGGAACTCATTTGAAACTTTACACAAATATGCAGCTTGATCAGAAAATGTGTCACGTGTTAAATTCAGGAAATGTTTGTAATATGTTAGAGTTCAAAGATCAACTGGTTCATCTTTCAAAGAATTTCATTTGGTTCCACTGATCGCTTTTTATTTGTGAAATATGATAATTCAATACTGTGTATCAATTTCCATGAGATATGGATATAGGAATTTAGAAAATTACTAAGTCATTTAGCAGTTACACAGCAGACTAGGATCACATCCTTGAAGATCATGTTTACAAGCTTAATGACCAGTTATAAGGAGATCATATTAAAATTTCATATGGTATAACTGTTCAGTATTCCTTAGTGTCTTCTTTCATGAGATTTTTAGGGGAAACATCTCCCACAAAGTGAGTTTTCCAGAATATTACAAAAAATCAAGTGAATGTTTATGCATTATCAAATCTAATTAGTTCAGAATCATAATTCTTACCATGAGGGATACCTTTCTCTTCTTCCAAGCCTCAATGTACTAGACCACCACTCTGTTAGATACTAAGAAAATCCAGAGACATTAAATTCCTTCACTTTAGTTTGATTCAAACTTGTAAACATTAATTGCAGTCATGTTTACAGCTCACATTGTCTCGCAAATTTTGTGAGGTATTGCAACCACACATGTCGCGTTTTCTTTTGCATTTTTTAAGATTTCCTCCAATCATAGACTTTTAATGAATTGTCACTGACAATACTGAGGCTAGTAGTAATACTTGAATATTTACCATTAGTGTGTAACATAGTCCATACTATCATAAAAAATAGTACATTGTGAGAAAAATGCCGAAATTATTACATACAGTACAGTATATAGACAAGTCCGGAGCAAAAGCCAAAGAGCTAGTGAAAAATGCCAAGGAGTGGCAATTTGGCTGCCAAAAATGGAATAGGGATCAAATCACACACATATTGTACATGGATCCACATGCTCAAAGACTGCTGAGTCAGTGTAAATGATTTCTAGTAAGTTGTTGTAGCATTTTCTAAGGAATGCACTGTCAAAAATAAAGTACAGGACAATCTCTCCTCGACAAACAAAAATTTTGTCAGTACACAGCGCGATCACTAAAGTCGGGACTCAAAAATACGTAATGTGAAAAATATTTTATACGACCATGGCCGTCATATGTCTGGGTTGTTGTAAGTCGAGGAGAGACTGTACTGTGAAAGTAGTGAGTAGTGGTTGGAATTCCTCTAAGATGTATGTCCAAGACTGCCTTTACTACTTTTTTCCAAAGGTATGACAGTACAGCTACCACGGCTAAATTAGTAACCCCTGCTACTCTGAACACTAATGTTAGCACATAGGGTTTTTCGAAGGCTAAAGAAAGCAATAAAATGAGACAATCTCCAGTGGTGACTACTTTAATTTACTCTAGCAGCATCACTATTCAACACTGTATATACCTTGCCATAGTTTGGTTCATGGAAAAGGTTTGCATCTGCTAGGATGATGTTTTATTTTGTTGTGAGGCTTGATACACCTATATCACCCATCATTTACAAGTGAGAGTTAAGGTTGATAAGTTGACTTGAAGTTGTTGAAGTGGTGTAATAATAATAATAATAATAATTAACGGTTTATTGAAAGAGCATGGCAGCCAGAAGGCTGAAAATATACAATTACATAATTGGGGAATGGTTCTCTTGATTTACTAATGAAGTACAAGTAGCATAAGTGATACAAATATGATATATAATAATTAGGTGTTGACGATTTTTACAAAGGTTGAGACTGCGCTGTTCTTGTAGCAGTCAGTTCGTGCTCGTATGGACTGGATGCGGTTGGGCAGGTGTGTGGCCAAGTGGCCAGGACAATAGCTTGGGGCAATGCAGGTGTGCTCCATCCTTCAGGTTAGGTCAGGTGAAGCCGTGAGGTCAGGTCAGATCCAGCCACAATCAGTATTGCTGTGTTTTTGTGCTTTTCCTTCGAGTTGAAATTGCCACTTTTGTATATCACTTGTGGGTTAATGGTCAATCTTTGCACTGTACTGTTGGTGTGAGGATGTTGATAAATCCAGATGGGAAGGAGGAGATGGGGAAGGGGAGGGCCCGACACACCGGGCTGGCAGCTGTCTCCATGATCAAGAGACCACGGCCGCGTGAGCGGGCAGTGCCGAATACACACGTCCTTACCCTATGAAGGCTGAGGGAAGTGTGTGTGTGTGTGTGTGGAAAATATTATGAGAAGGTTTTAAGACTGCATGTAGGCACTCCCACTCATGACTGTTAATTAAACACTTTTAAGCAGTAATTTATATACAATTCCATATGCATTATACTATATATAGCTTTTAGGCATGTGGGACCAAAACATGAAAATTATGTATAATAAAAAACAATATTCTTTACATCTCAGGTTGGATTCTGCAGCAGACTTAATGTCTCTGCATGTTGGAGATCGAATTCTTGAAGTGAATGGAAGACCTGTTGAAGACCACTGTATTGCTGATATTGAAAACCTTATTACTTGCTCTCAGGATGTGTTGCAGGTTAGTGAATGAATATAAATAATTTTTGTTTTAGTCTGGTTATGTAAGGTATCTCTTGTCTTTTTCTGGTTATGCAAGTTTTTAGGACTGTATATCTTCTTCTTTTTCTTTTTCTTTTTTTTGCTGTCTTATTTGTAAAGAAAGACTATTCTTCAATTAGTTGTTTCTTCTTTCCTCATACAGTAGAATATGTGGTTTATTTTTTATTAAGGCTTGTAGTACCCAAGCAGTTACAGTGCAGTTAGGTTCCAGTCTCAAAATGATCTTTCTCATTCATCCAATAACTTAATATACTGTACTTTAAATACAACAGAATATTAAACAGTTTTAATGATAAGTAAATTTGCCCCTCACCTTTAATGGTGATGAGGATGATGAATTTGATTTATTGTTAATGTTGAAGCCAGAAGCACGAGGATTTGCCTGAACAATATGGAAGGTGTGGAGTGAAGGTGTCAATGGCATTGACAAGTGCGATACTTGCAGCAATGCTTGTTCTAATTTTTGCCATATTTCTTTTCACTGTAATTACAGTCAACTCATTTAGGCTGCAAGCTTTAGGTACAGACAATAAATCTTCATCCGTAGCAAGTCTGTTCAGTATCTCCTCTTTCTGTATTACAGTATAGTGAATGAATTTTCAGCTTCTTCACACATGTTGTATAAAGTCTGGCAAGGATTGCCAGTTTGCCCTCCAATAGTGCCCTAGTTGGCACCAAGAGGGGGTGGGGGAGGTGGTCGTGCCCAGGTTGATTTAATAGAAGACCCTTAATGGGTAGAAATTGAGTATGAATAGTGCGAGGGGTTAGATTATCTACAAAGTTGCACGTATATTGAGCAGTGGTCCTCCCCACCCTGCTATATGGCAGAGAGACATGGGTCACATACAGGAGGCACCTCAAGGCACTTGAAAACTTTCACCAACGTAGTGTACGTTCCATCCTCTGAGTTTGTTGGGAAGACGAGAGCAAATGCCAGTATTCTCGCTGACGCCAACTGTAGGAGCATCGAGGCTACCATTATCCATGAACAACTACAGTACATTGGACTGGTCATGCAACCGCATGGACAACAGTAGACTGCCAAAGCTCTTACTTTACAGTCACCTAACGAATGATAAATGTAATGCTGGCGGGTAACTGAAAAGGTATAAGGATAGTCTAAAGACAAACCTGAAAAGTGCCAAAACCACCCCCTCACCTGTGAGACGATTACTCCACACCGTAAAGCTTGGAGGAGCACCACACAAGAAAGTGTCAATACTTTCGAGTTAGCCTGACTGCATACTGAGGCAGACACGCGCCAACAGCGGAAAGACGCTGTGGACAACTCTGCCGCTCATGACGCTCCGAGTCCCACTGAATCACTCATGTCATGCCTTCACCAGTGCATTCGCCCCAACACTGGATGCAGAGGATGACATCAAGGAGGCTTTTTATGCCAATCTTGACAGAGTGCTATTCTCTATCCTCAGAGAAGAAAAGGTTGTGTTCCTTGGTGACTTCAATGCCAGAGTTGACAGAGATGCTGACAATTGGCAGGAAATCATAGGGAGAAATGGATTAGGCAAGTGTAATCCCAATGGCCTAATCCTCCTCAGCATGTGTGCTGCACACAATCTCCCTATCACCAATACCTTGTTTAGGCAGGCCGACAAGTTCAAGGGTTCGTGGCAACACCCACGATCCAAGCACTGGCATCTCATTGACTACATTATTGTTAGCAAAATAGATTGCCGTGATATCCTCATCACCCAAGCCATGCTTGGCTCAGACCACTGCGACATTGATCATCGAATCGTCAAAGCCAAGCTCTCGCTTCGTGTCGCTCCAAAATGGCAAAGGCAACAAGCCTCTAGAAGAGGTTTTAACACTAAGCGTCTGGAGGATCCAGCAGTAGCACTTGCCTTCAGAGAACAGCTCGAACATGGGCTGATAAACAACTTGACAACAAACAACCCAAATCCCAGTGCCGAATGGGGTATTCTTGACACTGTCACGACAAAAACCTGCAGAGAGACCCTCGGCTTGATCGAAAGAATACACCAGGACTGGTTTGATGAAAAGACCCAGAAATTAATGTAATCGTCAATGATAAATGTGCTGCTTCAACTCACTTGCAGAACAACCCTCAGTCTTGAACCAAAGCTAATACCTTCCGTAAGAAGAAAGTGGCGGTCCAGCATGAACTTCGCTATCTAAAGAACGACTGGTTTAAAATTAAAGCATATGAAATGCAAAAACTTGCAGATCAACACAAGCTGTGCAAATTTTTCAATTCCATTAAAACATTTTATGGGCCAATCACTAATGGCGCAGCCCCTCTACGCTCATCCAACAGTAACTCACTAATTAAAGACAAAGAAGGCATCCTTCAGTGCTGGAAAGAGCACTACCATTCGCTGCTCAATCGAAACACCGATGTAGTTGTCTTGACTACCCAGCAGGTCCCTCAGCATCCAGAGCTGACCCACCTCAACTATCCTCCATCCCTGGATGAGGCAGCTACTGCCATCAAACAGATGAAAAATAACAAACCCTCAGGGCCTGATGGAATCCCATCCGGGGTGTATAAAGCAGGAGGACCAACTGCCTTCACTCTCTCCTGGATAATATATGGGAAAAGGAGGAAATCCCCCAATCTCTTAAACATGTCTTCATCGTCAACATTTATAAGAACAAGGGAGACCGGTCAGACTGTGGCAACTACCGCGGGATCTCGCTGCTGTCCGGAGTTGGCAAGATTATCGTCCAAGTCCTCCTAAACAGACTTCTTCCTGAGGTGGAAAACTTCCTCCCAGAATCTCAATGTGGCTTTAGACCATCACGTGGCACCACTGACAAGATGTTTAATGCCCGCCAGATACAGGGAAAGTGCAGAGAACAGCGTTGTGACCTGTACATGGCCTTCATTGACCAAACCAAGGCCTTCGAATCAGTCAACAGGGAAGCCTTCTGACTGACTCTCAGTCATTTTCGCTGCCCACCAAAATTCATTGCTTTTGTGAGACAACTCCACGATGGCATGAATGGCAGTGTCTTACACAATGGCACCCAGTCTGAGTTCTTCCCCATGCAAACGAGGGTAAAGCAAGGATGTGTACTGGCACCAACTCTCTCTTTCATTTTCTTGACTGCCTTCCTTAATTGTGCCAGTTCCAATTTGGGGCGGGGTGGATACAGTACCAGATGAAGGGTCTTTTCAACATAAGATGACTCCAGGCAGGAGCAAAGGTGTCAGCAATTTCCATTGCTGAACTTTTGTATGCAGACGACCTCACCCTTGTCGCTCACACTGAATGGGACCTACAGAAAATCCTGACACCTACGCAGATGCTTATGCACACTTCGGCCTTGAGGTGAATGTTGGCCACACACGGTTGATGCATTTTTTTTTTTTTAATGGAGAGGGCGCCCCCTCCCCATTGTGATAACTGCCTGGTCCCATTGACTGTTCAATACCCCTTGGTGGAGTGCCCTAGTCTCAGAGATCTTCATAGTAAGCACCTCTCCCAATGACGGGGGGAGTTGGGTCTTACCGTCTCTCTTTGGTGTTGGGTAATGTTGGAGAGGATGTCCTCTCCATTGTGGAGGAAGCCGGTCTTCTACACAAGCTTTGAGTGTTATCTATTAATGTTTAAATGTTTTGTTTTTTATGAAGTTCTGTGTTACAGTATTTGTTACCTATGTTTTTTACCATGCATTACAGTCTCTCCTCGACTTACGACATATTCGACCTACGACAACTCGGACATACGACGGCCATGGTCGTATAAAATATTTTTCACATTACATATTTTCGAGTCCTGACTTTAGTGATCGCTCTGTGTACTGAAAATTTTTTTGTTTGTAATTCCCTTTAAAATGGCTGGTAAGCATAAAAGTGAGAGTTCTCGTGGTGCTGAGAAGAAAAAGAGACACCCATTTTAGAATTTCTATGTATTATTTTCGCCTTTTCGACTTACAACCTGGTCGTCGGGACGGAACCCCGTCATAAGTCGAGGAGAGACTGTATTTGATTTTAGTCTTTTAAGCCGTTATTTTAAATCAATCAATCAATCAGTAAGGTTAGCCTACTGCGAGCATGTCCCGGGTAGCAATTGTACACCACGAAAATGGGTGAATTTTAATCTCTCAAAAATATTATGTGTATATAGTTCGTCCCCTTACTGTTTGCATAAAAATTTTATTAAAACTTGAATTGTACTCGAGTCCAGTACATATGGTAATCATGATTGTAATTGTAATACAGTATTGTATATGAAAATGATTTTGATCATAATCGTAATAAGACTACTGTACTGAAACTAATGTAATCTTAGTTATATTGTAATTGCAATAAAGGAAATACTGTACAGGTAAACCTCTATTTTGCGATGGGATTAGGTTCCTGAAAACCCCATTGCAGGTCAAAATAAGGGGTTCAATGGGATAGGTTCCTGGTCAGTCGGACACCCTTATGTATCACCCAAAAAATAAGAACTCCTGCAATACTACAATCACTACAACACAATTAAACAACATTCACCGCATCATTAAGAACAATTCTGGTCGTCACATGTCTCTTCAAGGTTAAGTGGACTCTTAAGGTGAGTGGAGACATCAATCTGAGTCCCACACACACTTTGTGGAGTTCCATGAGTGGGGACTGGCAATGTAGCCTTCATCCTGGCTTTAAAGATGGCGAGCAAAGCTCTTGCCAGACATTTTCAGAGTTACACTGCTTACTTCAGTCACAAAAACATGATAACAGTACTAATGAAAAAAAAATGTAAGAAATGTTACGATGTAGGATCTCATGTTATTGACCTGCCCTGCTCAGTGTCAGGTGGAGGTGGGGTGGGGAAATAGTGGTATCATATTACTGACCTTCTGATAGAATGTCAGGTCACCCATTGTCAGGGTGGGGGATTAGTGGGTTTCATGACCTGAGGATGTCTTCGATAAAGACAAAAGCTAAGGTATTTTTGAGGCTGCTAGCAAAAACATGTTTAATAATTAATTCACAACATCTGCTCTAATTGTGTTAGAGAAATTAATTTGGTTCCATTGCATATATGGAGATTCGTTCCTGGTGACATTGTTTTTTACCTATGAGATATATACAGAACAGTACTGTATATGAAGGGTACAGGTATTAATAAGCACAGATTATTACAGTAACGTATCTTTACTAATTAATGAATAACAAATATACAATGTTGCATCATGAATGACAGTTCTAGTAGAATGAGCGAGAGGCAGAAGTTGGAGACACACAATGGGTTGGAGGGATGGAGGTAAGTAATATCTCCTTTAGTCGGAATCCCTCAAACGTGGAACTCTCCGATAGCTTGAATTAAAAAATTTCCGATACCCGGAAACTTCCGGGGATGGGGGACTTTTTTCCAGGTTTAAAAGATGGGGTAATGCACAACTTCTGGAACTTCCGAGAATATTTTTCCGTTACGCGGAAAATTCAAGGGATGAGGGATTTTTTCCAGCATTGAGAGATGAAAAAATTTATTATTCTGGAACTTCTGAGAACATTTTTCCGTAACCCGTAAAATTCCGGGATGGAGGATTTTTTTCAGCTTTGAGAGAATCATCTCATTACCCGGAAATCTCCCATTGGGAGAAAGTGACCGCACTATCCCTCCCTCACTGCACCGCCTCCTAATCCGAGCAAAAAAGTGTACTATAAACTTTTATTTACAGAATCTGTGCTAATTGTGTTAGAGAGATGAATTTTATACCATAATCATCCTGAATAAAATATCTACAAGACTTCCAATAAAAGTTCTTTAAATATAATTTTTGACATGATATAATGATGGGAATCAATTCATTTATGAAAAAAAAGTTGATACTGGAGTCTATAAAATCAGTTCTAATTGAGTTAGAAGCACCATTTTTTACTCAAATAATCCTGAATAATTTATCTACTAGTATGGTTAAATAAATATACATAAAAAAATAAAAATCTATATGATACAGGTTGACAATCCTTTATCCGAAATCCTTGGGGCCAGAGGCATTTCGGTTTTCGGAATTTTTCGGTTTTCAGAATGGTTAGTTTTTTTTATATACAGTGGTACCCCACTTAACGCGGTCAATTGAACCCAGAGGGTCCCGCGTTAAGTGAAAACCGCGTTAAGTGAATAACAGAACATATGGGATTAATTCCAATAGAACCCAGCCCGACCCCCAAACTCCACTTTTTGACGACAAATAACTATGTTGTAGTAAAAATAACATCTTAATTTTATGATGGTACATGCACACAATTAATACTTAAGAGAAATACAGTCGCCAAGTTAATGTCCATTCAAATAATGGACTCAACTCCCTCCCCTCTCACACTACAGTACACAGCCAGCTAACAGATGGTCGGTCGGTCCCTCCCCCCCCCCCACCCCCACCAACCGTCCCAAGGAGATGTGTGGGATAACCTCAAACTAAAGTTAGGAAAATATAATTGACATTGCTGGATTCCTTGTAAGACCAGGAATATTTTGAATATAAATGTCATATATTTTTCACAAAAGATAACATACTTACTCAGATTAAACATTTTATCTAAAAATTGTATGTTTAATGCAAAAAATATGTTGTTTATATTCAAAATGATCACCAAATTATAAGAATTCCAGCAATGTAAATTATATTCTGGCCGGATAATTTGTATGAATTTTATGAGCTAAAACAAATATCTACAGTTAATAAAAAAAAAAATATATTCTTCAACACTATCTGTCAATCAAAGTACCCCACCTTGCCTCCCCCCCTCTTCCAACCGCGCGGTCAGTCCCAACCCTCCCCCCACCCCCCACCAATCCTCCATTCAAGAGTTTTTAACATTTAGTAATAAATAATACCTCAGATTAAAGTTAGGATAATATAATTGACATTGCTGGATTCCTTGTAAGACCAGGAATATTTTGAATATAAATGTCATATATTTTGGACAAAAGATAACATACTTACTCAGATTAAACATTTTATCTAAAAATTGTATGTTTAATGCAAAAAATATGTTGTTTATATTCAAAATGATCACCAAATTATAAGAATTCCAGCAATGTAAATTATATTCTGACCGGGTAATTTGTATGAATTTTATGAGCTAAAACAAATATCTTCAGTTAAAAAAAAATAATTCTTCACCGGGTAACAGATGGTCGGTCGGTTGGTCCCTCCCTCCCCCCCACCCCCCACCAACCGTCCCAAGGAGATGTGTGGGATAACCACTAAATTTTAATAAATAATACCTCAAACTAAAGTTAGGATAATATAATTGACATTGCTGGATTCCTTGTAAGACCAGGAATATTTTGAATATAAATGTCATATATTTTGGACAAAAGATAACATACTTACTCAGATTAAACATTTTATCTAAAAATTGTATGTTTAATGCAAAAAATATGTTGTTTATATTCAAAATGATCACCAAATTATAAGAATTCCAGCAATGTAAACTATATTCTGGCTGGGTAATTTGTATGAATTTTATGAGCTAAAACAGGCAGTCAGGCAGGGTGGCGGGTGGGGGGTGGTGCGAATCTAAAAATAGCTCTCGAGCCGGACACTCACCGCGTTGCTGTGGAAAAATCCGTTAAGTGAAAGTTCAGCTTTGGCAAGGCACCGTATATGCGAAAACGCGTTAAGTGAAAGCGCGTTGCGGGGTAATACTGTATATATGTGTATTAGCCCACCCGGGCATAGATCACTGACCCACATTGGGGCCTGGGGGTCTAAAATATAATAAAAATTATTATAATAATAATAATTCATAGGTCTAGGTCGTGTTTCTCACTTTTGATCTTTTTTTCATTCTTGTATTTCTTTACTGTATTATTATTTTATTATTACAGTATTATTGTTATTATTATTATTATTATTATTATTATTATTATTATTATTATTATTAATTTTATTATTATTATTATTATTATTATTATTATTAATTTTATTATTATTATTATTATTATTATTATTATTATTATTATTGTAATCATTATTATTTTATTTTGGTGTATAATTATTAAAAATTTTATTTACTATGAATAATTATTATTATTATTATAATTATTATTACTATTACATTTTTGCCCCCCAGGCCCCGATGTGGGTCAGTGATCTGTACCTGGGTGGGCTAATATTCCCTGTTAAAAAAAAAAGCCCCACAAAAAAATTTAGGTTTTTAGAGCTTTTCAGATTTCGGATAAAGGGTTGTCAACCTGTATAGGTGTGCGATGCACTTGCCGACTTGGCAAGTTGAAGGGAAGATGAATATTGTTAATGAGAGTTTGTTTACATCGCAAAAAGGGGAGTGATCTTAATATATCAGCATTGTTAATGCATGTTTTGTAGATGGGAACATTGTAAATTGAGGTTTACCTGTAATTGTAATAATAACCATAATCCAGAATATGTTGCACAGTAGTACTCATATTTGGATTGTGTAATCATTATGTTAATGGAAAAATTTAATATTTGACAATTTTAATTGTAATCATAATCATCACTTGTACAGCCACATGTGTGCTACCAGAATATATTGAAGGTGGGTGCTTAGGCATGATGAATTGGAATATGGGAACTCAGTACAACCACTGCGACAATATAATGAAATAAACAACACAGAGATAGTTGTCTGCGCATGCCATGATATGGTGTGTTGAACCCTGGTGGAAAGCTGATGCACTAGGCAGGAAAATTTTCCATGGCTCACCATTGCACTGCAATGCTCACATTATTGTGTTTTGGATTTGCATTAATACATATTAGTGGGTGTAAAAAATAGAGTGTCACATTATCACAAATCAGTATCAAGGTGTACATTAACATGTGCCTCTACTGTAGTACTGAAACAGTTGATATTTTTTAATTTTAAAATTTAGATGATTTCTCAAAAACTAAATGCTTTGCCAGCAGGTAGCACACAATGGTGCAGCACAGTATATGTTTTTGGGATGATGTTCCATTCATGGGACAAATTTCAGTTTTGATCATTTCTATAATAGCAAAATCATATATGTATTTTGATTTTCAGTTAACCATTGAGCATGATCCAGAGCAGGTGTCGACAAGACGACAAAGTTTTCCCTTTGTGTCACCATGTCGGAACGTCTCGCCCATCCATGACCAGCAACAGAAAGAAGGTAAATCAGTCTCAATCTGTGTAGATAATTTTTCATGATATGCATAGTTTCCTTGATAAGGAATTCTTTAGTTTTACATTTATTTTTCAGTGTGTGTGTGTGTGCATGTGCATGTGTGTGCATGTGCATGTGTGTGCGTGTGTGTGTGTGTGTGTGCGTGTGTGCATGCATGTGTGTGTGTGTGTGTGTGTGTGTGTGTGTGTGTGTGTGTGTGTGTGTGTGTGTGTGTGTGTGTGTGTGTGTGTGTGTGTGTGTGTGTGTGTGTTTTTTTTTTTCACACTGCATTGCAATTGCCCTAGATACTTGCCTTAGCACTGCAGCAGCGTCCTTAGCATTGGTGCTCCGCCGCAGTTCCTCTGACCTCCACGCACTCGCCACATGGCTCCGTGGTGGAAACCTGTAGATCCACAAAGCTTTTTACTTTATGATAATTATATTTTTTAATTCTTGTTGTACTTTCTGTATGGAGAGTTTGTTTTTGCAGTAACTGTGCTTGTAACTGAGTAAAAAAAAAAAAAATTATGTGGACTGTATGTGTTGAAAAATACTTTTTTTCTTCACTTTCTGGATGTAAGACTGAAGTGTGTATGTAACTGAGTAAAGAAAATGAAGAAAATTAATATAGTGTATCTACCTGAAATTATGAGTTGCAAAATAACCATAACATACAAGTCACGGGTAGGGAATGGTTGGAAATATCCCCGCTCTGCCTGGGAATTACTTTTGATGCTCATTTTAAATAATTTTTTTTTCCAGAACATACTTTAGCTGGTTTAGGGAGCGTTCCGGATACCGGGACACTGAATAAATGGTCCGATACCTGTGTACAGGTATTCCTCTGTATTTAAGAAACAACTTAAAGAGGATATTAACACAACTTATTTTTATCTTACTTGGAACTTGGCCTGAGAGTGTAGGCCTTATTTTTTATCATAGATCAGACAGTGTGCTTTACAGGGATTTTTTACCTTCTTGTAAAAAATCCCTCAGTGGCATACACTATTGTACAGTATGTCCATTTGCTTATACAGTGGTCCCTCGGTTAACGAGCACAATTCATTCTAGAAGGTTGCTCGTTAACCGAAACCATTGTTTCAATGGGTTTTGGGTAAGTGGTTCCAGCTCACTGAAAATTGCCTAAAGTCAACAAAAAAGGTAGTAAAGTACACTTACTTTGAGGTGTGTATGTAGAAGTCTCCTGGATGATGATGATGGGAATTAGAATGGGGGTGGAGGAGAATGGAGAAGAGAAGGCATTGGGGTGGAAGAGAAGTCACCCCATGGCGCCATATCACCCATAAAATTTTAGTTCACTTGGTGTAATTCAAGATTATTGTCTTTAAATCAACACTGCACTGCATTAAATATTGTCAATATGTAAAATACATTTCAAAATGACCAATAATTTGCTTGGAAAGAGAAAAAAACGTTTATGTTGAAGAGAGTCTGAAGCAAGATGTTACCTCCACTGAAAAGACACAGAGACTGACGCCTGTATGGTGCGTTGACAGGCTGTTTGGCGCGCTAAAAACTAGTTTCCCTGTACTTAAATTACGTTAAATAATTGTTAAAATGACTAAAAATTTTAATATAAGACTTTTAAAATTATTGAATAGTACAAACTTCTTGATATTTACTAAACTAGTAAGGAATTTAAGCCCTAGAACCGATTACTGTATTGGCGGACTAATATGACAGCTAGTGTGCAAGCGAAAACATGTTGAGGGGGTGCTCGTAAGGAATTCGTTAATCGAGGGAATGCTCGTTAACCGAAGTTAAGAATCTTATGGAAGGTAATTCGTTAACCGAAATTTCGTTAACCGAAATTTCGTTAACCGAGGCGCTCGTTAACCGAGGGATCACTGTACAGTAAGTATTCGTATAACGTCGTCCCGCTTAACGTTGTTTCGGTAATACGTCGCTAAACTTTAGAGACCAAAATATCGTTTAAAGTCCCAGTGATCTGATACTACGTCGTTTTGCGTAGTCACAGACTACTTTCTCCAGCGCATCACCCGCTCTTGTCTGGCCGCACTACGCTCTTTCGGCTCGGTGCGCTGCCTTCATTTGCGGAACGTCACAGCGTCCCCAAGCGACGCTATGCCAGTCTCTGTTATGATTTCACATCATTCATGTGTGCTTAAGTGATTTTGCTCTGAAACTGTACTCTAACCATTTGAAATGGCTTCCAAGTTCCCAACAAGTGCTATGAAAATTAATGTATTAACCCGATTTGAAAAAGGGGAACATGCTGTGGACGTAGCCACTGTGCTTGATCTAACCCCCACAACAGTGCGTACTATCCGGACCAATGCTGACAAGATTAAGGTTAGTGCTGGAAGTGGTACTACTCTCAGTGCAACTAAAATAACTCGTACTAGAAGTACTGTGATAGAAAAAGTGGAAAAGATGCTGGCTATGTGGATGGAGGACCAGAATCAGTGCAATTTGCCTGTGAGCCTTATGGTTATCCATAATAAGGCCAGATCCTTGTTTGACGACAAAGGACGAAGAGGGTGAAGGATTGGAGGAAGAGACTTTTACAGCCAGACAAGGCTGGTTTCAACGATTGAAGCGGAGGTATAACCTCCACAATATTAAGATGATTGGTGAAGCTGCCAATTCATATACGGTTGCTGCCGAGACATTCCCACCTGAATTCAAACAGATTATCCAGGAAGGAGGCTACTCATCGAAGCAAGTCTTCTGTGTGGATGAGACTGGTCTCTTTTGGAAGAGGATGCCTGAGAGGACCTTTATCTCCAAGGAAGGGAAAAGAGCACCAGGCTTTAAAGTGGCAAAAGACTGCTTGACGCTGCTGCTTGGAGCGAACGCTGCTGGCGACTTCAAGCTGAAGCCTATGCTGATTTCTTGCACTGCTAACCTACGGGTCCTGAAAGGTTACTCTAAGGATCACCTTCCTGTCATTTACAAGGCAAACAAGAAGGCATGGATAACCGGCGCCACATTTAGCCAGTGGCTAAACTTGTACGCCGTCCCTGCAATGCAGGAATACTGTGCCAAGGAGAACCTTGACTTCAAAATTCCTACGATTGTTGACAATGCTCCAGCTCATCCTCCCAATCTCGACGACTTGCATGACAGTGTAAAAGTTGTCTTCCTGCCTCCCAACATGACAGCACTGATGCAGCCTATGGACCAAAAGGCGTCATCGCCGCATTCAAGGCGTATTAATTACGCCGTACCATGGCCCAGCTGCTTAAGGCTACGGACAGAGAAAATAAAACCACAATCCGAGAATATTGGCTTGTCTTCAACATTCTTCATGCAATTGACAACATTGGCAAGGCTTGGGAAGAAGTTTCAGAAAGTTGCCTGAATGGTGTGTGTGACGTAAATTGTGGCCCTAGTGTGTCAACGGTTTTACGGGATTCACGGACTTAGTCCCAGCTGTGAATAGGGATATCCTCAGCTTGGCTAGACAGGCAGGCTTTGATGAGCTGGAATCGGAGGATATTGAGGACGTCCTGGCATCCCATACTGAAGCGCTCACTAATGAAGATCTGCAACAATTAACAGAACACAGTCCTGTTGAAGACGACGACGACGACGAAGAACTTCAACGAACGCTAACTTCCAAGAGGATGGCAGAATCATTGAACATGTTCCAACAAGCAATGCAAATGCTTCTAGATGACGACCCAAGCAGAGAACGTAGCTCAAAGTGCAATGCAGCATTGAGGACATTCTTGGTTGTTACACTGAGATCTATAAGAAGAAGAGTAGCACCAAGTGGTCAACACTGGATTCATTTTTTCGTCACAGAACGGTAGAAGCAGCTTCTTCACAACAGCCGGCAGCCAAGGAGGAGCACAAAGCAGCCGAGGAGAAGCAAACTTAAACGGAGGAGTAGCAAACGGGCGGAGAAACCCCAGTCAGAATAGGAGGAGGAGGCAACCGCAGAGTCTCAGTGACTGACCCTCCTCTCACGATCTGCTACGCTCCCACCCTCCTCCGCTCCCGCCATACGCCTCCCCTCCTGCCGTCCTCATCCTTCGCTCCAATACCCACCACACACTCGCCCTACCACCTTCGCCCATCGGTTAGTACTAATGCAAACTTAGTACTCTTAGTTCTATATTATACTATTTTCTATAGAAATGGCAATGATTTTCTGTATTTGTAATGTTTTTCGTGGGGCAAAGGGAGGCTCAGGAACGTAAATCCTGTATTTTATATATTTCGTAGGGGGGAAATTTATCCGCTTAACGTTGTTTCGTAACCCCGATGTTAAGGAGGAACTTACTGTAGATGGCATTTCTGTCAAATATTTTTAGATGAGAAATCTTACTACAATTATTAACCAGTGCCTATTTAATTTGTGTGGAACTATAGAAGCCTGTTTATTGGAGATTTGACAGAATTTCTTTTTCATATTTATTGCAGGTTTGCGAGAGCGTCTATTTAAGCGAAGGGATGAAGGCTATGTATCCGGTACACAACGCAGTCGTCAGTTAAGACGTGGAAGAGGGTGCAAAGAGAGAGCATCCTCCCTTCCTAAGTTATTAGATAAGTAAGTATTAGGAGACAGAAGGAATAACAACAAAGGTGCTCATAAAATGTTTGTTTTCTTTGGTGTGTGTGTGTGCGCATGAATGCGTGCATGCATGCAAAATTTTCTGACATAAAACTACAATAACTAGAATGCTTTTTTATCTGGAATTGAACCAAAACATGAAATTGTCTTGCCTTCACTTGGATACTTTATTGGTGAGTATGTTTCGTTAAATATATCTTCTTATAGATGTTTGTACAGTACAGGTTGTACCTCTCTAGTCCGGCAACCTCAGGACCTGACCGGTGCCGGACCATGGAAATTTCCAGACCATGGAAATTTACCCTTGAAACACCCTGCATAAAGCATAAAAACTTAAGATCGGAAATAAATAAACAAGAAAAAGTAATACTGTTAAAATACTATTTCATTTACCTATAATGCTACCATAATTATTCTTCCAAAGTGAAATGATGGTACTGTAACTAAAATTACAGTTGAGGTACATTAGGGATGTTGGCTATTGGGCAAACTAAAATTGTTCCACACCACGGGAGTTTCCGGACCACAGAATGCCGGACTAGAGAGGTAAAAACCTGTATATAGTTTTTTATGACATTAAGTACAGTATTGTTTATGTTTTACTATTTTCAGACAGTACAGAAATACATTACTACAGAACATTAATATGGTGTCCAATTATTTTTGTTACTCCTTCCATCATTTTGCTGGTTAATGTGACATGGCCAGAAATAACAGCCGATGCACACATTTTCTCATTCATTGTCATTTATTTATTCTTACTGCTCTCCACTCCATTTTTTTTTTTGCATTCCTCACTCATTCTTCCATTTTCTTCTTGGTCTTCACCTTTCTGCTCTATCATCCACCTCCAAATTTTACACTTTTTACTAATCTTTCACTTAATGTCAGTGGCATATCCTTCATGATACCACCTACCGTAAACTAACCTCCAAGAAATATGAAATATATTCATATACAGTAACCTTTTTGTTATCCGGAATCCCTGGAACTCTCCAATAGCAGTACAGCTCCTCCCCGACTTACGACGGGGTTAGGGACCCAAATCCAGGTCGTAAGTCGAAATGGTTGTTAAGTCAAAAATGCTTAAATAATACATAGAAAATCTCAAATGGGTGTCTCTTTTTCTTCTCAGCACCACAAAACGTTGGGACTCGAAAATATGTAATTTGACAAAATTTTGGTACGACTGAGGCAGGTCGTAAGTGCTGGTGGTCGTAAGCCGGGGAGATGTACAGGTAATTGAAATCGGTCTGGAATTTTCCGGAAAAATTATCTTAATTATGGGTCTATAGACGCGTTTCCGGAGATAAAAATCAGCTGCATTTTCTGGAAAAATTACGAGAAAATCTCAACAAACCTCTCCGTTCTGAGCCTGGGAACAAATATCTGAGAGGTTGTATCATACTCCAATGCCACCCCACATACCAGGTGCAAGAGTGGCTTAGCTGCTTGGATCCTTACTTCATATTCTGCTGCCATTGTAGAAGGTTGGAAGCTCATTTAAGTAATTCATTCCAGAACATAGCTGGTGGTTTTTGGAGCATTCCAGATACTGGGACTCTGGATAAACGGTCCCTTACCTGTATATAATAACCCTACAGTATTATGAATTGGCATGTGTGATGCTTGTGACTTACTAAAGAGAACCATTCAGAATTACTGTATCCTTTTACTATTAACCATTGATGAGATATATAGTGGCTTGTACACAACATTTTATGTGCAGTGGAGTTGTTACACAGGAAGCTGAAAATTTTTATGTTTAGGTGGATAAGTATTTAGTATGGTTATGATGTTTGCAAATTTGTATTTATTTATTACTGTATCTAATTCAACCATGCCTAACTTACCTAAATTACATCTATCCATGTAGACTCAGCCAGATTTTTATCAAATTCAACCAAATCAAACCTGTCATAGCAAACCTAATACAGTACTGCACTGTAAAGTTGAAATGTGGAAATTCAGTAAAACAATGAATGACAACTTCCATTGTGCTACTTCTTTCTCTCATCACTTTACTTATCCTCTCCCTAGTGACTCTCCCCGTGAATCTGGCTACTATGATCTGAGTAGAACTAAGTCATTCCGTGTAGAACCAAAGAATCATCGAATCTTCCGTGCATCTGATCTCACTCAGGGAGAACTTCTTGGTAAAGGTTTCTTTGGACAGGTGAGGTTAAAATGTCAATAGTTTTGATTGTCTTGGGGAGTTTTAAAGTGTTGAGAGCTCTGCAGATGTTGATTTGTTTAACACATGAAATACTTGAATATATATTGTTTAGATAAAAGCACTTGCTCTAGTGGGTTAAATTTTTACCTACACCTATTTAACAGAAAATTGATTTCACTTATTATTCAGATTTTGCATTGGTTTGATAGCACCGTACTGCATATTCATCACTTATGCTAACATTGTTTGGGAGCATTCCATAGATCTGAGTTTTTATACATAGTTGTTATGTTTCTCAAACCAATATGATACAGTAGGGTCTCAAGTTTAGCGAGTTTTAGATTTGCTATTTATATGTTTCGTGTCACTTTTATAATTTCTAGCCTCTCAAGAATGACGATTTTCATTACTGGTTTCATGAATCATTGTGGACAGCGCTCATTGTCTGGGTCTTTTGTTATCCGTCGACCCGCCAAGTGTTTTTTGTTTACGGCGTAACAGCAGTTAGTTTGAATGAGCGAGCGGTGCAGTGACCTTGGACTATATAACCCATTGTGCTTATGTTTTGCTAGATTCTTGTTTGACTATTATCGATTCTTGTGTATTAGCGATTCTTGTGTATTAACGATGAGTGAAGTGCGTATTGTAAATGTCTGGAGCAGTTCTGGTGGTAATGATGGCCATAGAGAAGGTCAACAAGGAAAGCCCCCAAGCCAAGCGTGACCACCATAAGGGAGTCAAGAAGAGGAAATACACCCTTAAAATAAAACGAGAGATGCTTGAAATGATCAAAAGTGGTGCTCGTACCTGTGAAATCATGCGTAGGTTCAACTGCCCCGAAGTAGCAGGACGATCTCCTATACTTCACAATGAAACCTAATGTTAGTTATCACAGAACATTACCTTCACAAGTGGGTGGAAAGAAGAAACCGTGAGCAAGGCGACCTGTTTGGACCACAGATAAGGCACGTGTTTATTATGCTGCAGTTGCACAGAAGAAACGTATTAACTCTCCACCATCATTCAATGCTTCTATTGGTTGGTTGGCTGCTTTTAAGAAGCATTATGAGGTCAAGTTTGCCCACTACCATGGGGAGAGTGCATCGGCTGATGTCATAGCAGCAGAAAAATATCTACCTGTCTTTCAAGCTCTTGTGAAAGAGGGTGGTTATTGCCGAGACCAGATCTTCAATTGTGACGAAACTGGCATTTTCTGGAAGTGCTCACCTAAGACCATTTTCATTGCTCAGGATGAAAAACAGGCAAAGGGAGTAAAGACTTCAAAAGACAGGATTACAGTTTTGTTCACAGCTAATGCAAGTGGAGATTTCTTGATGAAACCCCTGTTTGTTAACCGTGCTGCCCGTCCTAGAGCCTACCGTCATGCCAGTATGTCGCAGCTCAATGTTTTTTGGACGTCTAATAAGAAGCTTGGGTTACAACGTCTTTATGCACCGATTGGTTGGACAAGCACTTTGTTCCTGATGCCAAACAGTACTGCCGGAGGAAGAACATTGACTTCAAAGTGATCCTGGTGATGGATAATGCTCCTGGACACTCTTAAGTTTCTAATTGGATGCCACCCTAATGTACAAGTTATCTTCTTTCCTCCTAACACCACATAGTTTCTGCAGCCACTTGACCACGAATTCATCAGTAATGTTAAACTGTTGTACTATCAGTCACTATAAATATTTTTGTCAGAAGACAGACTCATTAGTTAAGTTACAACAAATTGAGGCAGAACTCTGTGACAGTGACCAGGCTCTACAAGCTAACCAGGAGGAGGAGATGGTAGACGACCTGACTCCAAGCACCTCACCACCCCGCAACAGTGAAGTGTTTTCAGTTTGTGAATTTTGGAAGAAATATAATATTAAAAATGTAATTGACAGATTGTTGAGGCATGGCGTAAGATTAATGTTGCAACAGTGCTACACGTATGGAAGCCTTTGTTCTCTAACTCCGAGATAAGTGGGGCAGAGCAGACCGAGGCAAGCGGGGAGAGGCAGTCTGTGGTGGCAACACTAATGGACACAGTGAAGGCAGCACGGTCAGTCCCAGCACCGGGATTTTCTGATGTTCAGGTTGAAGATTTGCAAGAAATCGTTGGTCAACATCAGCAGCAACCGACAATTGAAGAAATGTTGGAGGATGATGAAGAACAAGAAGAACAGCAACCAACACAAGAGGATGACGTTAAGCCTGGTGAACCTACAACACGCCAGCTGACTGAGTTGCTCACAAACATCACACGTCTCAGTGAACAGCTAGAAGAATACGATACCAGGCCTCATCCTCAAAACCTTATGTGTTCTGCACCTTGATAAGGGTATGGAGGAATATAAGGCCTTGTTCATGTCCCGTGTTAATGCTCGTCAGCAGGCCCTTATTACTCTGTACCTGTGCAAGGCCCAGCCTGTTAATGCCTTGGCAAATATTGCTTTAGGAGATGATGATGGCACCACCAATGATGATATTGAAGTGTTGGGTGACTTACTGGTGGAAGAGCTGCCTTAAGACTTTGAGGGATTTGATGCTGAGGCTAGAGGAGGTGTAAAGGAGGGAGCAGGGAGGAAGCAGTAACCAGCCCTCCTTGCCTTGGAACCCATCAACCAGCCCCGTCAAGCATTTCACTGACTCCATCAAGGTAAGTTATTCTACAGGATGAGTGTATATAAATATTGTTGTCAACAATATGTACAATATAATATGTATGAATACATTACAGTAATGTCATTTTCTAGGTGGGTTGTAGGTCATTATAGGGGGGTTTGGGTGACACCGTGGAACTGATTAGGCTTATTTATATGTATTTCAATGTCATTCGTTTTGTGATTTTAACTTTCGCGACTCTAAAACCGGTACCAATTAGTCGTGAAACATGAGATCCTACTGTATTGTAGATGAGTTATTTATATCTAAAAGAAATAGGCATATTCAATTGATTGTTAATGCTGATTTTGTTTCTTTTGTTGTTTTGTTAGGTTTATAAAATGACACATTCAGAGACAGGTGAAGTTATGGTTTTGAAGGAACTGTACAGAGTAGATGAGCAAGCCCAGAAGAACTTCCTGAAAGAGGTACAGTATTTGTGTTTTTGTGGCTTTCTCTGCTTGTAGTACTTTTAAGTTCCTACCGATACAGGTTGCCTGAGATCAAGAGTAAACACAGACTTTCCATTCACTTACTGTCATCACTTTCCAACTACTATAACTGATATTCTTTACTATGCTGTTCCCCTTCCACAACAAGGCCCTAGTATCCCTCTGTTTTATTCCTGTGACTTCACACACCCTAGAATCACTCTTCAGCATCATGTTCATCCTCAAAATCCTATTGCCATCATTCATGCACATCACTGCTTTATGTATGTGCATCCCCTCTCTTCCAGTGACTAACTAATTCCACCCTTCTCATCTTCTAACCATTGCAAGATTTTACTGTTTGTGTAGTTATGTACTGTAGATGTATTCCCATTGAAAGACAGATAAGGTTATGTTAGAGATATAGTTACTTCACAAGTAATTGTAAAATTTATTATGTATTCTTGAAGGCCAGTTATATACCGTATACAGAATTTTTTCTTTCTGAAAACTCTCCAAAAATTTTCATAGAGAAAGTATTGCCTGCTCCAATCCTAAATCTAAATATCCTTATTTCCCAAGAATAAAGGGTTTTATTATGTTTATCATATGTTAATTTTAAACATCCTCATATGAAACTGGACCTTTCCAGCAGGTATAATTCGTGTAGAGGATACTCATTCTTTTGTATTTCTTAAGAAGGTACTGGTGGTAATTTTTTATACACACAATAAATAATTTAATAAATTTGAAAAATGAAGGCTTACCTCCTCATCCATGTCTCCAAAAGCCCACTTTTCTCCTCTAGACTATCAGATACTGAGCTTTATTGCAGGATGAGAATATGAATCTTTAATGAAGTTCTCAGAAGACTTAAGCCATTGTTGATAAAAGTTACATTCAATCAATTCAGTAAACGTAAAAGAATAAACACTCTCGATTCTCGTTGTGATTCGTGTTGTTAGGGTGGTGAGTTAAGCAGCTTTGCTGGTGTCTCGCAGGCTGCAGGCCTATGTCCCTACCAAAAGCTCTGGAACCAGTCACTGTTCGACATGTATTTCTAAACTAATATATTATTTAAAGGTCTACTCAGCTAACTCAGTGTTACTTCTTATAATTAAATGTTATTATACAATGGTGGAGCATGGCTGTCGAAAGGATACAGCGCTCGTTTCCTGTTCCAGGGGTCACTAGTTCGATTCCCGGGCGTTTTCAGTTCATCCAGCTGTAAATTGGTACCTAAGCTTAGAACATGGGGAAGAGAATGCAGTGTTGTGAAACTACTGTACAGTGGTCCCTCGGTTAACGAGTTACCTTCCATAAGATTCTTAACTTCGGTTAACGAGCAATCCCTCGATTAACGAGTTTCTTACGAGCCGACCTCCACATGTTTTAGCTTGCCTTTGGCGGTCCTCCAGCTGTAGTATTAGTCCGCCAATACAGTAATCGGTTCTAGGGCTTAAATTCCTTACCCTTTTAGTAAATATCAAGAAGTTTATACTATTCAATAATTTTAAAAGTTTAATATTAAATTTTTTAGTTATTTTAACAATTATTGAACATAATTGAAGGTAGGGTCACTAGTTTGTGGCACGCCATCCAGCCTGCCAACACAGCATACAGGCGCCAGTCTTTGTGTCTTTTCAGTGGAGGTGACATCTTGTTTGAGACTCTTCAACTAAACGCTTTTTCTGTGTTTACAAGCAAATTATTGGTCATTTTGAAATTTATTTTACATATTGACAATATGTAATGCAGTGCAGTGTTGATTTAAAGAAAATAATCTTGAATTACACCAAGAGAACTAAAATTTTATGGGTGAAATGGCGCCATGGGGTGACTTCTCTTCCACCCCAATGCCTTCTCTTCTCCCTTCTCCTTCACCCCCATTCTAATTCCCATCTTCATCATCATCATCATCATCCAGGAGCCTTCTACATACACACCTAAAAGTAAGTGTACTTTTCTACCTTTTTTGTTGAATTTAGGTAATTTTCGGTGAGCTGGAACCAATTACCCAAAAACCAATTGAAACAATGGTTTCGGTTAACGAGTTTTTCGGTTAATGAGCAACCTTCTAGAACGGATTGTGCTTGTTAACTGAGGGACCACTGTACTGTATTAACAAATTTAATTGTCCAGCAGCCAAATGGCAATACTGAGCAGTGTTTTTTGTTTTTACTTATTTATTGATGTTTTAATTATTCCTCACATTTACTGGTATTGTTTAAGGAGGCTACAAGAGGAAAATATACAAAAAAATTCCTAAATATTCCCTGCTAATATGAAGGGTACATCTTATATGCCTTAAAATGTGGTAACAATCACATCATGCATAGACATCTAACAGGCCACCTCATCCTCAGTGTTTTTCCCTTCCAGTGAGTTAAGCTATCGCTAAACCCAATTTTGATCGAACATTAAGCAAGAATGGTGTCAAAAATGTTTATTTGCTAATGTGAATTAATGCTAAATGAAGGATACCTGTGTACAGTATACTGTATGTGTAATCCTGTTACTTAGAGTACTTATGTAATTTTAATCTTTACAGGTTGCAGTTCTTAGAAGTTTGAGTCACAAGAATGTCTTAAGATTTATTGGAGTCCTCTACAAGGACCGTAAACTTCACCTGCTCACCGAACACATTGGTGGGGGAACCCTGAAGGAGATTATACACAACCTAGAAGAGTCTTTACCTTGGGATCAACGAATTAGTTTTGCGAAAGACATAGCCTCAGGCATGGCGTACCTACATAATTGTGATATTATTCATAGGGATCTTAACTCCAATAACTGCCTAGTCAGAGAAGTAAGTGCTGGTAATGTAAGAATTTCATTTGGATTATACTGTACAAGTTTATTGTCTTGTGTGAGTCCTTTGGACCTACCCAAGTTGGATAGGTGAAGTAATACTCTCATTTATACACTCTTATTGCAATCACGTGGTACAATATAATATGGGGTGATAATAACCTTTGGTGGCTTTTTTGGAAAACCTTTAGCAATAGCTCAGTATTAGTATAAACTATTTGCTTAAAATGTGAAGTGTATGCCTTTTTGTATCACAATTTGTATTACTCTTTTTAGCAGAAGAACTTCTGCACTACCTAGGTGGTGGTGGTGTCATTGTTGGCATTAACAATTGTTAACCTTTTATAAGTACATGTAAAGTAATTTTGCATGGATGAAGCACAATTCCAGCACCAGATTGAATGGGCATGGTCATCAAATACCGAACCACCACTCTGGCATCCAGGTCATTGTGACTTATTTTGTGAAGAAGTAGAGGTCATGTTAATTTTTGTGTCCAGCGGTGACTCTACACTAATGCAACATAACAGTTACCAAATTTCATAGGCTTGATCATCTAATAGCTGCTGGTCATCTCTTTGAAAATTAGGTTTTGGGATATTAATTTGGGGAAATATAGGTAACTTTTTTTTTTTGCTTTTACAGTAGTGTAGGGATATATCGCGAGATTGGGTCCAACGATGTTCACTATATAGTAAATTGCGATATATAATCACATGTAATCAATGGGGAAAATAGGGTTAAGTTCTGGAGGCCAACAGAAATGACTAAACTTGACTTAACGAGTGTATTTTCTTACTAACTAAAGTACCAATGAACACTAGACTCGGGGAAAAACAGGCTGTTTCAATATCAGTATCAATATTAATGAACACCAGACTCGGAAGTTGACGCGCTATTCCACGCGTCATGTTGGGAACACAGACTCGACAGCTGATGTGCCATCTTAAGCGCCATCCCGGGCTCACCAGATGCCACACTGCCCCCAACACCTAAATAAGCGAAAAAAACAAAAATATTAGTTAGAGTACGTATTAAAGATTTTCCATTAAGCCTTCCATTCTCTTCACTTCACTTTTCACTATCACTAGCAACTAATTTAACTAAAGCACCAATGAACACTAGACTCGGCAACACCAGACTTGGGAACACCAGACTCAGGAACACCAGACTCAGGAACACCAGACTTGGCAGGTGATACACCGTATCAGGAACACCAGATGCCACATGCCTCCCACACCTACTTAAAGGAACAAACCAAAAATATTAGTTACAGTATTAAATCTTTTCCCTTAAGCTTTTCATTATCTTCATTTCATTTTTCACGTCACTAGCAACCCATTTACACTCCTCTAAAAGTCGGAATCTGCTGACTCATAACTCGTGCCATTCGACTCACAGCCAATGTCCTCTGCGTCACGTAGCAACTGCGTGCCTAAACACAGAATTGTAAATGAAACATTACATGTTTTAGTGCATGTTTTCATACATATATTTTTTTTTCACATGGAAATATGAAATAAACATGCCTGAATGAATGTAAATGTGATAACTCACTAACATCATCGGCTACCTCCTCATCGCTTGAGTCAGTATGCGTAGCGCCTGCCTGCTTCCCTGACGGTCCTGCCTGCACACCTGACGGTCCTGCCTGCACACCTGACGGTCCTGCCTGCACACCTGACGGTCCTGCCTGCACACCTGACGGTCCTGCCTGCACACCTGACGGTCCTGCCTGCACCTCTGACAGTCCTGCTTCCTCCTCAGATGGTCCAGCCTCCACTTCACCTGTAAAAAAATAACATGCACAGGAATCATTAAAACTTAATTTTTATCTTTGGCATAATGCACTCAGTCGAGACTCTACGCAGACAGCTGAGAGGGTGGGGTGCATGTTCACTGAGTCTCGTGACCACTCGCCACCACTGCACACAACTATAAAACTCATCTTTTTTCACTTTTTCAATAAAAGACACAAACCTAAACTTACCTGAAGAGTCAGAAGTAGGAAATGATGGACCTCTGCTACTGGTTTGCTATCTTCCTGTCCAGCAGATGACTGTAGGTAGAAAAGAGCATGTACAAGTTATCTACATACTCTGTAGCCCTCTCCACATCAGGACCATTGTTCCTAACACACTTGACGACAGAAGATATTAAGGAGGTGAATTCCTTAAGTTCCGCAATTTTCCGCTTGTCCAGAATCCTCACCTTATCACCAATGTTGAAGGTTTTCCTGTTCTTTTTCTCACTTGATCTAGGAGTGGTACTAGTATTACTAGGATACTTTGGCATCTTGGTACAGTACACAGTAGTAGAGAACGTGGTGACCTTGATTGGAGAGTGAGAGTCAAGTGTCTACATGCGGTGAGAGCCAAATCAAGACTGAGCAGGTGAGCGTGAAGGTGTGAGTTGGCGGCCACGTGGCGCCTCTTTTTGCCATGGCGATAAATTTGAAATATTTCCTGCCCGATTTCACTGGCGAAATAAAAAAAAAATTATCGCTATATGTAGGAAAATGTCGATAATTTTGGTAGCTGCGATAAAAAAAAATGGTTGTAAAAAGTTGTGATATATCCCGACCCTACTGTACTGGTATTTTTCTGGAGTCGATAGGTCTGATGTGCATGATTATCTAGATATAATAAATAACAACTAGTGAAAAACTGGTCCTTTTGACCCGATTTTGTGGGGGAGATTTAGGTCACAAAATCCTAGTCACCAAACTTCATGGTTATGATTTTGCAATTACTGTATATTTTGTCATTACCATGAGAATTACTGTATTTTACGGTATATAAGGCGCATTTTTTGTCTGAGAAATGGCTAAAAAATTCAGCCTACGATCTCTCGTAACCTAATGAGTACCCAGTTGCTGTCTCTAGTAGGCTAAATTCTACTTAACCCAACTCCAGAGTTAATAATATGTTATTGCTTACTTAAACACATTAATATTATTTTTAATTAGTTAAAAGAATCATTATTGTTAATATAAAATTTCAATTTTTAACTACTGTACTCATGATGATAATCTGAGACAATTAACATCTGTACGGCAGACATCCTACTCTTTAGAGGTAGCTAAGAAGTAACCGTTTTTGAACTCTTACAAGCAATACAATCTATTAATGTTATACCTGCAACATTTATTTTTAAATCTACATACAATATAATTGATACAAATGAAGATTTACAGATAACTTTCTTTTCACATTTGAGTCTGTTAACATCGCTGGCAGTATTGTAGTCAGGTTAGACTTGTCACTGTAACCACCAGGCTACTGGGCCAAGCTGTGAGGTGTTATGGTTGTTTTTCATCTAATATTTTCGGGTAGATATACGTAACTTTTTAAATTTATTTTTACTCTGTTACATGCACACACCATCCTACATACATGTTGTAAAAAAAGTAAAAGAAATAATTGTCCTAAAGGCAAACACATAAAGGGAAATATACATTTCTTTGCACATGAGTTAGCTGGCTCAGTGGGGGAGGAGGGTGTGGCACATGGGAGAGTTAGGGGGGGAGGGGGGGTGTGTTGCTAGGGAATTGGAGGAGGTAGTATTCTTGATGGTCTCCGTTGCCATGGTGAAGTAGGGAGTTCAGTAGAACTTTGATAAATCGTACTAATTGGGGCAGACCCCAGTCCAAAAAAAAGTGAATACAGTACGCCCAGATAATTCATAGATTTTTATTTCATGGTCCTCTATTTTTCGCGGATGACACCTTGGATGTAACCAAGAATGTCTGCTGGTATTTTTAAAATTGCCAGCATTTTCGCGATCGGGACAGGGAGTCATTCGTTCTAGAGACAGTAATTTCCTTTACCTGTACAGTATTGCATATATTATAATGATAATAATAATAATAATAATAATAATAATAATAATAATAATAATAATAATAATACAGCCATGCATCACTTAACGTCCTAGATACGTTCTTGAAAACGTGACGTTAACCGATTTGGACGTTGTCCGAACGTCACATTGTGAACTTTGTATTTATATTTACGTGTATGTGGAATATTGCAGTGTATTTGTACTGTACAATATTGACTGAATTCACTAGATAACATACACAACTAATGAAACACAAGAGGTTAACAACATAAACCAGTAACATAGGCATTTCTCATATCTATCAAAACATATTATGGATATATAGTTACTATACTGTATCATCATACGCCTGGCAGCACAATCTATAAGAACACGCGATGCATGCATGAGCGCGCCCCTCTGAGGCCACTTACGTCCGCCACGTCCCGTTGTCCGAACGAGTTTTTTATCCCCATTATTTTTATGGGCCATGGACGTATATGCGATCGGACGTTGTTTGGACGGACGTAAAGCGACGCGTGACTGTAATAATAAGAATGAGCAGTTTATTAATAGAGTTGCAGCCGGTGGCTGAAAATATACAGATTTACATTTGTTTTAGACATATTGATATAATATGCGTTGAATACATTTACAGGGCTGTACAGTACATAAATCGGGAGTTGTGTGTGTGTGTAGAGACACATAAAGGGAGTATACATTTCTTTGTACACAAGTAAAAATGTACCCCCCTCCGTCAGCAAATGTTATTCGCGGAGTTGGCGATTCGCGGCCGTTTTGAGAACCTAACCCTTGCGAATTTGAAGGGCATGCTGTATATGGGGGCGTGGAGATAACATTGCCTTTCTGAATTGTTGCTGTTATGTTATTACTGCACTTCAACAACTAAGGTCTTTCAGTGTATAACAAGGTTATTAAAAGAATATTACATCAACAGTAAAAAAAATATAAAACAGAACTCTCTGGGTTGCAAATCAGACTTCAAGTCTGGTTGTCAACAACCGTTTTCACTGAGATGATTGTTACTTACTGTCAAGTGTTATATGTAAACAATCACAGAATTTGTCTTATGAATAAAGAGTACACTGTATACTGTACAGTACTATAAAGATAAAAATAAGAACAAATAATTGTAGGAGTGTATATTGTGTGTGGAAGATGAGTGTATATCTGGGAGCAGATGGGAGGGGAGGGGATAGCACACATGGGTGCCCCCCCCCCCCTGAAGATTCCTTTAACACATCTTTATGCAATTCAATTCCACCACTTTTCTCATATAATTTAAGATCATTTGGTGCCAGGCTGATAAAATATTATCCTAAAAGAATCGGCTTTCCTGAAAAAAGAATCCCACACTCAACACCATAAGTCATTTGTTTACAAAGGGCAAATAGCTGATAGGCTTAGCTGCTTACCACAATGTCTGTTTTCAATACTTAATAAATTATTACAGTACAGTACAGTTGTGTATTTATCATCACTTAAAAAAATACTATTGTAGTGTAATTATCACCACTTAATAAATATTTTTGTAGTGTATTAATCATCACTTAATAAGTAATATTGTAGTGTACAGTATTATGCATTTGTTTATACCCTGGTTTATTCATTAATCAGTTAAGTGTACAAGTATCCAAGTTCAGCCATCATGTGTCATTCAAAGGTAGTAAATAACATTGTTAGGAAAGTATCTTCATATCAAATACTATACAGTGTGTCGTAGTGACCATGTTGTAATCTTATTTGCTGAAAGCTCTCACACAAATGCATCTTGAGTAAATAACCTTCTGATACAGCTTATCCTTTTACTCTCAAGTCATATTACACATTACATACAGTACTTTCTTTTTTCTCTCATACTGAAGATGTTATATTAATCATGATGAACACAAAACCATAAGAGGCCAATTGTATGAGAATATAATACTGAATCAATACATAAATTAACCAGACAAATGCGGCAACACCTGATCAGCCCCAGCCTGCTCACTTACTTGAGTATCTAAGTTCTCAGTAGGCCTATAGTAAATCTGATTAGACCTCTGTACAGTATTCAGTGTGCAAGTATTGTTCTTTTCTTATTTTTTTAAAATTTTTCCCCATTTCTTAACACATGTACACATGAATTTTTTTTTTTTTTTAGTATTTCTGGTGACCAGAGCACCTCAAGAGTCCCCCAAAAAGTTAATTCGAATAATACTGAAGACTGATTTATCAAGGTATTACTGTACTGGCATCCCCTGGGTTAGGGAAGGTAGGTATCCTTGAAATTTTCTCCGTAATGTGAAACCTATTTTCCCATTGACTTCCATTATATAATTGGAGATGTGTTCCCAAGGAAATATTTTCGGCAAAAGGACGTAATACAAGAACATTTTGAATGAAAATAAATTACTTTTAACACAGTACATTGATTATTTATGATATAATATGATGATAAGTATACAAAACACTTGAATTTAACTTACCTCAAATGATGTTGAGTGCTGCATTAGGTGAGGTGGTGCAATTAGAGTTATTGGGAGGGACACGGAGGGGTACTACTGGCTCCTGCCTCGCCCTGTACAGTATTGTAACAACCACCAAGAAGTACACACGATATAAATTTTATAATTTCTGTGAATTTTTTCTAATAGTATTAAAAAATTTTTTTTTACAAAATCCGTAAGAGCGAATTTCCGTAACCAGAGTTTCTGTAACCCAGTGGATGCATGTACTGTATATACAAATGGCGACTGTGTTAATCTTTCATTTGGTTTTTAAAAATTGGTTTGGCAATTATACAGTAGTATTTTTTTTGTAACTTATTTATTTGTATTTTTAATTATTCCTCACAGTTACTGGTACTGTATATATTATTTTAAGAAAACTATGGGTACAGGAGGAAAATACACCCAAAAATTTTTTCCTAAATTCTCCCTGCTAAAATGACCATGCGTCTTATATGCCGTAAAATACGGTAGTTCACTTTGACTTGATTTTTGTAAAATTTTACACTATTTCCTTCGAACACCATACCCAAGGACCAGAAATGACGTCCCTTTGCCTTCTTGTGTGTTTTTTCCTTTGTCTTCTGTGATTACTAGTTCACAATGTTACCCCATACTGTAATTGTATTCAGAATGGGAGGGTATCATTAAAAGCTAGGGCACCATTTAATCTGACTTATTTAAAATAAATGGTAAATGGACTAAATTAACTAAAATTAGGACTGCTCTCCAATATCAAAGGAGAAATAAAGATTAACACTTATATGCGTTGACCTGATTGTTGAGCCTGTGAGATCGCACAACCTGAACCATGGTTGACCTCCATCTGCTTCATCCTTAACCAAGCTTAAATTTAATATCAAAGTTTTCACAGAGCCATTCAATGCTGCCTTGGCCACTGTCCTTAGCCAATCACACAGCATTTTACAAACTCATGAAGGCATTTCACCATACAACTGCTTAAGCTATGTCCCATGTGTGTGTGTCGTACCACATCGAGCGACCACACGATTAAACGTGCTACCTTGGCGTAGCAGACAAATATATGTGTTTTCTTTGATGTGTCCCACTTAGACGAGTGAAGCATTCACAAGTGACCAGGAAGCGGGAACTAGACGCACAACCTGGAAGCAGCGATCAAATGTTTTGTTCGTCGCTTCCTCAGTTGTGCAAGTCCTCGCTTTCTACACCAAGACTAAAGAAGGTTTTACATTCATTTTCCACTGTTAACAGCTTGATCTTACCAAGAAATAGATCCTTGTGGACTATTGAAGTAGCTGCAAAATGTTTCTCTCACATTCTTTACAGAAAAATGTGAAGCATTGTTTATTCTAGACTTAGAGGGTGCTGTGTTATTCTCAACTGTACATTCCTGTGTTTTTTCTTGGCTACCTCTGCAGGAAACGCGTTGAAAAACATTATTTTCTAAAAGTACCAGCAAACGTCTGCGCTGCGTAGACGGCATGTTTATGCTGACAGACGCTGGCAGGTGGGATACAGGTCGCTGTGGAATGTAGGTCGCGCGTGTACGCCCTGGTTGCTCAATGCTGCAGGATGCTCGCACATGGGACATAGCCTTACCTTTCAAGACTTGAGGGTAGCCCTCATGTGCCATCCTTGGGTAACAGGCACCTTATGTCCATAGTTACCAATATCTGGTTTATTGCAGAATGACCTTTCTAACCTAATAATCATCCAGGAGAACCCATGTCATTACACCAGCTAACTCTGAGGATTAATACCAAGTCTAGCCCCCAATTAATATCCATACTTTTCTCCATCCCCTTATAACCAGAACTCTCAGAAAGGTAAGAGCCTCCCATTCATGAAGGTTGTCGGAGTAATGCCACATAACCAGTGCGCATATCTAGTTGCTTGTTCTCAGGTACAAGATGTTACCCAACATTATATAACCCATATTCAGTCCCAGTTGTTTGCTGACAGGCTGTAGATGTGTCTGCTCCATCTCCATCTGCTATAACTGGATTCAGATAATTGGTTGGTAAATGTATCACCTTCATAATTTTTTTCTCTCTCAGGATAAGACGGTTGTAGTTGCAGACTTTGGATTGGCGAGAATTATGCCTCAGAACAACTGGACTGCTGAGAGGAAAAAGTTTGGGAAAAAACATGCGAGAAAGAAAAGGTTAGAATTAAGTGGTGTAGTTAGTATGGTAATGTTTTGATATGTATTCATGGTTGAATTTTGTCATACTTACGTAAAACCATACTTAATTTTTGGTTTAGTTTTATTTGTTTTACTGTATAATAATCTCACTCTAGAAATAACTTTGCCTATACGGAATGTACTTGTGTTGAAGTGTGTGTAAAATATCCGTGAATTACCCAGGGTTGTATTGTACATTTAGTCTTCCATGGAACTTTACTTTTATACAAGTTATAGGAAAGATGGGTGTAACTTATGCAATTCTATAATAATTGACAGGGTGATCATCTTTCAATAATTTTAACAGATATACTGTTGTGGGTAACCCGTACTGGATGGCCCCAGAAATGATGAAGGGAAATAAATATGACGAGAAGGTGGACATCTTCAGTTTTGGTATTATCTTATGTGAGGTGAGTCAGAAGTTACTATTTTGTAGTAGATACTAGTTACTGTGACTTTTGGAAAACACTTCACATACTGAAGGGTCGAGTTAAAATTTTTATTGTCGTGCCTCAGGGGTTAAACAGTTACTGACTAATGCAGAAAGTGTAGTGATTAAGCTGTTTATTATTATTATTAACTAATAAGAATCAGTACAATAACAAACTAAAGAGGTTTATATTTTTAACCGATAAAATCAGTATAGTGACTAGACTGATTTATACAGTAAAACTCTCTTAATCTGTACTAAATGGGGGGAAATCCAGTCTATATTAGGTTAATTTTCTGATAAAGTGATTTCTGGACGGGGTTTCTTTAATCCGGAAAAAGTCTGAATTAAGCAAAGAAATTCCGGATGGCAATCTGAATTAACATCTGGCGCACCTGAACGCCAGTCCCAGCTGCTTTGTTTACAAGCCAGTCACACTGCTATTACTTTAGTGTGTGCATCTCTTAAACTCCTGTGGACTATTTGTGATTTTGTGGACTAATTACCATGGCTTCTGAAGGCGAGACAACTTTAAAAGAAAGTCAGAATATGGCCAGAAAGGAATTTAGTTTGAAGAACAAGCAAGCTCTTCTGGAAGTTCATGAGAAAGGTGTGTCTACAAAAGTTTTGAAGGAGAAATATAACTTGAAAAATCAACCATCAACAGCATCACTAACTTTGTGGTTAAATCCTGAATGTCCAGTACATACAGTACAAGCAGTCCCTGGGTTACGTACGAATTCTATTCCTATGGGCGTTCTTATGTCGAAACACATACCCTATGTGTATACAGTACTTACAGAACAATGTTAAAATCCCACTACAGGTATATCGTAGCCTTAGTCCTTATATACATCTAAAATCACTTAATTTAAGAGAAAAGAAGAAATAGATAGACAAAATACAATAACTGAAAGTAAAAAATAAATGTTGTAGGTATGGCATTAATACTGTAGATTGTAATGCTTGTAAGAGTTCAGAAATGGTTACTGATTAGCTACCTTTAAAGAATTGGGTGTCTGCTTTATGGACGCTAATCGTCTCAGGTTATCGTCATCAGTACAGTACAGAGTACGGTAGTTATATATTGACCTTTTATATTTACAAGACTTATTTTTTAATTAATTAAAAAAAATAATTATGTTTAAGTAAGCAATAACACATTTTTAATTCTGGAGTTGGGTGAGGTAGAATTTAGCCTACTGGATTCAGCAACAAGGGGATTTATTAGGTTACGGGAGATCGCAACTTCACATATAGGACACAGGGTGATTTTTTTAGCCAGTTTTCAGACAAAAAATGCATCTTATATGCCGTAAATTACAGTAAGTATTCACTATGGGTGTCCCGAACTATCGAAGTTGCTGGACTATTGGGTCCTGGATTAGTGAGTCCAACCTGTACTGTAGTATATAATTTTTTAAATTTTAATTGTTACTGTGTATACAATTTAGCCATGTGAACATTTTGATATGCTTAATTTGTTGTGAACTTTTCTTTTACAGTCACATGGCATTTTATATTTATAAGCATGAAATCATGGGCAACAAAAATGTCTTGACAGAAAAAAAAGGAGGGGGAGGTTTCTATGCATAGTCTTGCATGAGGTTTCTTAATGACACTAATTTAAGGTGGTAATAGGGGTGATACGATGATGTGAAAGATTATGAAAGCAAAAACTTCTGTTTTATTCTTATTATTCTTGTTGATGGCTATCCTAATAAATGTTTTACATGTATAAGATATTAGGATGTTTCATTCACAGTGTCACCTAGTAAAGTATATATTTTTGATAAATAGGGACAAGGAAGTTGACTACTAAAAAGTTGAGAGAATTATTAAGAATTGTTGACATAGATGAGACTTAGGAGAAACTATGTATGTGTTAAGTGTAAATCTGTACCTCAGAGAAAATTCAAGGTTAGAAGATAGTTTGAATATTATATATTTATTGTTGAGGGAAGAGGATGAACTGAACTTGATATAAAATTATTTTGTTATGATTTTTTGTTGGAGTTTGTTGACTTCCTGACTAGAGCTTTGCACTACAGTATTCCCAATCCTCAGATTATCTCATTGCCTCCACCAGCCCCCCCTTCCTTGCTGCATTTATTTTTTTTTTAATAGCCCACAGGCACATATCATGTCTTCTTTGGCCTTCCTCTTCCTGTTTATCCTCAGATTTTCCTTTTTTGCTATTGTTGGTAATCTCTGTTTTTCCATAATTAGTATGTGTATTGCTTGATATCTTTTACAATGTTATCCTTTACCTAGGCCATGTGCTTTATTATTATGTTTTGTGTATATTCTGTCTTGATTTTCTGAAGATTTTTGAGGGATGTCATTTTAAATCTTCTATTCTTCCTTATCATATCCAGCTCTCCCATTGTCAGTGTGTCTGGATTACTGTACTCAGTGTACAGTTTATGGTAATGGAGTCTATGAATTTTGGAATGTCATTGGAGGTGCACTAGTTGGTATTGATGATGTAATTATTCTCAGCACTTCCTTTAAATTATTTAAACTTGCTATTCTTGTCACAGATCATTGGACGAGTGGAAGCTGATCCTGATTACATGCCACGATCCATGGATTTTGGCCTCAATGAGACGGTGTTTTTTACCAAATATTGTGAAAACTGCCCTGAACCTTTCTACAAAATTGCCTTTATGTGTTGCAACATAAATCCTGACGATAGGTTGGTTTATACTGAATATGAATTTACAGTGTCAAATTATTTTTTGTGGTTATAGTGTTGCTTGATATCATTCAATTAGCTATTAAAAAATATTAAAGTATTTATGAGATACCTGTACTTGTAAGCCTGGAGATTCATGAAAAGGACATTAGAGCTTAAAAAGAGGAGAACATCACAGTGGTCATGAGAATGGGGTGTATTTCCATCGGTTTATCCAAAATAGCTCAAATATGTTATTGTTGAATATGGCTACTTTTTCATGTGAATGGGGATTTTTTTTTTTATGGTTGTAATGCTGATGAAATTATGATATTCCTAAAATATCTCTTTGAATTTTGATTCTGTGCTTAACTGATGAAAAGTGTATCTTTGTGCAGTTAGGTCCCACTGAACAGGTACCCTATAAACAAGAATTTGGTTAAACGAGTTTAGTATTTTTGGTTTTGAAAAGTCAGTGAGCAAGCTTGTATTTGACTTAACTGGCAAAGTTCCAAGAGATCCAGCTTGCTTGCAGTCTGGCTGAGTGGCCAGGCAGGCAGGCTATCCTTTATCATCATGTAGTGTATACAATAGTATATTTAATTTATTTACAATATATTGCACGTGTACAGTAGTGTTTACATAAATAAAAACTGTACAGCTCTTGAGTCTGTCCGATGTAGTAGCATTCGACAGTGCTATGAAAAATTCCATGGATGAGAAAATTTATCTCAATACCCAGAAATCTCTCAAATCCGGAAACGATCTGCACCAACTATTCTGGCTAAAGGGAAGATTACTATTATTAAGTGTTATACTGTACTGTGCATTTCTGTGATGAAAGTTATGGTATTTGTTAGTGAGAATGTTTAATAATATGGGTTTGAATTTTACAAAAGCAGAATTTTCTTATGTTTTGCAGCTTTGGTACAGTAGAATGTCGATTTAAAGCGATTCTATTTAAGATTATTGATTTAAAGTGACACCCACATTTAAGGACAATGTTTTAATTTAAAGCAAATCTTTCCTATTTTGCGCGAGTCAATCTGGCGAATCATATTTTAAAATTCGCACTTAATGTTTCTCTGGGCATGCTACACTGTTTTAAGGGCAAAGCTGTACTGTTCATGTACTCAAAATAATGTACTAAATGATACTAAAATTTTTGTCTAGTGTAAACTATAGCATGATTGTATTCAAATTAATCACTATCTTATAAGAATTCCAGCAATGTAAATTATATTCTCCCTGATCACTTTTGTGACATTTTGTAAACAAAAACTCAATATAAAGGACATAAATAAACAAATAAATACTTCACTAGACCTTCAGCCCCAACTGTCAAACGTGTCACTGTCACACCCCCCCCCCTCTTCCCAGCCAAGGTTGGGTGGTTGTTATAGGCTTACAATTTTTATCTTATATAATATCACAGACTAAAGTTAGGAGAATATAATTTGCATTGCTAGAGTCCTTGCAAGACCGCAAATAATTTTAATATAAACGTCATATATTTTGCACAGGAGATAAAAATTTTGGCCTTTGTAATAAAATTAATTAAAACTAAAGTTTGTATGTCTAATGCAAACTATAGCCTGTATATATTCAAACTAATCACTGTCTTATAAGAATTCTGGAAATGTTAATTATATTCTCCCATGACAGTTCAGTGACATTTTATAAGAGAAAAACTTAGTCAGATAAATAAATAAGCACTAGACCTTGGCATCAACTGTCAAGCATATTACCCCACCTCTCCCCCCCCTCCCCTCCCATCTTCCTATCAGCTGATCGCTAGTAAACAGACCATTTCATGTCCCATAATTTTAGCTGTGTTTATTTATGAGTGTTTGTTTTAACATAATACTACAAAAAACAATGTTTTGTTTATTTTAGGAGATGGGCTGAGGTGCATCTGGGTAGACAATATTTTTAGTATTTTGTGTTTCACTCAAGTACCAAACTAAATTATTCCATTGAAACAACACCTCGATTTAGTGCGAATTCGGTTTAAAGTGATCTCTATTCAAACGTATCTCGTGTTATATCGACGTTCTACTGTACCAGAAACAGAATGTACAGTACAGTACAGTGTGGGAAAAGCAATGTGGGTTCAAAACATGAATAGGATGCCTGTAGAGATTAAGTTTGTGTATTGAAGAGAATAAATAAATAGGTGCTGGAAAAATGGAAGAATATTTTTGTAGTACATTAAGTCCTCGTTTAACGTTGCCCCCGATGACATTGTTTTGTTATGTCGCTACTCTTTAGATTGCAATAATTTGGTTAACGTCCCGACGACTCGATATAACTTCGTTTTTAGCAACGTCACGGACTAGTTTTTACGGCGCAACACCCTCTCTCGTCTTGGCGCGATTCCTCTCACTCACGGAGTGTCACAGCGTCCCCAAGTAGCTTCAGTTTTCGTTTGGCTTCCACAGCGTTCATGTATGTTTAAGTGTTTTTGGTCTTAATACTCTATTCTAACAATTCGAAATGGCTTCCAAGTGCCCATCAAGTGCTACTTATGCTAGTCTTGTGAAGAAGCAACATAAGACCATTAGCCTTGCTACGAAAATGGAGGTTTTAAACCGGGAGGAGGAGCCACCCGCCGGGTCTCAGTGACTCGCCACCCTCCTCCTCCTCCTCCTCTCCCGCCCTCCTCCTTTGCTCCATTACCCACCACACACTCGCTCCACCACCCCCGTCCATCAGTGAGTACAATACAAAATGATTTAGTTTATTTATATATATACTGTATACTGTTTTCTATAAAAATGCCATTGAATTTCTGTTTATGTAATGTATGTCATGGGACAAAGGGAGGCTCAGGAACGTAACTCCCGTATTTTGTCTATTTCTTATGGGGAAAATTGATTCTGTTAACATTGTTTCTGTTAACGTTGTGGTTTTCAGGAACGGAACCACGATGTTAAGCGAGAACTTACTGTACAGCATGCCCTGACAATTCACAGACCTCGATTATTTGCGAATGACACCCAGGATGTACCCAAGAATGTCTAAGGCTAGTTTTAAAGTTGCTGGCATTTTCACTAATGGGACAGGGAGCCATTCGTTCTAAAGACAGTAATTTCTTTTACCTGTACTATTGTATATATGTGTGTGTGACTTGAGGGTAGACCCTCACATTTTTAACACATTTTGTTGTCTTGTTACTGATTATTTGTAAGAGGATTTTCCCATTATTATTTATTTGTATGTGTTTTGTGTGTGTGTCTACACACACACACACACACACACACTCACATATATACAGTACTGTGCAGGTAAAAGAAATATTTGTCCTAAGGGCAAACACATAAAGGGAATATACATTTCTTTGTACACAACAAAAATGTACCCCCGGTCAGCAAATGTTATTCGCGGCCATTTTGGGAATCTAACCCCCGGGAATTTTAAGGGTATGCTTTGGAGTAGGTTGAAAATTGATTTGGGAAGTATTGAAAATGTTTGTATTAATTTAGATATTGTTGAATATTATCCAAAGATTTTATAGGAAGAACATTGATTAAATTATAGAGAAAAAGAACATATTAATATTAAAGAAGGTGGGGAACCTGAGGTAGTACTTCCATATTTATTACTCCTACGTGAAGGAAGCCGGCCTTTTATAAAAGCTTTGATTTTTATCTATTAACATTTGGTTGATTTTTATGAAAGTTCTATGCTATTTTTTATTTATGTTTTTTGCCTTGCATTATTTGTTTTAAGCCTTTTAAGCTTTTAATTAAATTTGGTGCCATATAATCTAAGTTGTTGCATCGCCAGGGATGTAATTACCACAATCAATCAATCCATATTTACTTTTGAAATTCTTCCTTATTTACCCATACTGTATATTGCTCACTGTCAATCCTTTTTCAGCACACATTTCTATCGGTCTCTCTTCATTCCAACTCATTTCTGGCACTCTGTACAGGTTGACCCTCTTTTATCAGGTAACCTTAGGACTAGGGCTGTGCTGGATGATAGCAATTCCCATTGAATAGAAGGTTTATAATAATTAATGGTGCATTAGCCGAAGCTACACTTAGCCTAATGCCCTTAACATAATAGATTTCTTTGTACCTGGATAAAAAATTTACACTACATAGTTAATAAATTTATTAAATAACAAGTGATATGAAAATAATATTTAGTCCTATAGAATTCACTCATCCCAGGCCATTCTGTCAAAGTTGGGTACTTTTTATCACAACACTCATGATCCTATATCCTCAAACAATTTAATTTTATTCATACAGCCATGCCACCCAAAAGAATATTTTTGTACAGAAACACTTTAAGATTGATAGAAATTACCAAGTAAATGTTATGCTGTACAAAGGAAAGGTGTGTGCATAATATCCTATCTCATAGCTATTATTAACCCACCTGCACCAGCTAGATATCTACACCCATTATTAAGACAACAAGCATTTAATAACTGTTAAAATGCATAAATGAGTCACTTATTTAGAAGCTTGTGTGTTTTCAAGCTGAGTGTCAGCTGTTGTTCTCTAACTTCTCAAATTTTTTAATAATGTTTAATTTCACCTTTAAAATGCGATGCTTTCTGTGTTTCTCGATAAAAAGTGTTTTTTGTGAAGCACTGAGAAGTTGTTTTTGTACTCATTGTGCACAATTTGGGGTGATTTGTAAGGAAATAATTGCATACACATGTAAACAACTCTTCCTGAAAGCATTTCTATGCATCTAGAAGGTTCCAGTTGAAATTGCATGTTTAAAGTTTTCCCTTTTACTGCATTTTGAATTGTGAAGTCTCTGTACTTCATTAGATATTTCTGACTTCTCACTCTTCATTTATCTCCAACTCTACACCTTTTTCAATTAAACTATGTATCACATAAGACAAGGACTTCTAATCAAGCTTTGTGCTTATCACTCATAATTACAACTATGCACATTCAAACATCCCATTTATAAGCTTTTGTTTCTTTATAGTAACTGAATATAAGAAGATAGGGTTATGTAAGGTATATTTTTGTTTGCTTATTTCAGACCAGCATTTGAGGTACTGGAGGTTTGGTTGGAAGGATTGGCAATGCACTTTGCTGTTGGAGTTCCTGTCCCAGCCAACCTACTGGTCGACATATATAACTTTGATGGTAAGGTTAAGAATAAATGGTTCCTTAACCCTGTATGAATGTAACAGTAGCATTTTCTACTCTCAGAGCTTCGGGTGAGCAACTCATGTGTGGCAGCTCCTTTGTGCGGTGTTTTCACTTGGTTATCATATATTTTATAACCTAATGCATGGCTCAGGTGTAGTCACCAAGTCTGTGGGTTGAAAACCCAGAGTTCCCAGGGCCCAGATACATGACTGGAAGTAATCTGAAATTTAGTTTTACCTTTCTCTTTTAAATCTGGGATTTTAACTGAAAACTTGAATACAGTTGTTACCACTGAAGGCTAAAAGAAGTTAGTCGTACCATCCCACCAATACCAGTGTGTTCTTTGATCATCATATGCTTGGCTATGAGGTGCTATTTAAGGGATGACCACCTCAATTCTGGTTATACATTATGAGCAAGCTGTGTGGACATCATCATGCTTACTCTGCTGTGTTGGCAACCAAGTAATTCCCCACAATATTTTTGGACACATCTCGGAGATTGATTTTTGCCACATAGTCAGTCATGTTAGTAGTACAGTAAACCCTCGATAACTCGGCATTTGATAAATCGGAATTTCATATAACTCGGCATGGATATGGTCTCGGAATGTATTATAGTATAACTCGGGAAATGTTGAGATATATAAAATTATTTGAGAAAATCTAGTCATATCTGGCCAACTGCATCACCTACCATGCCTCTGTGGCACCTACCATGCATCTGTCTGCAGTGCTGGTAAGTGTTACTTTTTTACATTTAGTAATTACATGTACTGTACACATCTATGGGTTGATCATTTTTTACTGTTGTATTTTTATAGGAGGGGGGGAAAGTGTCTTGATAAGATGGAATTTGGGATAACTTGGCAAGGCCAGAGCCCCATATGTACCGAGTTATCAAGAGTTTGCTGCACAGTGATCCCTCGGTTAACGAACGCCTCGGTTAACGAATTACCTTTCATAAGATTCTTCACTTCGGTTAATGAAAAAATTTCGGTTAACGAATTCCTTACGAATTTTTCCCAACATGTTTTCGCCTGCTTTCGCCTGCTCACCAGCTGTAGTATTAGTCCACCAATACAGTAATCGGTTTTAGGGCTTAACTTCGTTACCATTTGAGTAAATTTCAAGAAGGTTGTACTATTCAATAATTTTCCAAGTCTTATATTAAAGTTTTTAGTCATTCTAACAATTATTTAACATAATTGAAGTACAGGGAACTAGTTTTTAGCGAGCCAAACAGCCACTTGACTCACCCAAAATGGCGTCAGTGTGTGTCCCTGGTCAGTGGAGGAAGCTTCTTGCTTGAGACTCTCTTGAACATAAACTATTTTTATGTTTTTACAGTACAATTATTTGTCATTCTGAAGTTTATTTTGCATATTGACAATATGCAGTGCAGTGTTCATTTAAAGAAAATAATCTTGAATTACACCAAGTGAACTAAAATTTTATGGGTGAAATGGCGCCATGGGGTGACTTCTCTTCCACCCCAATGCCTTCTCTTCTCCCTTCTCCTCCACCCCCATTCTAATTCCCATCATCATCATCATCAACCAGGAGCCTTCTACATGCACACCTCAAAGTAAGTGTACTTTATTGCATTTATTTTTAGTTTGTATGTAATTTTCGGTGAGCTGGAACCAATTGCCCAAAATCCCATTGAAACAATGGTTTCGGTTAACGAACGACCTACTGGAACGAATTGTGTTCGTTAACCGAGGGACCACTGTATAAGGATAGGTGTATTTTATTGCACTGTAAGAATGTTGACAGTTACTTTATGATCTAATTCAGGGTTGATTTGTGGGTTTGTGACCAAAAGCTGCTACTCACAAGACAGTAGCTCAGCCAGTTATAGGATGATTTTATTGCAGTTGAAAGATCTGGCCTGAGGATATACCAGTTTAGTCGGGATTGGAATTTCAGAAAAGTTCTTTTTCAGAGGATGGTTTGGCAGTACACTTGTCATCCTACCTTAGGAATGGTCAGATAAACTAGTAATACAGTCTTAGTTGAGGGTTTGTTAGATTCTCCTCTTAGTGCAATTTATAGTCTAGGACTACAAGTCGTTGACAGCTGTGCGGAACCTACGTGGGTGACCTCTGGCAAGGGGGAAAATTTTTAACTGCAAGAAGGTTACTAACCACATGCGATTTTTAAAGTACAGTAGTGTTTATATAAGTTAAATATTAATTTTGAATCTTATTAAACTTATTATTTTATTTATATCATATCATAGTTTTAACTTATGATTTTCTTCAATGTCAAAGGTAACTGTGTAGGTTCCATGTGGCTGTCCACGACTGTAGCCCAAATAAATGTCACTATTTCCAGAAACTTTCAGTCCAAAAGTGGTTCAGTGGAGTCTTGATAATTCATGTGTTAGGCAGGGCCGGATTTACCTACTTGTGGGCCCCAGGCCAAACTCATCAGTGGGCCCCCAAATTTATAGAAATGTTTGCATGTTTCAATAATCAGTGGGCCATGGCCCACCAGTTGAAGACCACTGCGGGCCTATACTTATTGTACAGGGGCCCCATACTCCGGGCCCAATGCTTATTGTACAGGGGCCCTTATGGTTGTGAATATATTATATAATGAAATACTCGGTGTACACTTGAAACAAGGTTATACGCTGGCACGCTGCGCGGCAAATTAGTTTCAGTGGGCCCCCAGATACCAGTGGGGCCTAGGCCAATGGCCTACTTGGCCTATTGGTAAATCCGGCCCTGGTGTTAGGTACAGTCTCGTTCAAGATTCTTCGAACACTACTGGAGACAGGTGGCAACTCAAGGCAGTTTGTTTACTCTAGTACGTCGTGTAAAAATTATGAATAAAAGTAAAAGTGATCTGTGATTGGTTACCTAGTTCCCTGTTGCTTAATTTACTGGTTGGTCTTTGTTGTTTCATATTATATTATACTCGTACTATAGTAAACAAATGGCCTTGAGTTGCCAGCTGTCTCCAGTAGTGTTCAAAGAATCTTGAACGAGACTGTACCAGAAGGCATCATGAATTATCAAATCATGAATTATAATATAGAGGTTGGACCCCACTAATCTGGGAACTGATAGTCTGGCACCTTCGATGGTTTGGGACGTCTGTCAAAGCTCACTTCTAGTGGCTGTTGCCACTATTTTGCCTTCAAATACTTAAAATTTACCACGAATATGCCTCCTAAGAGACCAGCAAGCAGTGGAAGTGGTTGTAATACGGCAAAATTTAAGCATGTGACATTAACTATTCTAGAAAAGGTGTCTATACTGAAGAAATTAGACAGCAATAGTACATTTTAGGCATTATTTTACCTTTTTCTGACATCAGATTCGATGGTTCGGAATTTTTGCTAATCCGGAAGCGGTCTGGTCCCAGGCTTCCCGGATTAGCGAGGTCCAACCTGTAATTGATTTAAATGGAAATCATTAGTTAGGTACCAGAGGCCAAAAAATACATATAAAATGTTCCAAAACTGCTTTCATAAACACTAAATATTGCACATAATAAATAAAAAATACAGTAACACACATATTGTGCCAAAAGTAGTTCTGTATTACATAAACAGCATTTCATTATCATCCTAAGGGTGACACCATTAAACCAACAAGGAGATAGGCTTGCTGGTTGGCTGGCTAGTCTGCTGTTCACCAATGATGTAAACAAACCACCAGGAGTTTAATACAACTCAGTAACTTATCTGGAGTTGAGTGTAAAATTATTTTTCTCTGGAAAATTTATTATTTTATGATAATTTTTTATTAACCCGGTGCTAAATGATCCTAAATGATATGGATATTATGGTGAAACTGCATACAGTACTGTTGTTATAAAGGTGCTGTGGCTTGGGGAATTTCTCGTGAATTCAGCCAGCCACCCGCCCTGCTCCCTACTTCTCCCTCACACTGAATTTATTCCACTTCATTTTTATCATATTTTAGATTTACATTATATTTTCTTTATTTGTAAGTAACATTAGAGCATTGAAATGATACTTATGTTATATATTCTTTATTTATAAGTCATATTAGAACATTAAAATGATATAGCCACAACATTTATGGTTTTCTATTTGAATAAATATTGCAGCAGTCGGCGCTCAGCTGTAAAGTATTTACAGTATTTAATTACATATTTAGTGATGATCTGGTTTGATTTATTGAGTTTTTATGTCTTTAATATTTAGTTTGATTAGATTTGGTTATGTAGGGTGTTCGGTAATCAGCCTCCATAAATGTGTTCTCCTACTGTTATACAGTACTATGTCTATGGGAAAATCTTCATCAACTTTTTATTGCTATTATCCACAATTTTGTGGGTTAACTGAATAGCCTGATGGCAGCTTTCCATGCTGCATGGTCTCTTGCAAACCTCTCTTCTTAGTTTCTTAACTACGATGTCATTTCTACCCCTACACAGTCACGATACATTTTTTTTTATTAAGAGCCACTTCCTCAGGATGCATTCTTTTTAAATAGTACAGTACTATACTGGGGACTGCCTGTATTTCACTTTATGTACAGAGTATAAGTATAGCACCTATAACTATACTGTACCCTGTACAGTATACTACCATTTATAAAGGATGTCTCAGAAATATATATACATACTGTATACACTACTTTACTGATTTTTTGTGGAGATTGCATGAATGCATGTATTACAGCATAAACATTGTCCTAATTTTTTGATGTGCACCCACTTCATTGAGTGAGGACAATGTTGCTCTTGTAATACAAGCATTCATGTGATCACAAAAAATATGTAAGACAGTGTGTATACATTATTTTGAGACATTCTATATATTTTGTGATTAAAGATGATTTGAAAGAAACAATTACAATTATTATACAGTACTGTATTTATTTATTTATTTTTCTTGAATAAAATTAACATTTCGTTAGTATGGGATTTTAATGTACAATTATTATTATTATTATTATTATTATTATTATTATTATTATTATTATTATTATTATTATTATTATTATGTATCCTTAATACCGGTATATATAGGGTACATTTCAAAGAGATTACAGATAAGTAATAAAGAATTTACAAAAAAATTCCAATTATCAAATTGTATCATATCTTTGCAGGAAGAGGTCAAAGTAGTTCATCTGAAGCATCTACTCCAGAGGCCCCAACACCAGATTCAAGACACCCTCCACCTCTCTTACGCACTATAAGTGAAGGAACTTATTCCACTATTGATAACTTAAGCCATGATTCCTCATCATCCTTTTCTGGAGTGGACCGAACATGCTTTGATTCTCAAGAGACACTTCTAAATGACACAAGTTGGAAGTTAAGGAAGACCTTAGATTTAGGTAAATTAGATATTTTGAAACCAAGCTGGAGCCCCGGTAATAATGTAGCTAGAACAGATTCTGTGATTAATAATTCAAGTGTGAAAACTGAAGGAAGTTTAGAGCAAAATTCCATTCCAGATACTCTTTCTTCTTTCTCTCGGTCAAAGGCCAGCAGCTTGGTGGGGGGGGAAGTAGAGTGTACACAACTATGATTTTTTTTTTTTTTTTTTATTCATTTATAGTAAGAGGTAAGTTATGTTTGCAATAATGTACAGGGATATTTGTTACAAGAGGTTAATGAGTTTTCCTATTGAATTGCATTGGAAAGTATTTAACAAAAGATTGGTACAAAGTTGACTTATAGCATTCCTTTTATAGTGATGTTAGAAATACCTTTATAGGTAGTGGAGTAGAATTATAATGACTAAGCAGTTATTATTATTATAAATAATTTTTCGCTCATGTTGTTTCCCTATTTGTTGGAGAGCTACAGCAGAGCCTCTTCCTTGGACTGGTGATATCTCATACCTGCAACAAACTGGAACCCATCTTGGAGTTAGGTCTGCTCTCACTCTTGTTGAACTACAAGGTAAAAAAATGTCAGAGGCAAAGATGGCCTTTTATCAAAGTTCCTGTTGCTCATTTCTTTCCAAAACATAGCATAATAGCGGACAATAACATTATATGCTTTACCAACAAAAGAACATTTATATTTTTGGTGTGATATCTAAATGCCGTTATTTTCCTTATTGTTAATAAAGGTAAAATAATGTTTTGTCAGTGTGCCAACTATATTCCTCCACTAAACAGTTCCTTCTTCTACTTCCTCTTCTGATATATTATATTTCAATGTCTAAATCATAAAAAAAATAAATAAATAAAATAATTTTGACAATCAAATCTGGCAAGTTGATGAAACTAAGTTACTGAAATGAGGCTTTGTTTGTTAAGAATGTAAATAATATTAATATGATGTGGCAAACTATTATTAAATGCATTACAATACAAGAGATGTCATCAGTTTATATTACAGAGACAGTGTAATTATCAGTATACTTATTTATCAATAATGATGTAAAATTAGTATGCTATTATTAGGCAGGCGAGATATAAATAATATAGGGTAGAATGACAAAATATTCAGTAACTAGTCTTTAATAGTTTGATGTTAAAACAATAGACTATGGTTAGATGATGGTTATTATGAATTGAGTGATTGTATATGGCACATGAAAGCATCCTTTGTGATTGTTTAGTACATTACAATACAGTGAACTCTCGAAGATCCGAACTAAAAGGGGGGGACCAACCTGTCCGGAAAAGCCAATTGTCCGAATTTTTCGGCGAATAATAAATGATCTGAGAAACACCAAAAATACAGTACTAATGTAGTGATAAACAAATTACTGTATATAAACCATGTATTTACCTATGATAACATAATAAGAAGCATTGTATCATTACTAGAGCGAACGAAATAATATTCCCACAAGCAACAATTGTCAACTGTGTCTGTGTTTATGTTTCCCACCTCCTCGGGCACCTGTGTCCAAGCAACTGACGGGTCAAGCAGCGCCCACGGGCCTAAAATGTTGTTTGCTCTGGTTTGGGAATGTTTCTTGGGAAAATTTCTAGGAGGCTTCTCAGCCCAGAACCCCTAAATTTTTTGTCCAGATCTTCCGAAATCCAGATTTCCCGGGTCCAGATCTTCGAGTGTTTACTGTATGTTGTTATATTTGCATTGGTTAAACTTGTATATGTCTTTGGGGATGAATGGAATGTGACATAGTGGTGGGCAAAACCAAACATTGCTAGATGAACCTGAATTCTCCTTACTCTTGAATATGAATGTTGTTGCCTCATTATGTTTAAGCCAGAACAAAGAAATACGTAGTACACTTTTCACTAAGAGAATTCTCAATTTAATGAGAAATGTAAATCAAATTAGTTAAGGTTAATCAGTGATAATAATTTTGCCCAGGTTGAAATAGAATCTTGGAAATGGTGAGTAAATATGTGCTTAAGCCTTTTCCTATTCCATTCCTTAGCAAGAAAGCTTAGATGCGAGTGTTAAGGGAAATTATCATAGTGTGACCAGCTTAATAGCAAACAGTGCCCTGTCAAGTCTGTTAGGGACCTAGGATTAAATTTAAGTATCCTTTCCTATCCAGTGAATTGAAATGTGTAACAGAAAAATAGTTTGTTATTGTAAATTAGAATAGTATATTATTTGTGTCCTGAATTGTTAGGTTTCATGGGCCTTAGCCCATGTGAGAACATTAGAAAGGGACAACAATTAGAGTGAATCTGGGCTGCTGCAACTCTAAGCACTGGAGAGAGTTTGTACATCAAACTACTTAGTTAAAAGTACTGTATCTTTATCATAACTTCTTTTGTTATAGCGGGGAAGTTTCTAAAGTCTTCATTTCAAAAGAAACTTGCTTGTAATGGTCGATGGATATTGACAGGAATTACAGTTGATGGTAATGGCAGGAATTGTGGATCATTTTGTAGCAGATGTCTTATCGATGTTCTTAACCCCTTATGTACGCTCGCTCGCACCCCCTCCCCCCTCCCCCAGGTGAATAAATCGTCTGTTATTAGCCAAACAAAATGTTAAAATTGGCATCCCTGTAGTGAAAGGGTTAATGAGTGTGATAGTTTATTGGTTGATAATTATATTAGGTGTCCTAATTAATGATTTTGATAGTTGTCTTGATTGATAACTATAGTATTGGAGGTTTCAAAGTTTACGACTGCAGAAGTTTTCTTGATTAAAGATTTAACAATATCTTCACAAATCACTCTTGAGTTATAGTAGTTGTCATACATGGTTGATGGTTATGTTGTTTGAGGGTTGTAGTGATATACAGTAGTTGGTGGCTGGCACAGGTGTCATGGTTGATAATTGTAACATGGTTTGGTTGATGGTTGTAGCACTTGTGATTCATTGGTATATTAAAGCAGATGTCTCAGTTGATATACCGCAGCAGGTGTCTTGGTTGATATAGTAAAGCAGATATCTCAGTTGATAAGCTACAGCAGATGTCTGGGTTGATATACTGCAGCACATGTCTCAGGTGATACTCTGTAGCACATGTCTCAGGTGATACTCTGTAGCACATGTCTCAGGTGATATACTACAGCACATGCCTCAGGTTGATATACTGCAGCACACGTCTGCAGCAAATGTCTCAGTTGATAACCTGCAGCAGATGTCCCTCTTGATTATGTTATGGTGATATACAGTACAGTACTTGAGTGAGGGTTGTATGGTGTTGTATTATTTAATGTTTTGGTGCTGGTGGGGAATTTGGCTCCTCTGCAGTGTATTCAAAGTTAAATTATTAATGAGTATTATGTAAATTGTGTAAATATGATGCTGAGAACCTTTTTTTTTTTGGAGACAACACCGACACCTGTAAAACCCCTTTTTAGTAGCTATAAAGAATAGAAGCAGATCCTTAGTAGGTATAGAGTTTTTATGATAGATTAGAACTCTTGTTTACTTTTTCATTTGTAATGCTGTACATTTAGCAGTGATATCATCTTTGGTAATATGCTTTTGCTAACCTGGAAACAGGGAACACGGCAAAAATATGTGAAATGAAGAACCTGGACAAAAAGTATGAGAAATAGAGTCACTTAGCCAGAAGAAATGTGAAATAGGGGTTACGGCTTTAAAAAAATTAAACAAGGAACTTTTTTAAATTCAACTTAACCCTTAAGTCCCGGGTGACGTTCCAGAACGTCCGTCCAGCGTGCCCCAGGTGACATTCCAGAATGCGCGCCTATTCCCGCCACTGTTTAAATGCCCAGCGTGGGTTAACAGGTTCCAGTGTGACTATTTGCCTCTCACACCACTCACTCAGCCACAGGGAAACTTCCTGAACATAATTACCTACTTTTATTTGTTTCATTTTCATTGTTTGTCCATTTTATCATGTTGTGTCAAAGTAATATTGCTAAAAGTAGTGTAGTTGTATTATAGGGTAGTATTACTGTAAAACAATGCTGTGATTATGTTATAAATGTATTTATTTGTGGAATTATTATTATTTTATGCACTTCTTGCTCTACCAAACACAAAAACAGCCAGGCAGACTGGCGACCGACTGGCGAGTGTTGCCAAGGACTTTTTTTATGAAAAATTATGCAAATAAAATATTCTAAATGAATTATTTATAGCAAATAAGTATTAAGATCAGTAAATACATACAGTATCGGCCACTTCGGACACAAAGGCGAGCTAAAAATAGCTAAGTGCTTAGGGACCACGAGTGTCAGCTATCAAACCAACACTGTCTCCTTATCCCCCCCCCCCTCCTTCTGTGCAGTCAGGAAAGTTTCTAGAGCATCAATATATAGTTCTTACTTAATTTTTATTGTTTTATTATTTTAAAAGGTTAAAAATTATTTTTGGAAAAGTTTATTTTTCTCGATTTACCCCCGGGTGGGGAGGTACTGCCACCAGCACCCTAGTCCGGGGCTTAAGGGTTAACAAGGAACTAGGAAAAAAATTAAAAATAGGGAACTGGCAAATGCAACAGAATAGGGAATTTGGTTTAAATTATGTCAGTTTTGAAACCCAGCCTCTAAAAGAAAGTGAAATTGTGAATGTGGCACAAAAATTCAATTTAGGGAAGCTAGCCAAGAATAAATTAAAGTATGAGGAACCTGAGTTAGAAAGAATATGAAATTATGCATTGTAACCTTATGATAATATCCAGAGGTACAGTCAACAACAAAAATTTCTTCACCTTTATGGTGTTATACAATATGACACACCGAGTGATTCCTGTTAATTTCCCTGTATTAACTATATGTGATTTAAAAAAACAAAAACATACCGGTTATACAATGCATCACACAACCAGAAATACCAACTTTACCAAATTAACATGGCCTCAGTCAGTGATCGTTGCAGAGGCCATTAGACCAAGGGGTGCAGAATTTTTTTTTGCTGACTACAGCAGTATTGGAAATAATAACATCTTAATCATTTTCTTTCTGTACTGTATATATCAAACTTAAGTCCATTCGATATATATACGTACATTACAAATTGTGACATCGTCAGTTGTGTGCCAATTTCTAAAGTTATCAATTCACTGCCCTGTGTATCAGTATTATTGGAAAAGTTTTACTGATGACTGGGATGGCCTTTTTTACATTTAATACCAAGCTTTACATGCATGCCATTGTAAGGCATATACGTAGTGTTCAGGTTGCCAAGCCCAGAGATCAAATCTTATTTTTTATGACTCCAATATAATTCATCATCATCGTTGTTTTCTGGCCATTTTCCCTGCTTTAGGATTTAGCCATGGTTACCTGATAGCAGCTCTCACCCAGCTGCACAGGCTTTGGCAGTTATTTCTGAAAATTATTAGTGTACCAAGGCAGTAATTTTATTAACAAAATTAATCGTGTAGGAGAAAATATGGGTAAAAGAAACGGACATACAAGCAGTTGATGTGATAAATTAAAACGTGAGATGTGTATGTAAATACAGCTAGATTCGTGGATGGAAAAATTTGTAATACAGTATAAAAACCTTTAAGTATTCAATTTAGGACTCCTACATACTGTAGTACTGTACAATAGCTTTAGTTTTACCTAGGATCCATGAGATATTTGTGGGTCATGTGATAAATAAATCATTACACAAATGTGCTCAAGGAAGATAGTCTTACTGAAAAAAATTTTCAAGTTATCTTTTAAACTTACTGTAATCAACATCTATATCATATTTTGATATGCAGCACATGATTCAAACTGGAGAGCTCTGCATTCAATCACTGGAATTTTCATAAAAGGTTTCTCTTATGCAGAGCTTTCCTAGATGTTGAAAGTACTGTACAGTACAGTACTAGATAAAAAAAATTTAAGTTTCATAATTAGGATGTTAAGGTCTTAATGCATATTTTTTTGTGTTATAATTTGAGGATAAAAGGTATAAAAGCAACATTGTGTAAGCCTGAAACTTTAGTAAAAGCTGATAAAGTTGTGCAAAAAGTAATTTGCACAAAATATGACTTGTTATTTTGCAATTTTTTTAGCATATTGAGCAACTTAGACGCATTTACTTCACTCCAGAACTACCTCCTATTCAATAAGTAATTTGCAGAGTACATGAACGTGTTGCATGTACTTAAATACACATCTTTTAACATTTTGATGATAGATATTACTTCAATGTACAGTATTTTCATCCTACCATTTTACTGCTCAGTATTTTTCCTTCCCATTTATTATTACCTGATAATTAGTATTGAGGCCCAGTAGGATTAGTATCCATTAGAACTAGACCCCAATCCTAATTGTTAGAGTAAGTTTGGGACCTTTTAAAACTGGAGTTCATTTGACCAGTCATCTAACAGATTAATTTGCATATTTTATGGAGTAGGATCAGACACAGAGTTAAGTGAACAAATATTTGGAAGGTTATGATTTTTTTCTCATTTAACATTAATAAATAAAACAGAGAAATTATAGAAATAACAGCACTAAAATATGCGCCAGAAATTTTTATCTGTATACTGTATCCCAAATTTCTTTAGTGATAAATCTTAATGGCTCAGAAAAAACCCAAACCATCTTATGTTAACCAGAATTGGTGCCTATCACTCTTATGATTATATAGCAACATGAGTTCTCAGTCTTGATATAAGATGGACAATAGATAAAGTAAGATAAAATTTTAAAGATAAAATTCTCCACTTAGATTATTGAATTGTTTTTCAATTACTGTACTACACGGCCATTTGTCAGAGAGACTTTTTGTTGTGGAATATGTTTTTATCATTATTTTCATAATCTAATTGGCCTTTGTATATTAAAGACAGCTATCAAGTATACTTTGTGACACTTGGTTTATCAATTGCAAGATAAATAAAGATGTATTTTTAATAAAACATCTTACAGATAAGAAAACTCAGCTAAGGCACTTCTGTGCAATTATCTCAAATGCAAGTTGTTAAATGCCTTGTTGGACTTTTATTATTGCAAATTTCTAAATTCATTTATTTAATTTTATGTCCATATTCACTGTGTAATTTTTTATATTATATCATCACATTTGTTGGGAAATACCAATTGAGCACAATCTGCTAAGAGACCACTTTTTGGGGCATAACCAGTAAAGAAACAACAAAGACTGTACAGTATAGTCTCGATTTACGTGGATTTGGTTTACGCGTTTGGTCATTTACGCGGCACCTTGCCAGACCGACAATTTTTATTTACATGGTTCATTCCATCATTCACGCGGGAAGCGGCGCGGGCAGGGTGCGCACAAGGTCGCCCAGTCAACAAAACATTACCGAGTTCTTCACCCGCCACCCACCACAGCCGGCCCAAGTCAGTGATAGTGAGGATATGGACTTATATGGACTTTGAGGGGTTTGACAAAGAGGCCCTGCAAGCCTCTGTGGTGGATAGTGATACAAGTGATACAGGTGAGGGCCAATAATTTGCCCTCTGCCTCGGAACCAACCCCCCCCCATCCCCGTGTGCCCAGCCATCTTTTCTACTAACGTAAGTGTTAAAAAACCTAATATTCTTGATATTTCTCTTAAATATTAATTGTGTATGCATACCATCATAAAATTAAGATGTTATTTTTACTACAACGTACGTATTGTGTCGGAAAAAGTGTAGTTTGGGGGTCGGCCCAGTCTCTATTTCAATTAATCCCTTTTGTTCTGTTATTTCGTTTACGCGTTTCTTGTTTTACGCGGACCTCCACGGGCTCAATTGACCGCGTAAATGAAGACTATACTGTATATACATCAGTCTAAATTTCAGGAGTCTCACAGGTATTATGAAATGAGTCTTAATAATGATATGACAGTATTTTCCATACCTTCGTATTTGCGTACTATGTGTACGTACTGTATAACACTTTTGAGCATTTGTTTCCTATATGTGAAACTGGAGAAAAGCTTAGGTTTGACCCCGTCTGCCTGTCTGTATATCCATTTGTTTGTAAATGACGCCATGATTATATTTACCACAAAGGTAAAGTGCTATAGTACTTCAGTATTTGTCAAAATAGCTTTTGGTCAGAAGAAATAATGGTTTACTAGTAATTTTTTTTTTCCATACTGGGATTGCAAGGTAGTGACAGGGTTGATAAAAAGGCCTTTTGTGAAAGGGATATTGGTTTATAGACTGGCAAAGAGAGTATTAGTAAGGTAAATTTGACCAGTTTAAAGGGATGGGAAATGGAAGAATGCTTAAAGTCTTGTGAGGATGTAAAGGTAATGGAGGACGTTGTGAGTTACTGTATTTGTTGGTAGGCATTTGAGGAAGCCAGTCTTCATGGGGTCAATCAGAATATCATCTTGATATATTGAGCAGTAATTTAAAATTGCATTCATTGTGTGTGTGTGGTGTGTTCACATGTTGAAACAGTACAGTAGAGAGAATGGCTAAAATCATCTTTAGATATCCAGTTTTATAATTAAACTTAAATGAAATTATATTAATAGTGAAATAATCCACTGCAATTTTGGGTAAATTCATTAATAAAGGAGACATTTCTCAGAAAATGTTGTAATACAGTATTGTACTTTTTAGAATGTCAAATATTACAACATCAGCTGTTGTAAAATGACATAAAAACATAAAAGAACTTGAAAATGTCCTTAGAAGTTTGTTTTCAGAAAAACATATTACACTTGCTTGGTTTTAGAAATTTATATTTCACAACCAATAATGTACCAAGTGATATAAGCCCAACAGTCCTAAATGCTGGCATCAAGAAAGAAATTTCAGTCAGTGGTCCCTTTCTTTTTTGTGAGCAAGTTGCTAGCCAGTCATCATTAGTACTGTATAGTAAATAACATTTTTTATTTATATCTAGTGTTTTGACTCTTCTACTATGTTTTTTGTAGGAAGATCAAAGGGTTCAGAAATCGCAGGGGGGTAATTTAAGGGAGTGGTTAACCATTAATTCAAAACTCACCCATGACAATAATTTTATCTTGTCTATTTCCCAATTAAGTACAGTGGAAGAAATGCATTAGTGTTTTTAAGAATCTTAACAAGTTGAATAGAGTCTTCCACATTCACTGCTTCCTAAGTTGGATATGTTTGTTTTGATTGACTTACCGGTATATGCCTGTTGTGAAAAAAAGTGGACACACCATATTAAGGTATTTCACAAAAAAACTTATTCTACATTATGAACTTACTCAACATTTTTGCATGACGAATTTGCATCTTCCTTATGTATACTTACCTATGATTGCTTACACATCCTTGTCATCTTTTATCAGTTTCCTATCCAGTTGGATGGTTGAAAACTTTTTGATTACCATATGTACAATTGTTAGATACTGGTCATCCACAGGCTCGCAGTAACCTCTTGCTGCCTTTACATTGAACCTTTTAATCTATCAACTCCTTCTACCCATTTCATTAGAACATACTAAATATCTCAATACTATATGCTATACATACATATATTTCCTGAAATATTGTAAAGATTTACTCTTGCTGTATATACAGTACAGTATATAATATCACTCCCTTTAGAGTGCAGTAGCATATATCCTTCAATTTTATATTTCTCACCTAAGAAAATCCCTGAGAACTTAAGCAACCATTTTGCAAACCTTGGTCATACTCATGTTAAATTTGTGTTCATCCATATTTAATGTGTATAACTTGTATTCCTCCATATTTAACTTGTACTGTATTCATTCATGATTAATGTGCAGTAGTTAATATTTTACTTCATCATGTTTAAATTGTATTCATCCATATTTACCTTATACCTGTTGAACTTGTATTCATTTATCTTTGATCTGCAACCATCAGTATTTAACAGGCAGTCATCTATTTTTAACTTGCATTCATCCATGGTTATCCTGAAATCATCCACATTTAACTTACGTTCATCAACTTGCAGTCATCTAAGTTTAACATATATGTCTGTGTTTACTGGCATTCAGTACAGTTGACTACAACCAGTTTTTCTACAAGTCTCATATGCTGTTTCACTCAGATTTTACTTGGGTAAAATTTTAATAACTAGACTCCTCAAGATGTTTGCTATCAGTGTTATATAAGTGCACTTCAATTTTAAGTACTGTACTGTAATTAGGAATTTTGTTCCTGAAGAGCTGGTAACTGAGATGACTATTTTAAAATCAGGGTGTAGTGTGTGGTGTTTATCCAAAACAGTTCATTGTTGATGATGTATCCTCAAGCTGCATTTTTATTTAACTTTGGGGATTTTACATAATCAGTGCTATTCATAACATTGAAATCTTGGAAGTGTTTTTAGTAAATATTAAGGGCACTTTCATTTTGATTACATTGTTATTGTTTTACGATCTTCAAAGCTTGTTCTGACGAGATATTTTTTTTTTAATACCTGTACAGTATTTTGAATTTGAGAAATTTAGCCAAAATTTGATCTGTTATGTTTTGTTTGGTATGCACTGTGGTTTTAAGGCCTCTTAGCTGCTTCACACCAAGATTTTGCAATTCATAATTAATAATACCACACTTACCATTAAGGAGTCTGTTGTGTTCATGCAGTTATTGCCAACTTTTATGGGAGAGGGAAGGGGCAAAAAATTATGGTGTTATTTACATACAGTATATATTTTTCAAAAGAAAAGAGAGATTGAAACAAAAGAGCTTCTGAACTTAGAAGATGAGGAACAGAAAACTAAGATTTCCAAATGGCTGTACTGTATAACACTTTTTCAAGTGCATGAAGTCCTGTTTTTAAGTAAGGGCAATTTGAAATAGCAGTGTTAGACCTGAAAAGTAGTACAGTGCTAAAATAATTTATTGCAGCATGCAGGTTGACTTATCAGATTTTTAGGGGACACTGATTCACAAGTGATTCTTTAATAAGTCCTTTTGGGGCTACTCAAGAAAAAGGTTGTACTGTATCATCATCAAAATTTATAGTAACCAGACATCATAATTTGGAAGTAATTATTGTAAAAGATATAAAAGGTAGGCATTTATTTTTTTAAAAAGACTGTCTTCTTTTAGGTATTTATTGGTTTATTTGTATGGTTGTATTCATGTATGACAAATTTCTATATTGCAAAGACATTTCTACTTGAAACTGCTGAGAGTTTATCATCCATGCACAATCTTTATTAATTATTAAACACTTTTGTCTATACTGTAGGTAAGCTGACTTTTTTTTTAGGGATGTGACAATGGAAAGTTTTTAAGTGTTACGAGTTCGATTATAGCTAGAGTGGGAAGTGACAGTGGGTCCCATTTGCCTGATGGTCCATATACAGTACCACCATTTTTCTATAATTTTTCCAACCAGTAATATTGTGTTTTAAGCTAAACTGCATTTTGAAGAATATTGTAAATATTTCCCACTTGGCCAAAGTTTATATTGTACTGAGGAAGAAGTGCAAAGGATGAAGTTGACTTCTTAACACTAGTCATAAGCTTTTGTTAAGTTTAGTGATGAGGCTGCCTTTCATATATAGATACAGTACCACAGTTTTAACATGTGAAAATATTTATAAAGGATATTCCAAATGTATCCAAAGTGCTTCTTTATTTCACACTTACATGTTACATGATTGGAAAGTCTCTTATTTCCATACAATTAACCTGCTTGTCTACACACTTGGTTCAGTAGTGCACAAGATTTTGTATACCATCAGAAAAAAGGCTTTTAGCTGCATATGAAGCCACACATGCACTGCCTCACTCAACTATTAGCAAACATTCTTTCAGAGGTCCAAACAGGTGAAAATCAGATGGGCCAAGGTCAGAGCTGTGGGATGAATGATAAAGAACCTCAAACTTCAACTAGTGCTTAACTTTACCAGCTTATGGCTGAATTCTGAACTTCTTTGAAGGAGATGACATGTATTTCTGTTACATGCACTGCTGTTTGCTTTCAGTCTTAAAATGGTGGCTTACTTCAAGGTGTCAAGTGAGAAACATTTTGCACACGTATTCAGTTTTATCATTAAGTTGTCAATGTGAATAACAGCCCTTAATGAACTGTATTAGCGAGACATTTTCTTCCATTTATGAAAAGTTCAGTTCATTTGAACATGGTCTGCTGTCTCAAAACTTGATCACCATGCTGTACAAATAATCTGTGAATTACAGTCCATGAATAACATGATAATATACTGCTCCTCTTTAGTGCATGTCAAAAAGGGTGTTGCCATGTAAGCAGTGTGTTTATAACTGAAAAACTGAGTGTCAAGGCATGAACTGCTCAAAGCAGCGATCTGTTTACTCAGTGATTGCAGTGCCATCAACAGTC